TTTATACGTTTTCTCTTTTATGTAACGCAGATCGTGCCTTCTTCTCTCGCCATTGTGCACGAGTATATTTTAGTTTTGCTTCGGATTTTTGCAGATATACAGCAGATTGCGTGTGAAAATGTGAGACATATATAGGGTTATCCTAAAATAAAAACCTGGTGTGTCAGAAGTTTGTATAACCTTTTAGGCCTGTAAGCAAGAGGTCCTAACTGAAAGTTGATAGAAAAGCGACCAATATTGCTTTAAGGCTTATAGTTTCGACTTTACAATGGCTAGAGTACAAGTGCGTAAAGATCCATTAACAAATGAACCATAAATAATAACTGAGTTTAACGCATGGCGAGAGAGGAATGAGAGTTTCAAAATAGACAGAGACCGAAACTTATCGAAAAAGGTTGAGACCAATGCCTTAGAAGCTATTTATAAGTGTGCTCTTTCACCAGTGATACCAGTAGATGACAAACAGCAAGAGACTTGGAAGGATTCGACTATATACACGCAATGAAATGTCTTGATTAACATTACTCACAAAATATTTTTATTTACAAAACAGAGAATACTGCCTTATAATCATTCTTAATTAAATACTTTCTCGGGCTGATGGAGGAATATAAAAGAAAAATATTGCTGAAAAGAACCGGAGATTCTATCTTTGAGATTGGTAAGCTTCTCATTAGAGATTGAATATTGTTTAACAAAGATTGTCAATTAAGATTTGTTGATTTTATGTTGTAGAAACCAAAGCGCTGCGATATACCGAACAGGACAGTTACCAAATTCTCTTCTCATAAAAATTGTTTCATTTGTCTGAAAAATGCGTGATGCGAAAACTTTTTAATAGGAATAACCATGCCGAGAACCGATCGTATTTTTTTTATCATATTTTAAATATAAATAATTGTTTTATCATTGTTTGGTCACAATTAATTTCAAACAAATTTATTTATCGCCGTCTTTAAACCGCATGATTGTTCTTTTCTCGCCATTGTTGTAAACTGCTTGTCTGAGGAAGTCTGATTTTGGTCAGACGGAACGTTACAGAAATACATTTGTGTTAGCGTGCAGCAGGACTCTTGAATTGAATAGAATAATATTGATGTATGCCTTTTTGGAATGATAAAGAAGTTTGAAGATGTTAAATCGGTTTATTTGCCGTTTTGGTAGGATTCCACAATGGAAAGAAATTTTTTTTTAGAAATAGCGTGCCATTTCATATGTGCAAAAAAAACCTCAATTTTAATATATAGCTTACACAAGGAAATTAAAATTTTAAAAGTTTTTTTGAATATGTTTTATGGCTTTTAAAAACACCAGATTGTATGGAGAACTCGTGTACTTTATTTCTGAATACCATACCTTTCCATACATAAATTATCAACAGTCATACTTGGAAAGTACAAAATATCTCGTACATTCATTCATGCAATATATTCGATCCCGTGCGTGGCCTTTCCTATTGTCGTCAATTTTCGTTTTCTATGCAACGTGACCATATATTCAGCGTAACAGGAAAATAATTTAGGTCAGCGGAAAATGCGCTGGTTACGCACTGATGACGCATGATTTTCTAACGCAAAAATCAACAAATTACGTAAGATTTCGAAGTTATCGGAGAAATAAAAATTGCGGGACCGCATAGTATTCGCGCTCATTCACGTTAAATCTACGTTAGTAAGTATACAAACTATATTTTTCTGAGAAAATGTAAATTCACAATGCTGTTTTCATGAATATGAAGAATGAAAAAGCCCGCGGATGGTTATAGATTTATTTTAAATGAAATGTTCTTTGGTCAACGCGAGATTACTTAAGCTCTTTTGAAGCTCTGGAAGGTGTGGCAGAATTGTAACGGATGAAATTGTCAGAATTGGTGAGATTTACCCGAATGTCATGAGTTTTTGAAATTCGAATTAGGCTATTCAGCTCTTTTCAAGATCAAGAAGGCCTGAATTTAGACAATTGTTCTGGCAGAATTGTAACAAAAAAAAGTGCCAGAATTAGTGGCATTTATCCGAATGTCATGTGTTGTTGAGTTGAATACATTTCAAATGAATATTTTTCGATTACAGATGTTATTTGAGTATAGAATTTTTGACAGTTTTATACGCTAAACATATATGCGTTAGTTACCATTTTCCCTAATACTTAAGGCAGTATTTTTAACCAGGCAACCCGCCCGCGAGTCGGGAAATTTGAAACGGCGGTATAAACTGGGCGGCTCCAAACAGAATGAAACTGGTGGCGGACGGTTTTTTCATTGCTCCAATTTGAAACATCTTCTGGGCCTTCGATGCTTGTTGGATAAAAACTAACTCTTATTTAACTATGAAAAAAATACTATGTATATATGTTATGAAGAAAAAGATTGAAAATGCGAGTAAAAAGTTTTTTTTCGTATTATTATATTTTTTGGGGAAAATAGATTTATAGCAGGGATAGTATTATTGAAAAATTAAAAATATATTAAATTATTGGACTTAGATTTGCCACTTGCAGCCTAATATTTGAAAAAACATTCTTAATTTCAAGATATTGTGATATATATAAAATTGAGTTGTGATGTTGGGATTTCTTCACTGTTTAATATTTGTAAAATTTTACGAAATGATACAAAACACAATATTTAGCTTCGCTTAATTTCTACTTTTTGCCATTTGTTAATCTTCGATAAATCGTATTTGTGGCATATTTGACTTCTACTTAATCAGAAATGAAACACTAACATAATATAGCCGAACCCTGAGCGTTATATATGTCGGTCCTTATTCAGATTCGAGAATCTGTATGGGTTGAACATTTCGACCGGTCCTTGAATACTCCAAAGAAGTATGATCGGACCCTATCTTCAGCTTTTAAAATCTACATCACGGAAATAATTAGCTGGATCGAATATTTCCCCTGTTGAGCATATCATTGATAAGCATATATATTGAGAGAGTAAATTAATAGGCTGCGCAGATTCACTGTGCTTCATGTCAGAGTTCTTTTTTATGTTAAATACCGATCGCAAATCCACCAGTTTCAAATCATTTGAATTATTCATTGGTACCAGATTTTTTGGTACTTCCGTAGTATATGTACCACGTTAGGGTTAGGACATGATTTTATTTCTAGTTTCCTTTTTTTAGTTATATTACGAGTTCGGGGGCTGTCTGTGTTAGTCAATTGATTATACCCCTTGCCTATAGGTTTCTGTGCCTTTACTCAACTTGATGTAAAGTAGGCGAACAAAATTAGTTACTTTCATATTGGTATACACACTTCTGGAGCTTGTCTACTTATTTAATAGTGGACGAATGTTCGGAGTGTAAAGTGCAGCAATCGTAGTATAAAAAACGTAATACGTAGGCCTACTTTGTTTAATTTACCACGTTTTTTTCTAATACAGAGCAACAGAATCGATTGTTATCAATATTTTTAGTCCGTTGCTGCAATCATTGCAACGCGCATTTCTGCAGAATACTAATTGACAATTAATTACATATCCCTTGCTCGTTTCCTACTTTCCGATCCTTAATTTATAACAAGATGTAATTACGGATATCAATTATGTCTTGTGCAGAACTAGCTGTTTCATGTGTCACGTGACATGGCGATTAGCCAATCAGAAATTGGTTTATTTTTATACTCATTAATCGAACATTGTTGGAATATCCGTCAAAATAGATATTGACAAGTCATTAAGCTTTTTTAGCCCGCAATAAAAAATCGCTACCCAATAATTTTGGAAGGGCCAATAGTATTTTATATCTCCCTATACATTGGCGGGGAAAATTAAAAACACCGGTTATGGTATATATAAAGCGAAATTTTAATATGCAATGAAGCCTCATGTCATTGCCGACCTCGGGGAGGGGGCGTGATGTCATAATGCTAACACTTGAATATACGTCATATCGAAACGTGACGTAATAATAAAAAACATGAAATTACTTGAAATAAAAAAATACAAATTATGATGTGAATAATGGTCGATGCCTGAATCTTCATGATGTGTCTGAGTAAGACGAAAAAACAAAACACAAACAATATTTTATTGAACACCCAACTAACGCTTGAGTAGAGTAATTAACGTATAAAACATAATTTTCTTGATCATCTTTACCGTAAGTTGCGCAATATGTCGAAGAGGTCGAATCCCCTCAAGGCGAGTTTCATCACTTTATCTTAACCTTAAACTTGCGGAAGAGTGATTAATTAGGCTAATGACTACGCTTTAGCACATAATGTTTGTCGGAGTCAAAGAAAATGACCCTTCGAATAATAAATGTAATGAGATGTTATAAAACGCAATTGACGTGAAGATATCGATAAATCGTTTTTGATATTTTTATGGCAGTTTTTACGATTTTTGCAACCGCGTTTTGCAACAGCATGTTTGGCACTTTGGCTAATATTTGATGACATCACTTTTGTTTCTGCTGGAGATGTTGTGGCCCAGCGGTTCCCGACCGGGTGCCCATGGCCTTCCAAGGGGGCCACAGAGCAGATAGAGGGGGGGGGGTCTGATTTTACTTTTCCTTTTACAAAAAACTCTCCGTTCTTCCTATAGTTCCATTGCTTCATAAGGTGATTTCACAGGGTGTTTTCGCTTTGTTGAGCATGAATTATTGTTTGATAATAATAGGTTTTGGCATCTGCCAATCAAAATAACACTATAAAAACCACTGAAATGATAAACAGCGGGCGCGAGTCAATATATCCATTCATATTGAAGACACATGAGCAGAAAGGGGTTAGCAAAGCGATGTAATTTCCCGACGTGTATACCTGGTGACATTTTGCCCCTGTTTGACTCCGAGCTTCTTAGATTGTATGTTAACTAATCTATAATATTATGTATAATGTTCACATTCTCAAAAACTTCCATTTTTCCTAGTTCTTGAAGATCCAGTATCAGATGAGTATCTGGGTCTGCCTGTATGCTCTTTCCTTCTTTCGAATATTCTGCGAATTCGAAATGAAAACATTCTGAAAACTATTATTTTTGTTTTTTCTAGGGGATCCAGTTTCAGATGAGTATTTGAGCCGGCCACACATGTGCGATACGTGCGGTAAACGATTCACTCTTCTCGAGAACTTGAACCGACATCAAATGATACACACAGATGAAAGGCCTTATGTTTGTACTTATTGTAACAAAAGATTCCGACTTGCTCAACATTTGAAAGAGCATGTGCGAATTCATACAGGTATGGAAAATATTAATTCAGTAGCATCCAGAGTGATGGAATTCTCTTTTTAGGGGATGTTCCTCCGTTTTCGTGAAAATGAAGCGCTGCTGTTCGGGTAACCCCGTAGTGTGTGTACCAGGTTAGGGTTAGGCCAATATTTGATTCCGATTTTCCTTATTTTAGTTCTATTACGAGTTCGGGCCTCTGTGTTAGCCAAGTGAATGATACCCCCTGCCCATAGGCTCCAATCACTTCACACAACTTGATGTATAGTAGGCGAACAAAATTAGTTACCTCCATATTGGTACACACACTTCTGGAGCGATGCTGTTTTACTGTTAAATAATGCTCATAAAAATAGGACTAACGCCAGTTTATTGAATACTTACATGATACGTTTAATTTTCTTGGATCGGATTTAAATTGCGCGTAAGAAAATCTTTATCGGGATAGAATGAGGTTTTTTTGCATGATGAAACATTTGGTAACGCCATTAGATTATCATGCAATTTGTGTCTTAGAGAGAGAGAGAGAGATTTATTGCCACAAAAACAAAATCAACACTAATATAAACATAATACAATAACGAAAATATTCCACAGTAATTGATTATTGCTTTGTGCGGGTCGGTGTGCAATACCGATTAAAGTCATCTAGGCTCCCGACCCTTGTGTATGTGCTATATATAAGTTCATCATAGGTGGATACAAATGAGATTAAATATAAATATATAAAAAATAAATACGAGGAAAAAAGGAAACGAGTCGGCAATTTAATGGTATTATGGAAGTGTCTTAGTTATTATATTATTAAAGAAGTGTCTTATTTGTAATTTTGGTTGCCACGTCAAATGTTTCATATTTATTTTTTAAAAATGTCCAGTTTCAAACTCTTGTTCAAAAATTCCGTCCAGTCATATTATATCACAGAAATCTGGGATATTTCTTGGTGTCGGTCATTTCGGTTTTATTTCTCCCAAGTTGTAATATTCTATTGATGGATATTCCATTCCCTCCCTTGCCAGCGGTGAGTGGTGTGTCTCGTGTTTTTATTTCTAAAAAATATCCAGTTTTGAACCTTTTTTCTAAAATATTATATCACAAAAATCTTTGCAATTGCAATCTTTTTTGGTGTTCACCAGCTCTTTAGAAAATAATATTTTTCATAAGTCGTAATACACTCGTGATGGCCACTTTCTCACCAGCGGTGTGCCCGCGAATCTTATCGTTTAAAACTCAATTAACACACAACAATAGCAAACCCTAATATCTCTGCGCATAAAAGTGGGCACTCGCATGCGAAGAGACTTGGCCGTAATGTTGACAAAGTACGGATCGCAACAAAAAGTTTCGCGACGAAAAATTCGGGTTCTGAAACTGGATATTACGAGATGGAATTTTACAAAATTTGATGAAATATGACGCTTTTTGTAATAGTCTACGGTCACCAGAGTTGCCCTATCTTCTTGTCGCAATCGGGGATAAATAAAACCATAAATATTCGGTGACGATATAAAATAACATGTTGTTTTAACGCTTGTTAGGTCCGACATTTGAACTCATTCGACGTAGCTTGTTTACATCTGAACTAATATTTCAAATGACTTCGAACCCGCATGAATTGTTTTACTATTTTTCGCGCGTAGGAATTAAAAACGATGTCATAAAACTTTCTCTATTATTGAAATTCCAAGGGTAAATGTGTGTAAATAAAGTTATAATCAATGTGTGCGGTGTGTTATATGTAAAAGCGTCAGCAAGCGATTGAAGTGATTTTTTGACCGGGTTTTCGACTATATATGAGATAATTAGACTAAGAATGGACTTGAATCAGCTTTCAAACGAACCACTAACGACGCCATGCTGAATCGTTCCTAAATCCAGTACTTTACTTCATTCGTAGTCCAGGCTTGGATGTAGGTAAATTGAGGTACTATGTGCGCGGTGTATGTTAAATGAGTCAACATGCTTCTGAAGTAAATTTTTGCATGTTGTCGGAAAGGGTCCAGGTTTCCAACTATATCTTAGACTGAAAACAGGCCTGAGAGGCGAAAGAATTTAGTATTTCATTCAATTGCCTTCGTTAATTATTTTTTAGGGTGGGATTTCAGTCCTAACTTGCAAACCCCAATAGCGTTTTTTGTAGTCTTCCAATAGGTCCAGTATATAGAAAACTTGGAGGTAATATACGCCTACGGAAGATCCAAAACGAATCCGGTTCAAATATTTTTTAGAAAAATTCCTTCAGAATTAGGAATTGGATATAAATTTTTCAAAACCCTAGTGTTTTCTCCCAACAGACCACAGCATGGCCTACTGTATACCTCAGCCTAGTTAATAATTCATTGCTCATAAGTTACTCCACTTTAACTCAAAAAGAACTTTCACGCGTGAGCAACGGGTTAAAATATCTTAAACTCGTAATGACTTGATATAAAAGGGTTAATCCCATTTAGCGAGAGCGAACCCGGATGACCGCAATCCATACCTCACTTTAATGATCAGCTGGAATTGATTTCTGTGATTTATTGAGCGAGTGGGTTGCGCAACCTCCGTCGTGCCTCGAATATAAAATATTAAATTTCGGAACGTGATTGCGCATGCGCCCGCGCATGTCACTCACAGGTGCATGTATATCCGATAGAATTATGTTTGTTTCATTATCGTGATGATTCCCTAATTGAAATAAACGTAAATAGATTTATGTGTGGCGATTAGCACCGGTTTGCACTTCTTATACACGACATGAGATTCCATTCGTTAAACTTCGTCGCCATTTAACGCTCTGGCAAAGCACCAATTTTCTGTGGTGCTCCCGTAGTGTGTGTACCGGTTTACGGCATATTTTTATTGCGATTTTCCTTATTTTAGTTCTATTACGAGTTCGGGGACTGTCTGTGTTAGCCAATAGGATTCAGCAGTCCCTTTACACAACTTGATGTTAGGCGAATAAAATTAGTTACCTCCATATTGGTACAAACACTTCTGGAGCGCACTTTCTGGTAAAAAGCGTATGACCCTAACCCCAGTGCGGTAGACGTCGTGCTAGCGTTAGAGACTAGAGTTAGATCTCGTGCTATACAGCGCCCCAAATTGAAAATATTAAAATTTAAATATCAATTCTTTACAACTTCCGCATGTATATTATTATCATCTCTTATTTCAGGTGAAAAGCCGTACAAATGCCCGACATGCGGCCGAGCATTCTGTCAGATTTCAAATTTGAAGTCTCATCAGAAAACACACACGAAAATCAAAGCATTTAAATGTGACGTATGTGAAAAGAGTTTCAGAAGATCTTTCACATTGAAGCAACACAAGTTGACACATGCAAGACGTTCTATGAGCAATACCACTGGGGATGGAATCAATGAAATGTTATCTCCACAAAAGAAGATGTATCGTAAAAACAGTGCTCCGACGCCGACGATCTTGCACGGTGATGAAAATTTAGGACGCCCACCGTTATCAGCATCTCTCACCCAGCAGGTACGTCAATATGTGGTCTTCCTCAGAACGAATGATATGAGTATAAAACTATTTTGACTTCATAATCAGCATAAATGACGATAAAAACAAAATAAAACTGATTACAGAATCAGGAAGCGTAGGAGACGTGCTTAGTTTTTTTTTGCTGATATCTTAACTTTGATTCTCCTGTTGGAAGTGGTAGATTTTGAATCTTCTTCTTCTTCTTTGTTGTTGGGAATAGTCAAATTTCCGACTTCTTAAAATCCGAAGGTGTGACTGGCGCGCTGGATATATAAGACATGTTATCGGATTTCCTCTCTCGCTCCCGAGATAAATATGGAACAATACAATGTAGAATATTTTGCTAAAAGTTTGTCATGTGATTGGTTAGCTTATCCCAATGCATTACCCACCTAATAGAAAGGCTCGCAAATGCCAAAGTTTTCATATTCAAGAATCTGTCTCACCGGATTAGAATTTGAGGTCGATTTTCAAGCAAGAATCGAATATAAAATCAGTTTCTAGTGAATGAGTCGGATAAAACTGATTTCTCATTTTCCTGTGGCCTGGGTGTCCTAAAAACCCAGGAAGTGTCATATGATTTTATTTGATTACTTTGCATACTTTGGCCTAAAGAATTTCTACTTTTACACCTTGTTTTCGCGATTGTTGACGAAGTGAAACTTTGCCAATATCTCGGAATAGTAATTCTCCGGTAACAAACCTTAAAAACACGAAATTAGTTTTAAAATATCCTTAGTATTAACGAGGCAACAATCGATTATTATTGACCGTGACATGCATACATATACTTATATTTCGCATTAATCGCATCACACAGTCATACTGATACGCTAATCTAAAATCTTGTGTTTGTTATTGTGAATAATATTACTGGTTACGTAACCTTCGATCGGGTTGTCAGTTAGTGGTTTTTTGGACACGTAGTGGACATAGCGATCGTTTCAATATTATGTTCTTGTTCTTGTTCTTCGACTCGTTTTTGAAAAGTCGCTTTTCTCTTTGATTACTGGACCAATTGCTTTGAAATTTTCAGTATTTAAGATGGATTTTTTTCTAGAAGGCTATTACTTTTATTTATTTCTAAATTTTTATGAATTCTATTAAATTTGATATTTTGCTTAAAATTTATCTGTATTTTTTTTTATCCACGGGAACACGGATTTTGATCCGCTTGGATACTGGCTGTACGTTTTGATTCTGCAAAGTTCCTGCCACTGAAAATCTAGAATTTTCTTGATGGTACCGGTAGCGTCAAAGGTACCAGTAAGGACTGATTCGCTCTCGTCTACGTGTCCATATATTTGAGCGTTGCTCTCTTGTTATATACATTGTTATCAGTATTGTTCAGTGGCTCCCAAACCGAGGCCATGAGCCAATTATGGCCCGCATAACGATTTAATATAGCCCACCGAACTTGAGTGAAAAAGTTCAACACTTTAGGGTTTTACCTCTTTACGTTCTAGATACCACCAATTGTAACGTCACTATCACAGTTTAGGCACGTGCATATTAGAAACAATTCAATTATACTGGTATCTCAATTATACATACCGACACCGGTATCGGCCTCTTTTCGGCGCTCCCCTCTCCCGGCCCGCGAATATCCTTCTGCTTCTAATTTGGGCCTCGGCCAATCAACTTTGGGAACCACTGGTTTCATTAAATCAACTTCCCATATTAATCTGTATATTTTTCAACTTTTAGATGTCGCAGTCGAGCTTCCCTCAGTTTTCTTCAAGCAGGACGGATTCTGGGATCTTCCCATATCCTAATATTCACGGATGTTCCTCATCGTTACCTCCTACCTCAATACCTACAAATTATTCTACCACATCACCTCATCGATTTCCACCGAAGGCAATCTCATCCCCAACTATAAAACAGGAATTCATCGCACCTAATTGTTCCACGAATGATATATCGTATTTCCCGTCCCTATCCGCTCTCCTAAGAAGCGATTCCGACCCCAAACCCGCGCCTTTATACTCACCCCCGACAACCATTACACCCAATATGAATATGTTACATTACTTCCAAACCCCGTCTTCACATCCTTCGATAGTAGAGAAAACCTCAGCCGATATCCCGGTACCTCTTGAATATAAACCTGTAATCAGTCGTGCAGACGAAAGCCTACCAAAGCAAAGCAATAACATGAGGTAAGATAAAAACATAAGCTGACTTTGTTTTATTCATAAAAGTCGAAATCTATAAAACCTTCTCAATCAGTTATTTCGCTACGTTGTATATGTTTTCCTGGTTGTATAGACTTGAAGTGCTTCAAGACTCGCTGTAATCTTTATTTCTGACGCGTAATATACAACCAAAAATCGATATAGTTTTTGTTGTTCATATCATAAGTATATGCTGATCAATTGAGTCAACGCTGCAAATGTCCATTCTACAATACACAGTTCAAGCCATTTCTAGGTCCCCACCACGATCCTGTAAGCAAACCCAAGTCCCTGTCAAACGATTGAGTCATTTTATAATTAACTATGATCCCCGTCCTGCATTTCCCATGTTTTTTGTGAAACTTTGTCGAAACCCAGCCCAAGTGCACTTGTCATAAATAAAGAAAATCTATCTCTGAGGGACGTTACGTGCGATAACTAGAGTGCCGTGAGCTAATGGAACTACGAAGAATTATATATAGGCAGAATTTTATAATTTGAAATTTACCTATTTAATTTTGCAGATCTGTGAACGACTGTGTACACTGTGACCGAAAATTCGAAAACGGAGAGCAACTACGAGAACACGTGATCAACGACCATAGCCGCAAAGACCAGAGACGTGATTCTGCCTATTCAAGCCATAGCGACAAATCTCTTCCTTCTTCGCCAAATCTGAGAAAATCCTCTCCAAACACTTCCGGTTCAGCAGCGAATGAGATCACACATGTTACGTTCCAAGCGAAGCGAATCCAATCCGCTTTTATGCAGAGAGTGAAAGACCTTGCTTATAAGTCATTGGGAAGGTGTGAACCCGTACCGGAAGAGGTCACAGAAATTCCGCATACGTCACAATCGGGAGAAAACGATAGAGCAAATGAAGATGTCGGTGGTCCCGATGTCGGTCGTTCGCCAACTGAAAATGACAACCACGATGTGGCGTCAACGACGACTAACGAAGAGCGACATGTCTCCTCCTCTGACGAAATACAAAGTCCAGAGAGAAAGTCACTAAAAAGAGGTAAGAATACACATTAATGTTGTCGATGCGATGTAGCTCATAAAGGCAATACTCAGAAACCTAAAATTTCTTTTAATTCCCGATGAGGTACTTGATGAACAGGTTTGGTCTCCCGCGACTTTTACCACCTAATTTATTTAATATGTAATTACTTTAACTTGTTGGAAAAATGAACTGTAATATGACTTATTATTGTGAACTGTAAGTCGAGTTTATGGTCGGTTTTATTTTGATCGATGTGCGCCAGTATTCGAGCAATATGGACTCACCAAGGATGTACCTGCTTCGTAGGCAGACCTGACTAGTATTTTGAACTTTGTGTCACGTTTTCTTAGCTTGGTACCAAATACCAAACCAAAGCAATCATAATAATATGAGCAATCACACTTGTAATAGTTTCAACACCACAAACTTATCTCTAAACCCCGTCTAATTGTTAGCTTTCAATAAACTCCTTATTTCACTTTCAGCATCTGAAAAACCACAGAAGTGGAAGCGACAACTATGCAACGAATGGTATGAAATACCTGCCAAGAAGTCGAATGAAGACAAACATATGCAAGACAACGAAGAAACTGTGCAATACAAAGATAATGAGAATATAAACAAAAGCCAGGATAGTGAAGCGAAGGGAGATAGTATCGATGGCGCCTCACCAGTGTCACGAACCCCCGATGCATCCCATGATGACACTTATCCGCCGCCTCAAACCAAATCTGTGGCGCCTGGTTTTGATGCCAATCGATTCGCCCCTATCATTGAATGGAAGCCAGTTATAACAGGTTGGAAAGACTTGGTTTATGGCACAATGTATGCGGTGCCACCTCAGATTCAGCAAAGCTTCCTCGGCCTAACCTCGCCATTTGCAGATCCAAGACTTTTATACAACGACAATGGAATACACGGGATAACCGGCGATACAACCAATACCTTCAATATCAAACCCGGAGTTGACTCACTCAACCACGAAAACAACAGCGACCCAGCGTCTAGATTTTTCCGGTTTTCACCAAACACAGTCGCAAATTTCGCATATCGAAAAGAAAGTCAGACTCCGACCACTCCTGAATCTGCCCAATCGGGTATCTACAACCACTACTACCCGTCTGAATCTCTTCCAATATCCGGTTATAGTCGACTCCAACACGCACTTTTATATCAGTGGGATCCAAACCGAACAAGGCTTGACGGTACATCTTCTGTTCCCCAGTCCGCCAATCTTGTTCCCGCTAATTAATTAAATAGCGTCAATAATATTCTTTTCCTATTTTGCTTACTATATAATACTTTCTGTATCCAGGATAACAGCTATCATTTTTATTACTTTATCAATCACTTTCATTCAAGTTTTATTTTCACCTAGTGTTGCCCTCGCTTCTGAAACAAATAACTGAATATTTACTATTCCCATACGCGACATGAACTGGGGGGCCGAGGTACGCCATATGATTAAGACATCTTTTCGCCTTTCCTCTTCCGCAGGAATTATAAATTTCAGAAATCCTACTGATATCACGAGGAAATCGTCATCAACTAGGTAGCTTTCTGTCAGTCAAAATATGAATAACATGATTTTGTTCGGAATGAAACACCTTCTAGATTCTTGTACAAGGCCCTTTGTTGTCAATCAATGATGTGCAAGCTACATGGCAATAATCGCCCTGGTTCGCTTATTTAACCAATTCTCTTGCTTTTGGTTCTGATTAACATAGCCAGCCACAGTTGCGTAGATAGCTCCATAAACAATTCAGCAGAGCAAACGTGTTCTTGGTTTGAACATTGAATTTGCGGTAACTCGGAACCCAAAGTTTTATTTGCGACTTGGTCAATTTTGACTGACTGGCTGCGCAACTGCGGTATTTAATAGGTTTAAATTTCATAAGTATAGGGTTATCGCTACGGCATGGAATTCGGTCTAAGCATTTTAGATAAAACGACTAGTAAAAATAAATCTTCCTTCATTCTCAAAGTTTACCTTCAACCACAAATACCTCAAACTTTGTCGCATTGATACATTTAAAACTGTATATTAATTTTTCCAATACCATTTACCTCAGGTTACTCGGAGCACTGTTATAAGCATACCTCTCTGTATAAGCATGTTTGACGAAGATGTACAGTTATAATTTTCATCTGTATTTCATTGTTATAGGTATACAGTGTGACTACATTTTATGTATTCAGTATATTTTGCATAATTTACTTTACTGTGATGAAAATATAGCGTCGTAGACCTCTAGTTATCGATTTCCATCCATTATTACTTCATTCCGTTGAACCAACGGAACTTGTTTAAGAAAAGTACATATAAATACTGGTGCGAAACCTTTGTGGGCGCAAATCCCTCCAAACCTCAAATCCGAGTAGATTTTAATATGACTTTACCAAACTTTTCCCGACTCGCTTAATGACGACCAGAATTCCAGAATATTTTCTTTACATATTGCAAACTCAGGTAATTCAAAATATAAAGATCCTTAATTCTTCTTTTCTTGCATCCAATGCCTTCGTATAACAAATAAAAACAATTATTGTAAAACTCTTGTATTTTTTATTGAACAAGTTTATGAAGAAAGTTTGTGGAAGCCATGGCCTAGTGCAGCGATCGCCAACCTGTGGCTCGGAGCTCTGTCTCAAAGTTGTTTTTTAGAAGCGTTGAGGCATTAATGAGAGGCGGAGGCATAAAGCTAAATACTCCCCACTAATTACACATCACAGCGGTCCCCAAACTATACGTCGCAAGCGGTAAAAATAGGTTGCATTAATGCGATTCAAGTGTGTAAACACTCTCTTTTTTTAGTTTTGCAAGCAGTTTTCATTTCGTCATAGATTCTATTATTGAATCTTCGTATTTTTAAGAACTTGCTTATTGCATCATAAGTGGGTTTCCGAAAGTTTTATTAGCCTCTGACATAAGAGTATATGTTGCGGCTCGGCAGCGCGGCGGTGTGGCTCATCGTGCTAAGCGTTAGGAAAACTCTCGCCATAGCACCTCTGATTACTCTGCGTGGTTTCGCATGTTCGAATCCAATTCGGGAATGGTTATGTGCGAGAGGATTGCTGGACTCTTCGCCGCCGTGGGGTGGTTCACGTAACCGCTGGCCGTGCAAGTCCATGCTTTCGAAAACAAATAACCAACTAATCCCATCAGTGGCGTATCTAGGGTGTGGCAGCCATGGCTCGTGCCATGGGCGCCGTTTGAACAGGGGCGCAAAACGGGCAAAAAGTATTAATCATAAAAAATTTCAATTGGGAATAATTGAAACTCGTATTTTTACTCAGATAATAACGTACAAGTATCTCAATTAAATAATAGTCATTATAAATTGTCAAACTATCAAGGGGGCGAGTTTTCAGAATTTGCCATGGGCGACATTTTACGTAGATACGCCACTATCCCATACCCGTGCCAACCCGTGTCCTAGTGGTTGAAGCGTAAGACTTCGTTCTCATTTGCCTTGTGAGTTGTTTAAGAAACCATATATCAATACTGGTGAATGTGGGGTCTTTAAATGTGAGTAAATTTTATTGATAATTAATCATTATGAACCTCAAGTATTTTTTTTTTTGAAAGAGAGTGTAATCCGCATATAAAAACAATTTAAATAGTCGGGAAAAGTACTGACGAAACTTTGACTATCACCATAGGTGCGGTAACCGGACAAGTGGTCGTGGTTCGCCTTATGATTAAGTCGGCTTTATTCTCCACCGATATAGATGAAATATTGTCCTATGCTAAAACCTTTCCGAAAGTGGTGCGACTGATTCGGAGGCCTCTATCCGATGAACAGCAGTATGGTAAAGAGTCGCTGAAACAAACCAGTCCGAAAGTCGCTATTGGTGTTCAAAAATTAGCTTTAAAATGGTGCGATAAATTAGGCTAAAATTAGCTATCAGTACTAGTTTGTAAGACCAACTCGCAATAGACTCCTAAAAATAAATCCATGAAGAATATCTTTCGGGTCGAAGGTCTGGAAAATATCCATCGGCACGAAACCACGGAAGTCTTGTTGGACACCATGCATGAGTGACTTCATACGGCGCCGCCATCTTTGATTTTAGCTCCAAGTTTTGAAGATCATACTATTATTGGATTGGGATTGTATGTTGTAATTGTCAAAATGTCGTTAATATGCACAAGTAAGTTGATTGAATTTAAATTTATTTACGTATTTGGAAGTAATTACGTGCAAGAGGATTACTGGTTCACGCTACCGCTATAAGCTTTCCCCTGTGCCCTTCCTTTGATATTTCTGTATTTGTTTCCAAAAAAAACATGTTTTACTGAAACTTGTTATTTGTAAATTTTTCAAAGGGGTCTAGGGTGGTGCAGCCAGTCTGTGGACGATTTCATTCAAACTGCTATAAAATTAAAACTAATATTTCTAACCTGTTAATTTTTTCACCATAGGTCTGTAGGTGCATTGGCAGGGTCTAGTATAGTTTAGTACCACAAGTACTTCCAGTCTGCCAGTGGGCGTAGCATAACGATTTTTGCATATGTTATTCCTAACCCTCACCTGACTATGCCATCCAAAAATTACTACACTACGACGTCACCATCACGTCATACTGTCATAGGGATTGTCAAAGTATAATTACGATCGCCCGAAATGGCATCTGCGCTGCCGATAAGAACTTGCTAAAGCCGGCGATCTCTCTCCTATCGTGATCATTGCGATGAGAAAACGAAAGAAATAGCTTGCTCGATTTCGGGTTATCGTCTGCGCCTTTTGGACAACCATCCGCATACTTCGGTGGGCCGTGTTACGCCACTGTGACGTCGGAATGACGTAATTTTTTGGTGACGTAGTCAGGTGGGGGTTAGGATTGACATATGCAAAAATTGTTGAGCCAGGCCAATTAGAAGTGTATGTGGTACTAAACTATACCAGACCCCATTGGCATTTATTCTACACGGTAAATCTCGAATTAACTTTCTACGACCAGTGGTTAAAGCTATACAAACCATCAAAGTATGACACTCGGGAGACGTATTTGCGACCGAACGACCAGTGTGCAACCGCAGATTTCAAGCCTTGAACATCGCTTATGCTGCGTTGAGACTAGCACATACGCAGCCATGCGTGAAAAAATTGGGCTCCTAATTGCTTTTTTGACCGTCATATATTTTGAGAACACGATTATTTCGAACACAACTCGTCAAATTATAAACAAAGCACCACATCACAGCAATCAAACAGACAAAAACACGGTGATCGCAAATTGTTCGACAAAGATATTATTGACGTATTGGAAATGTGCACCCCCCTATTTCCCCTCCCTTAAATGTTGAAACGTGAAACTTTAAAGATGGTTAAAAGAAACAAAACTCTACTCAGCTGCCAAGTTTCATGTTTTTATCTCCTATATTTCTATAGATTTTCAAGCTTTTTGGAGCGACAATGGGTAGTTGGCGACATGAAAAAATGGTCCGTTTTTTTTCTCCGGGCGGGTTTTCGGGCGTAACTTTTTTTGTTTGTGGCCGCATTTTAGTGTAATTCCGCAGAGATACGAGGTATGAGTGGACGAAATTGGGTGAGAAATATCGTCGCGGTTCATTAATTTTTTCGGTATTAAATTAACCGATGAAGTTGATGGCCGCAAATGGGTCGTGGCCGCAAAGTGGGTAAGCCACCCTACTATAGTTTAGTAACACAAGTATACCACTAGTTGGCGTAGCATAACGAATTTTGCATATGTCATTCCTAACCCCCACCTGACTATGCCATCCAAAAATTATGTCACTAGGACGTCACAATCACGTCATAGAGCTTGCTAAAGTGTAGCTGCGATCGCCCGAAATGGCATCTGTGCCGCCGATAACGAACATCGGCGATCTCTCTCATATCAGGGTCGTTGCGACGAGAAAACGAGAGAAATAACTTGCTCAATTTTGGATGATCGTCTGTGCATTTGGGACGTCCTTCCGTATATTTAGGAGGGCTTTATTACGAAACTGTGATGTCATAATGACATGATTTTTTGGTGACATAGTCAGGTGGGGTTTAAGAATGACATATGCAAAAAGGTGACTGTACATTTGAACCCATGTGTATATCCGCGGGTGCTAAAACCCATGGGTTAGGGTCAGTATGGGTTAAAATGTCCGTAAAACAAAAAAATTTACGTGTGTTCAAATGTACGGGAACCATGCAAAAATTGTTGAGCCAGACCAACTAGAAGTGCATGTGGTACTTAACTATACCAGACCCGTCATAAGTATGTCCTATGGACTCCTATGTCGGTATATTGAACCCCAGTTATAATAAACTTCGACTGACTGACGTATGTCTGTATGTGAACATTTTGACACATTCCAGATTTCCAGCATTCTGTTATTTGCCAAAATGATTGTCTCTTTCTCACTGGATGGTGAAACAACCAGACCTTTCATTTCAAAAATTCATTTTAATCCTTTTTTACAGTCAGTGGAGAAGTGCCAGATCACCCATGCATATCCCAAGTATCTGGATGTGTATTTGAACGAAGATTGCTTGAAAAATATGTCCAAGAGCATGGTGTCGACCCTACATGCAACGAACCTATTTCACCGGAACAGATAATTGATATAAAGGTTGATACTGCGTTATATCTGACATGGGCGAACTACGGCCCGCGTTGCCAAATCCGGCCCAAATCCAATCTGGCCTACCTGATGCTGCCACAACCAACTAAAATCAAATAAAAACCATATTTATTTGTATTGATGACTGTATTTTCGGTTGACCCAATAATGAATCTCTCCTTCTTTCTGTCATTTTAGGCATTCGACATCTGAAATAAACGACAAAAATAGACTTAATTCATCTTCTAACAGTGCAAAAAAAACAATTCCAATCAGAACAAAGTTTATATTATCTATCTTACTTTACCAGATTCAGTTTCAACGAATTTACATAGTACATACAAATTCCTCTGTTGAAAATTGCCACATTAGAATATTTTCTATATCTTATATTAGCAAACGTCACTTCAGACTTCAATTATAATAGCGGCTGTCTCTGATTCAGTCATACTTCACCAAATTTCTACCTATTCAATATTCTCACCAACATAATGGTCTGAAACTCCGAAAACTTATATTTATCTGTATATTACAGACTAGACCTGACATAGCCAAACTATGGCCTGTGATCCAAATCCGGGCACAATCAGACTAAAATTAAAAGTTTGATATTTGGCTAAAAATAGCTCAATGACTTATTCATATTTATTTCATTTTTATCCTGGTCTGGAGAAAATTCCTATGTGAGTAAGATGTGAACCTCTGGCTGCCAGTGCCACTAGCATTTAGCAAAAATGTGCTGAGCGAGGGGCTATTCAATGGCCAATTCTTCTTGCATAATTTGAAAATTATTGTATTTTCAGACTCACTCAGTGATCAAGCCCAAACCACCTTCTGCAACAAGTATCCCAGCTATATTGAAGTCCTTACAAGATGAGTGGGATGCTTGCATGCTGAATTCATATACATTGAGACAGCAGTTACAAACTACAAGACAAGGTATCAATATCCCCAATTTTTTATTTTGGACTATAGTGTTAGAAATCAATCGTGAGCACATGGGTACACATATAGGACACTGCACATGTTGGACAGTAATTATCATTCAAATGTTGACTGAAAGTGTAGGATATATATCTATCCCTATTTCTGAAACATGGCAGCCAAACCTCCTTGTACAACGGATGCCATTCAAATAGCTTTTGGTATCGTATATTCCTAACCTGCTGTTCACTGTGACCATCTTTCAGGAGGGGCATTCAAATTGTATTTTGGAGTATCCCTATTCCTAACCTGCAATCTATGGCAGCCTTATAGTCCTGTGCAAAGAAGGCCATTCAAATAACGAATGGTACCATATATCCATCCCTATGACAGCTGAATAGCCGTCTATGGAGGCGGGCATTCTAATGATGTTTGGGACCATATATTCATCCTAGTTTCTAACCTGCCGTCTATATGTTGATAATAAATGAAGCACAACCGGTGTTACCAAAACGATGTAAATTTGCCGGCGTTTCGAATTTCTATACAGAAAAACTTCATCAGGGCATCTGTTCGAAACGTCGGCAAATTACATCCTTTCGCTAACATCAGTTGTGCTTCATTTATTATCAACATGAGTTCACCTGGTGGCAATCATGCACTGCAGTCTATATGGCAGGATTGGCAGCCTGATAGCCGTCTACAGAGGAGGCCATTCAAATAGCTATTGATACCATTATATTCCTATTCCTAACTACGCTCTATATCTATGACAGTCCAATGGCCATATACGAAGGAGGCCATACAAATGGTGTTTGGGACCCTATATACATCCCTATTTTCATGTCTATATTGCAGCTCAATATGGCTATCTTTGTGAGAGGGCGATCGAATGATGACTGAAACCATATATTTATCCCTATTTCCTATCTATTCCAGAACTTGCACACGCTTTGTACCAGCATGACGCTGCGTGTAGAATGATTGCTAGATTGACTAAAGAAGCAACAGCTGCTCGTGAGGCTTTGGCGACTCTGAAACCACAAGCTGGCAATATTGGGCAACCAATGCCTCAAGTTCCAGCGCCGCAACAAATGGCTGTCGATGAGAAAATGGAATATGATGGTAAGATGAATGTCATCTGCAAGTTTGGGTTTTTATCAGTGGTTTTCAAACTTTTTAAGCCGCACCCCCTTTTTAGAGCTTGTAAAGTCTCACACCCACCTCAAAAATAACTACCAGTAGGCAGTAGCTAACAATAACCTATAAATACCAGATACTAACGCGAGAGTATGTTTTATCCAAAGAGAATGTTGAAAATATGTGGGTAGTAAAATGTGAATATCTAAAATGAGGTGGGCAAAATCAAATTTGCTAATGTTTGCATCTGTAGCTTGAAACTAGTTTATCAATAGAATTTGTTCAAACCCAGAATCTAAATTTTCTCTCGTTCAGAAGTAAAGGAAACTTGCCTTTAAGCAAAGTTACCAATGCCAAAATGCCAAAAGCAATGTAAACATTCAAAATGAGGGCAAGATCAAATTTGACGAATGTTTTCATTTTTAATTAACTCTACACCTCCTCAAAAAACTGTCTACTATATTGAATTACGATGCTGTTTTTGGAATAAAATCTACTATTTCTCTCATTTGCATACTCAGGCGAACCTATTGGTCTCACTGATGACATCATACAGAAGTTGATGGACAAAGCCGGCGTTCTGACAACAGAACGTAAGAAACGTGGAAAACACGTACCTGAAGGACTGGTTGGCACGGATGATATTAGAAATTATAGACAGGTGTGATATCTTTGAAATGTTTGAAAATAGATTTAAAAAATGCCTCGATGGTTGGTGGTGCATGATGCTAAGCTCTAGGAACTTTTGTTTAGTTGTACAGTTGTATGCATTTCCCAAACTTTTGTTTATGCAGCGCTAAGTTATCAGGGAAAAAACTCATGGCACACTTACACAAAAAGAAAATGCTGCTTTTAAATATACTGCTTTTAAGAAATAATCGCAAAAGGTTAACTCTTCTTCCTCATCTCTGCCTGATTTGGTGGCGCACTCAGGAATCTCTGCCATAGTGAATCATTGTGTGCATGAAGATTGCTGGACTCCTCACTGGCATATGATGATTGAAACAGTTATGACTCCCTCCCCCATCGAGTGTATGTATTGAAACAAAATAGCTGTTTAACTATTCCCATACCTGACATGAACTGGTAACCAGACAAGAAGGTTTCCCAAATAATCGAGCCGTTTTATCAACTTTCCTTTCTCCCAGGATAAATAGGAAATTCCTCCATATTACAACAATTAGCCGCTCTCTGCTTGCCTTAAATATTTTTTTTTTATCTAGGTTGCCTCCCACCCTGGTCTTCACTCAGCTTCTGTTCCCGGGATTCTGTGTTTGGATATTTGTGCTTCTGATAACAACAGGTAATATTTAACCATTGCTCATTCTAGCTTTCACATTGAACAAGACTCTTCATAGGAAGCCAGCGTTGACCAGCGTTGAGTAGGAGTTCCTAAACCCTTAGTGTCAAGTTGGGTCAGTGCACTCGCAGGAAACCAAAAAAGTTCAGTTGCTGCTATTTTGGGTAAAAAATCTAGTCCCAAGTCGTAGAAAATTTCGTGAAAGTAGAGTGAAATTGATGCTAATGCTTGAAACGTATATATTTCATGTTAAACTTAAATTGGGATTTAATCTATTATTGACAGCATTATCGTTATAATCACATGCTCAATGGAAAATGTTTATTTTCATATTCTGCATAAGTATCACATAACCATATTAGAACAAACATACCACAGAATCATTCTATTTATAATATACTATTGAAAATTCATGAAGCAAGCATTATCAATTGCACACCAAATCCACATGCTAATTTGCATTTCAATTTTACAGAGTGATCACTGGAGGGGCAGACAAGACAGCAGTTGTATTTGATAAGGAGAGTGAGCAAGTCATCAGCACTTTGAAAGGTCATTCTAGGAAGGTCTCTCATGTCATCTACCATCCTACTGAGGTAAGGAGAAAAATTCAGGTTGCTCCCTGAAACATGTTTGCTCAAAGCAGACCTTTTCACCTTCACTTTCAACAAGGCATTTCTAAAAGCATCTCATCTGCTCAAAACAAGGTCACACCGGCTGACTCTTAGATATAAAGCTGGGCAAAGTTATGGCGACCCAAAAAATACTAAGAGTCACTATACAAGGTGTCTCAAAATAAATGAAACCCACAAAATTGGTAATGCAATTAATGCGTCTCGATTATTTTGGTACACCCTGTATATCGAATTAGGGCATGCATTGGGCACAAGTAAATGCGGATTGGCTCGAGATTTGTTGCACAAACCTTTCATGCAAAACAAGACTACTGTGGCATAGCTCGCAAAAATGTCCCTGTACAGTTTTGATGACAGGCATTGTTTCTAGTACACAGTAACCAATAAACACAACCCAGGTCGTTTGAATCATATGGTAAAGAGAAGATAACTTTTGTGCAAAGCGCCCCATATTACTGAAACTTTTGGGTACAAAAAAAAGGCTCCCGAAGTATGCGAACCAAGATGGCGGACATCGGAGTGTAATATGTGTACTAGGTTAGGGTTAGGCCATAATTTTAGGTATAAATACTACGGGAGGCTCTTGGCTAGTCTTCGAACTGATAATAGGACTAAAATAAGGAAAATTGGAAAAAAATTATCGCCTAACCCTAACCTGTTACCCATGTTACGTTCCGATGTCCGCCATCTTGGTTCGCATACTTCGGGAGCACCCAAAAAAATTTATGTGTTCCGTTTCTTTTATGTTATCTTGTACAATGTCACGAACCACTTTTCCACAGCAGTGTATTCAAATGGTTTCTCAACTTTCATCAAGGAATCCATGACACTGAAAAGTTTGGGAACTACTGCAACCCAAATCTCAGAAATAAACAACTTGATGAAAAATATTTCGAATTAACAAATATAGAAACTTTATCCTAATCATTAAGCATTCATCCGAACATATGTTTTTCCAGGATATTGCCTTCACATGCTCTCCTGATTCTACAATTCGTATCTGGTCGGTTCAAAATGGACGCTGCTCAACTGTCATCAGGACACACAAGGCTGCAGTGACTGGTAAGTGGTGAAATCACTTGTTATTTTTGTTGTGCTAATCTCTGAAGTGCTGTTAACTGGCATTAATGTTTGCTTTTGTACTATTACTATCTTTTAATACAGAGTTTACAAACTTTTTTCATCACGACCCAAATTTTTGCGTGAACCACAGGAGCTAAAATCTAAAAAATTAAAATTTATTAATACAGAACATATTAAAAAAATAAATAAAATTCACAATAAATTTAATGAGACAGATGTGCTTGCATATTTTCACACAAAAGATAGAATCTTAGCTCTATTTCATTGATGGTCGGTCTGAATCTTTCAAATTTGATTAATATTTTGTTTCAACATAATTTTGTGTCAGAATAGATTTTACCACGACCCCATTGAGCCCTTTCGTGACCCACCAGGGAGTCGGACCCCCCCAGTTTGAAGACCCCTGCTCTTAATATATTCATTCTCTGTCCAGGTATAAGTTTGCATGCATTGGGAGATTATCTTCTAAGCTGTAGTGAAGATCAACATTGGGCATTCAGTGACATCAGGAGCGGAAAAGCTTTGTGTAAAGTAACGGATGATGCTATGGGAAGTGGTGAGTTACAAATAACGATAAATAAAACTCTTTTGCTTGTGTTTTTTCCTACTTCCTAATAGACAGGGTACAATTTTTATAATTAGGAAAACTAGATTATATATATAGTTTTATCATTATAGTGGTCACAAATGAGAATACCCAAATTTTTGCAATTCTCAGTATTATTCTTATTATTAGTCTTTTGACAAGGAAGATATAGCATGTTTTGAATTTTTACTTGAAGTTACTGAAAATTTGATAATATTTCGTGAATATTATTCAAATTAAATTCCTTCCAACAGACTATATATATTCATCGAGTATCGTTATCTTGAAGCCATGAGAATATGTGTTTAAAATGTTGAGCAAACTATTATTCTAAAAGTCGAGGTAATGCCACAATAAAATCATAGAAATGTCGCTGCAACCATTGGCTATCATTACATTTTGGAATTTTGAGAAAATTACATTCTTGTAATAGTCCGGATCCAACAGACAAACCTGAAAATGGTCCTAAAGCAGATAGATCTAAAATCAAAACTAAAACATGTTCAGTTTTGAAATCCAAACTGAAAGATGGCCTCTGGTCCATAATGACAAAAATCAGAAATATCCAAATTGTTTGGAGGAGCAATATGAATCTTGTGAATTAAAAAATAACAATTTCTGTTTTCCAGCTCTCACTTGTGCTCAGTTTCATCCTGATGGTTTGATCTTTGGAACCGGAACACAGGACAGTCAGATTAAGATTTGGGATTTGAAGGTGACTTTCACTCTATTAATGATCGGTTTCTGTTTCCGGCGTTTAGATAAGAGTTCATGAATTCCAGAAATTGAAAATAGGTCTTAGACACAACAACATTGACTGAAAATACCAACTTGAATTACGTATCCCAGATGTTTTTTACATAATATTTCTTTTGCTATTATGCTTATGGTGAAATTTCAATCTTGTTCTTGGACAAGAAGGCACTGGTACTGAAGAAGTTGCCCACCTAATTTATAACTCTGTCAGTGAGGAGAATTCACTTTTTGTACGAGAGGTCTTGGGTGGCAGGTCAACTATTTTGTTTTTTCCAGGAAAGGACAAACGTTGCAAACTTCCCTGGACATTCTGGACCAATCACAGACATCGCTTTCTCAGAGAATGGTTACTATCTGGCAACTGCTGCAGATGACTCTGTCGTTAAACTCTGGGATTTGAGAAAACTGAAGAACTTCAAGACATTGACCATGGATGATAGATATGAGGTTTGTAAAGGATTTGCTTGGTTTCCCATATGCAGAGGTAGAAATTTTCGAAAATTTGATTAATAAAATGAAAACTAAAATCATAGGATTCGGATAGATTAGATTTTTTAAAATTAGTCCGAAACCTGGGATGCGAAGCGGCTGGAAGGAAAACGATTTCATGAAGCATAAGTAAGGTCTTGAGAAATAAATTATAGAATTTTTGCTGATGAACGAGATTTTAGACTTAATAATGTTATTCTTATATTTATTTAGATCAAGTCATTGACGTTCGATAAATCAGGAACCTACTTAGCAGTTGCAGGAACCGATATCCGTGTATACTTTTGCAAACAATGGCAGGAACTGAGGAATTTCACTGAGCACGGATCCGTCGCCACTGGAGTAAAGTTCGGCCAAAATGCAAGCTTCATTGCTTCCTGCAGCATGGATCGTACTTTGAAGTATTATGGCATAGTGTGAAGACTTCTGTGTGAGACTCAAAATGAAGTTTAACAATAACTATTCCATTTTTGTGGTGTAAGCAATGCAAAGACGTCATCCACTCCAGAAAGACTCTTACGGTTTCATGCTGTACATATGAACACTGACGCTACTACATTTTAGGATTTTAATCTAGGGATAAGGCCATACTAAAGTCGAAATCCATAAAATATGATGCAATGAACTGCTAGTAACATGAATGATGTGACATATTAGCATTTGTAATTATTATAGACCTGCCATTTTTCACAAGTATTTCTAAATTTAAAACGCTGTATGAAGTAATATTCTTGGTTGGTCTTATTTGTTGTGACTTGAAAACTATTTAGCTTTTCTGGTTTCAGACTACATTCTTCAATACCAAGTTCGGGAAGGTCAAATATGGAAGAAATATTGTAAGAATGTTTCCTATTTAGATAGTGTTGTACAAAAGTGTTTATTCTGGGTAAATTATTTTCTAAATTGTCATTAGACTTGGTACAATTTGAACCATTGTTGTCTATTTACTTTAGAATGAATTTTTGTTTTGATACTTATTCAGTTGCATTTGAAAAGAAAGTTTTTCAAAGGCACACATCCCCAGAAACAATATAACTGCCAAATCCCATATAAACTTCCTAGTAAAGCTAGTATTTAGTCTTATTTTGTAATTTTCCACTGAACATGTTATGGGTTTCTGCATGATGAAGTTATTTGAATTTTTCTTTCAAAACTACCGTAGTTCTGATTCTGATTGTTCTGTGGAATTATAATTAAATCCAATCTTTGTTGAGATCTTAAGATTGGTAAGTATGTTGATAGGTATTTGTCTGTTAGACACTTTCGTATGTTGCGAGGTTCTCATTGATTTTGGATGAATTATGTCGTATAATAAACGAGTTATTAATGAATTAATTTTTTTTTGCGGTCGATCGATAAGTCTTCTGTCTCCGACCGATATTCTCGTTTTGTTGTTGTTCAGTAGAGTAGAGGGTGAAAAAGGTCGTCTCGGTCGTCTTTACTGGATTTAAGGTTTGATCCACAAAGATGACTTAGGTTTGGCGTCGGCGACAACAAATTTCAGAGTACTCTATTTTACAGCGTACTGTCAATAAATTGCTAGACTTGGTTTTTATTCACAAATAGTGCCCAATCGACCAGTTTTGAGTGTAAGCACTAACCGCCGGCTATAGATTCTTGATAAAAATTTGGGATTCAATGGTTCGTAAAATATGGTGGTTTGTGATGGGTAGAGTTTATTTTCCTCGACTTGCGGAAGCTTGATTTGAAATATTCTGTGAAAGAAAAACGCCAATGATTTTTTTTCAACATGTTTTCGGTTGCTACAATTCTGTTTCACTACCGATCCAATGAACTGGGAGCTAGCAAATACCAGACACATTATTAATAAGTGAGCTATATTTATTTTATGAAATTGATATATGTACAACGAGAATTGCAAAAGTCTGAGGCATTCAGTGCTCATTAAAATAGATTGTCCACGCAGCTGAAATTACATTTCGGGAAGACTTAAAATCTAAATTGCTGTATTATTTGTATGTATTGCATTGTCTTCCGCATATTTTAAATACCTCATGTAGCAAATACATGGTACCAATGTTCCCTCTAATTTTTTGTAGTATGTGTGCGCAGAAATTTTGGTGTGTGCGCACTTTTTTGGGAATGACTAATATTTGTGCAAAACCAATGAAGAAATTTTGATGTTCTAACCGGGTAATAAGTGGGCCAACAACAAACTTTCTCAACCTGCCAACCGAGCGCATTGTTACATTACATCGAAATACGTCTGTGCGCAGTAAATCTATGCGTGTGCGCGGCCTCTGAAATCTGTGTGCGCGCGCACACCTTAGAGGGAACACTGCATGGTACATAGGTTTTTCGGGGCGAACCAAGATGGCGGACATCGGAATGTAATATCTGTACTAGGTTAGGGTTAGGCCATAATTTTAAGTACAAATACTACGGGAGGCTCTTGGCTAGTCTTTGAACTGATAATAGGACTAAAATTGGAAAAAAATTATCGCCTAACCCTAACCGGTTACGTTCCGATGTCCGCCATCTTGGTTCGCATACTTCGGGAGCCCCGGTTTTTCTATACTTTAAAAAAATATTATTACAGAGTTAAGCCAGGACAGATGTCATTCATGATGGAAAGAGAATGAATGCATATTTTTAAAATTGGTATATACAAAATTAAGAACACATTTATTTGCTTAGATCTACCCTGAAATTGCACACCATTATCACACAAACAGAAAATAATGAAACACCTACACAATGCGAAAAAAATTAAAAGAAAATAGTCCATACTAAATTTTTTCTGATAGACACCAAACATAATTAAACAAAGAAATACAGAAGAATAGCTGGGCAAGAATGGCTGAAGATATAAACAGAAAATAATTGAATGCTGTTGTAGAATGACTGGAATATGAGGGCTTTAACCCGAAAAGACAAAACTTTGATCAGAAAATAAGTTTTTTATGTGTAAATTTTTTCATGATTTCAACATTCGCCCTTTTGTCTTAAAGTCTCGAAATGCTGTTTCACAAGAGCGGCCTTAGTTAAGAGTCAAGTTCCAAGGGTAAACCTTAATTAAATCAAATGATATCGAGTATCTTAAGATACAAAAACACGTTGTTGGACACGTAGTGGACATAGCGACCGTTTCAATATTATGTTGTTGTTGTTCTTAGTGTCCTTGTTCTTTGACACGTTTTGAAGAAATCGCTTTTCTCTTCGAATGCTGGACCAATTGCTTTGAAATTTTCAGTGGTTGAAGATAAAAAAATTTTCGCTATGACGTCATCAAAATTATTCCCACTGGGTGGCGCTACGTGTCCATATATTTGAGCATAGCTCTCTTGTTTACTTATGCAGTCACATTAAAAAAGAATGATTATAAATGCTAGAAGAAGAAAATTAGAAGTTGTTTTACAGAAATCAATCACCATTTTTTGTATAAACCTTGTTTAATTAATACGAGTCGTTTACTTTCATTCTGAATCAAGACTAAGCACGAGTGGTTTAAGACAGAAGGCAGAAGAATTAAATGTTTCATAGAAATTGTGTAGCAGGCTAGCAGCTATCACTATTCTTCTATAAACCTAATTAATTAGTCTGTAATGGGAGCAAATACTGTATAATCAAACAAGAGAGAAAGCGTTCGTCTTAAAAACCAGGAATACAAAATTTGATGAAGCTTAACGCTGAAGAGATGGGTACTGCATACTGTTATCAGATACTTTTGGGTCCGAATTCATTAGTGACGATGGCGAAATATATATTGTCCAATTTAATCTGGAATCACACAGTCACATTACAGAAGAATGATTGAAGATATGCGCGGAAGAAACTTGAAGAAAATTTTCTTGAAAATCAAAAGAAATAAATTGCAATTGCAGCAGCTATCTTTATTTTTGAATCCTCAATGGAATGGTAACGTAAATTTGTTCACTTCTTACTTCCATCTTGGATCACACACATTGCGGAACTGTTGGCTTCTCGTTTCCAAATAAACCTGAAAAATAAGCTCAATTAAACCAGTGGTTCCCATCATTCTCTAAAAATACCTCCCTTTGCCCATATTGAAACATCCCCTTACTATGCACAAGAACTGCTAACTAATCCCATACCCGCCATGGACTGGTAACCGAACGAGAGGCCGTGGTTAATCATATAAAAGTATGGTTTGTCATGTGTTTGTTGTGGTTAGTCATAAAATTTTCACATCCAAATAAGATCTTTTTACCAAATTGATTCTCACTAACAACGTGGCTGCTGGCTCACAGCTAACCGGTCATACCTAGTCAGCTATTTAGACTATGCTAAACCAACACTTTATGATAATCATAAAGCTAATAATCTAATAAAATTATTTATGGCTGAACATCAGTAATGCAATTCTTGAACAACTGCGCCCCAATATTTAACTGAGGGGGCAGATATACCCGGAACATCATCCGCGAGAAAAAAAAAGTACAATGAATTGCATTTGCATCTTATCCTGCTTTCTCTCCCCCAAGATAAATATGTGAATCCTATCTTAAGTCAAGTAGAGTCACGGGTTATCAGAGTCTCAAGTCAATCACTGAGTTAAGAATCAACAGCGGTCGGTTGATGACAAGTCTGAGTCATCCTGCTAATTGGGGGGAGAAGTACAAGCTGAACTGAATTAGATAAAGTATCACGATGGACCAAAAACAACCAAAAAGTCAGTTCTACACCAAATACGAAGAAAAAAGATAATCACAAAGGAGAGCCGCGAGGAACCAAAGCTAGTTATCGAGCAGCGATACCCAAAGATCTATTATCTAATCAAATGAATCATGCATGTCGATTGAGGGAAGATTCTCTTACTTAAACGGTTTAAAGTTTAAACCAAAGAAGTCAGTAATGCCAATGCTTGGTGCAACTGCTGAAATTGGGCGCTTCAGAAGTGTATGTACTAGAGATGTACCGATGTATCGGTATCGGATATCGGTATCGGCAATATCGGTCATTTTTTCGGTATCGGTCATGTATCGGTATCGGTTAGATCAGGGCCGATATTTCCGATATATTTACCTTTTTTGATATGGCTCAGAATGTTTTAAAAGATTAGTTGGAATACTACTTTTCAATTTATTTTTTGTCCGGAGAGATCGTGAGCTATGAACCCTACATGTCCCCACCCCCGCGAGAGAATCGGATTCACGTGTTTTTAACTATTTATCAGCCAAACTAGCTCAACTAATTGGGCTATTTTCGTTGTTAAATTTTTATATTGACATTTTTAATATTACATAGTAACAATGAAGAATTATATCAACACAGCACATAACAAAAAGCAATTAGGCGCCCAGTTTTAAATCATACAGTGGAATTGGGGTCCTTATTAACGGCACATAGACTTTTGGCACGGGTATAAATTCTGACTGTTTGTCGTCAAGTACGAGTGTCATTTAGTCCATCGACATCGATAAACTATATTCCGACACAATTATTCCCTCTACGCAGGTATTAATTTTAATTTTGTTTAACTACACAATTACTTTATAGATATATTGCCATGACCGCCTAGCCCCAGACTGTCTCAAAATATATGATAGCAATTGTAAAATATTATAAACTGGTAAAAGTAAAAAAACATCCTCGACGGTTATAGGTAGGCCTTCTTTTTGTCGGTGCTAATTGATATTCTTTCATGTTGGCTTTGACTTATTGCGTCGACGATTACGATTAGCCACGAAATAAAATATTTGTAAAATGCTATTAATTTGAACGTAGGACGGCTGCGCTAGAATGTGTGGGTGATATTTGATATTCTTTTAAACACGAATAACGATATTCGAAAGTCGCGATATTAACATTAAATTCAAATTGGACGTCCCGGCTTATGAGTTTCCTAATTGAACACCGAGATTACTAGCGTTACTGTACAATGTATCTTAATCAGTTGAAGCAAACACCAAACATTAATTTCATATTATGTGATATATCTTTTTTTTCGATCTGAAATAATGTGTACTAAGAACAACGCTCAAAGACCATTGTTTTAACCCGTCTGCCCTACACAGCACCCCTAATTAAATAATAATTACATAGTATCGGTATCGGAATATCGGTAATATCGGCATTTTTGTAGTATCGGCGTATCGGTATCGGTATCGGCGTTTTTAGCTGGTATCGGATCGGTATCGGTATCGGCGACAAGAGTGGTATCGGTACATCTCTAGTATGTACCAATATGAAGGTAACTAATTTTGTCTACTTTACATCAAGTTGTGATAAGGGACTGAAACATATGGGCATGGAGTATATTCACTTGGCTAACACAGACAGTCCCCAAACTCGTAATAGAACTAAAATAAGAAAAATCGGAATAAAATTTTAGCCTAACCCTAACCTGGTACACAAATTACGGGAATGTTGTAGAACGGATATACATCAGTTGATAAATAAATGCATTTGGGGTCACCTTAATGTGACAAACATTTCAATAATTAAATCTTACCCGGTCCTCGACTCCAACAGAACAGAATCTCCTTTCTTCAAGTTGTAAGATTGATTTTCACCAGTGATTGTAGATTCACCTTCCTGAATTAAAGATTGAAAATAAGATAAAAAGAGCTGATAGCAAGTGTGAAAGAAGATTGTATGTCCAACCCCAATGAGTAAATATACTTGAAAAAAAAAAAGATTTGAAAATACAGAACGATAAACATAACCCCTAATCGCCGAGGGCAAATAAAGCACAACCCTTGTTAGCAAAACGATAAAATTTGCAGACGTTACACCTTTTTGCTAACATCTGTTGTGCTTTATTTATCCTCGACATGAATATACCTGGTGGCAATCATTCGCTATATAACCCCTAGTCGGTTAGGACTTCATACACTATCTATGCTAATTCCTTGGCACACTTCATGTACCTTCAAAAAAAAAATTGAAACCAGTCCCTAAGAGAACCAACCAATAATTGAAACTTATGATCATTAACTATCTGTTTCTCATACCAATTGCGTTAGTGTCTAGCAATACTCTCAGATCACATAGAAATGTATTATTCACACAGGATAAATACCCAAAGCATTCAAATTTCAAGTTGCTGTTTAAATTTGAAAAAAAAAATACTCAAGAGGAAATTTTGTTTGTCTGGTACTTACAATCTGCCAAATCCAATATTCCGTGTTGATCTCACACATCTTTGTTTCTCCTTCGAAGTAAATCTGTGTAATTCAGTATTGATGGTTCAGGTGTCAATTAGTTGGTTAGTTAGAATTGACTCGAAAGCGCCAAACTCTTCATTTGTAATTTAGAAGAAATTTACAGTGCAAATCTACATATAGAAGTCGAGTTTAAAACTTGTTTCAAAAAATGTTACCAAACTAAGGGTTCAGCATATTTGCGCATACCTCTAATCACACTAAAAATCCGGCTTATACACGCATAACTATAAGATGACTATATGCTAACTTAATTCCAAATGCTAGAACTCAAACCAAGTTCCCACAAGATGATAGTAGCGTCGGCTTATATGCGAATTTTCAATAAATTCACAGTTTCAGGACTGTTTTTAGGGGGTTGGCTTATATATGAGAATATACAGTACTAAACCCATATCAGATGACTGAGGTTTATTCATTTATTTTGATAGAATGTTATGAAAATTAAGGGTGGCTGCGTTAGAGAGGTTCATATAACCACTGGTTGGTTGCGGCTCCCACCACCATCAAGTCCATGCATCTGAAACAGCTAACTGGCTAACAAATCCCATGCCCGACATGGACTGGAAACCAGACGAGAGGCCATGGTTTGCCATATGGTTAAGCCATATTATCGGCTTTTTCTCTCCTAGGGTGAATTTATGAATGACTATCCTATCAAACACAATACCCATATCAGATGACCAAAGTTTCTATTTATTTATTTGGATAGAATGATATGAAAAATCAGGGTGGGCGTCGTAGGGTGGAGCACGTAACCTCTAATTGGTTATGAATTTATCCACCATCAGGTACATACATCTAAAACAGATAACTGTCTTACTATTCTCATATTTGAGCAGACAAAAAGGCTGTGTTACACCATCATTAGCCATGATTTAGTCGTCTTATCCACTTCTCTCCGCCACGGATAAATATAGAGATTCTACCTTGATATCAAATTGATATTTTCCACCGAACAAAGGAACAGAATCTCCATTTTTGTTATTTCGTTTTATCCAATCATCAAAGGACATTGGCTTCATAACTTCCGTCTTTTCATCGATTTCAAACGGCAATTCTTTCATTAATTTGTCTGAAAATTATGTGAAATCTATCAATGGTCGGGACAACAAAAGTGTGCTCATTTTTAATGGTGTCCTGTACGTTCTCACTTAAAGGTTCTAAATTTTTGTCGGCATCGTTATGCATGATCGATGCTTTTCTGATCATATGTATTCACTTAAAATCTTGATCTATGTTTTGCACTAGTTTTAATAATTGTGTTTCGAATCAGAAGTCTAAAAAAGACATAGTACTTTTTGTGAAATTGATGTACTTTTTGCGACCACTAAAATTTGTCTCCCAGTTCGGGAAGCCCTGTTATAAACAAGTCACATACAAAAAGGAGGAAAAAAATTCAAAATTTTCCCAAATCAACATTGTCATTACACCTTGATGATCATGAAGATTGAACTCTAGAGAGGCCACAAATTCATATGAGATCTATATTTTGCATTTGGTTCGACTGACTACGTGGCACATGCCTACTTTTCCAGGTTTAAGTGTACTTGGAAACGACGCACAAAAATTATCTTTACCAGGTCCCATATACCGATAAAGACATAGTGACGAAACTTTCTAATTACAAACTAAGCTCCTAATTATTAATTAATTATAATTATTTCACACATTGGTTATTCTAATAGGTAGTAGATAAGCAGGAAAAGTACCTGGATTAGGTTTTCCAGTTTTATGTTCTTCAGATGCAAAATATCTTAATAAAAACAATATTCGAACATGAATAATAAAGACAATATATGTAGAAGCTCGACTAAGAACAATTCATGGCTCTAAACAAGGTGAAACTACCGTGAAAAAAACTTGTTAAGCAACGAAACTGGGCAGAACGGGGAGTTTTTTGTAAAAGGAAAAGTAAAGTCAGTTTTGCACTTGGCATTGTGGCCCCCCCTCTCACTGCTGTATGGCCTCCAAATGGAAACGTTTGGGGTAGGCCAGGGTTTCCCAAACTGGGGTTCGCGTCCGTGACAACTGCTCAGGGGGTCCGCAACGATAATGATTGATTTTAATCAAAGAGCAATTGCATATTTTCGATTGAGTGTTGCGGACGAATATCCATTGCTGTCAGAACAGGCTAATAAAATTTAATAGCCCTTGAAACGACCTACATGCGTGAGGCAGCATTTTCACCTCTTATCAATATGATGACAAAATATGACAGATCGAGACTTGTCGCAGACTCGATTCTACGAGTTTGCTTGTCACAAATTGTTCCGAGAATCGATAAATTGTGCAGTGAAAAGCAATCTCATCCATTACGTTATTGTCGCTTGTCTTGTCGTGTTGTAAATGAAACATTATCCTCACTTGTTAGTTAGGCACAGAAATTGATATGACCATGGATGGGGGTCCGTCAGAACTAAGATTCTCAAATAGGGGTCCAAAAGTCCAAAAAGTTTTGGAAACTCTGGGGTAGGCAATGCAGAACTGAAAAAAATCCGGCCCTTACAAAAAAGGTAGCATATCAATATCTGTCTGTGCAGAGCCTTGTTCGAAGCAACGAGAATATAAATACCATATATCCAGTAGTGGGATTCAGCCGGTTCGCACACCGGTTCTATAGAACCATCTCACAGAATTTATGAGATTAGCGAACCGGTTAGCATTACATGACTTTTTGTAACAGAACCGGCTGAAAAATATGACTTTTGTGTGATGGAACCGGCTGACAAAATTTTTGAATCCCACCACTGCATACATCGCATGAGAAAGAATAACACAAGTTATTCATATAAAAATAAACTTACTCTTTTATTATAGGCACAAGTTCCGATCCTAAGTCATAACAATGAAACCATCTTTCGAATAAAACCTGCGTTGTATCGCCAGTGTAATATCGAAGGCCGTCAGTCTCATTATCTAGTCTGTCTCTCTCAATAACTAAACCAACTGTGTTCTCTTTTCTTTGTGGTGAGTGCGGAATACGGGCTGGTAGGAGAAATACCTAAAACGAGATGATAAATATAAAATGCTTACTACGAACAATAGTATTGTGTTTATGAGGATTCGCTCAAAGCGACATCATGTAAACTCAATCCCAATTTGATTCTTAAACAGCGTTCTACGAGCATATATCGTCATATGCAGTAATTTTCTATGAAAAGTTTTAAATCACTCAGATCGAGAATGAGGGCTCATACGAGTGTGTTCATTAACAATAATAGTAGCCAAATTTTTTTGAATCGGGGGCCAAAATCTCTGAACTACAAATCTCGTATCAATCCACAAAATGTATACACATTCATGTAATCAAATACAGATGTTGTTGGTTACCTCTCCCTCTTTTATTACAACATCTTTATGTTTTCCTTTCTCAAGTATCTTCAGACACATATCACCTTTTACCATGTAGAAAAGCTGAAAATATAACAAATGAACATCCTACAAGCAGCACATTATAAATAAAGACTCAAATAGGCTAGCTAGCATTGACACCCTGCATGGGTTTGCAACTGCGAAAAGACTAATCTCTGAGCATGTTACAGTCAACAACTAAAGATCCAAAAGTTACTGAGAATATAAGGTGTTAGAGTGTACAAATACACTGACTGATCCAAAATTTGAAGTTTAGGTCAATTTAATTAGGAAAACAGCTGTCGAGTAGTAAATTCTACATAGAATTTACATATTTATCCCGGGGAGAGGAAAGTCGATAAGACGGCTTAACCATATGGCGAACCACGGCCTCTTGTCCGGTTACAGGTCCATGTCGGGTATGGGATTAGTCAGAAAGTTATTACTTGTTGTTAAGTATGTTGTTAAGTATGTTGATAGGTATTCGTCTGTCTGTATGTCTGTCTGTTTGTCTGTTAGATGCACGCGATATCTCACGAAAGCGAAATTGAATCTGCTCCAGATTTTGCATGTGCATTCATCTTATCTCGGACCAGAAGCCCATTGATTCTGGGCGAATTATGTCATATAATCAGCGAGTTATTAATTAATTAGTGATGGGACACAAGGTGTCACTATAGAGTAAGAGCGCTGTTTTGGGGGATACCCTAACTTTCTATGTTAAGTCATCGGTCTCTGACCGATATTCTCGTTTGTATTTTGAAGCGTCTACTTGATAGTGGAGGAAGCCGTAACCTAGCAGCGGTTACATAAACCAACCTTACAGTGGTGAGGGGTCCAGCAATCCTCTCGCACATAACTATTCCCGTATGGGATTGGAACCTGTGTACAATCCAAATATGAAGTTTCATAGAGACAATGACACTGACCGATCCACGATTTGACAAGTCAATATGATCAGAAAAACAGCTCCCGAAGTATGTGCACCAAATGGCGCACAACTTGAGTATATAGTATGTGTACCAGGTTGGGGTTATCAGATTGTGCACCATCCTGGTGCACACACTTCTAGAACGCCGTGAATTCCATATACCGTAACTGAAGTTCATGGGAAAAACTTGGGGCATGAAATTTCATTGACTTTTCTTGCCTCTCAGTTATATTGAAAAGCCTTTCCTGCCATGTAGTAAAAATATTTGAAGATTCACAAACCTCCTCTCCCTCTTCATGGTGATAATCTTTCCTCTCGTTTGGTCCTCCAACAAACATCACTTTCAATTGTCCATTGTGCCTAAAAATTTGAAGTGGTTATTTTAAGCCACTGTCACGTCAGCGAAATCCTACATAAAAATATACGATGGTATAAAAGTGTGTTCCCACTTTGCGAAGTATTTCTAATCAATAGCCACGGAAACCCTAACGAAATTTTAGACTTCATTTGTTTAGTGCCATTAAATTATTTTTTATTCATAAATTTTATAATGAAACACTTTTTATGACATCATATTTTTGGGCAGCAAGATTTCGCTAGCGTGACAGAGGTTATTTTAAACCCTGAATTTTCGAGAGTAGCAATTCAGAAACACTATTTACACGATCTGTAATTGACTGGGCGGCGTGACGCATCATCGCTAAGCGATGGGAATACACTTGCCACCGCACCTCTGATTACCCTGCGTGGGTTCGTAGGTTCAAATTATGTGCGAGAGGATTGCTGAACTCCTCGCTACTTTGAGGTAGTTTACGTAACCGCTGGTCGATTATGGCCTCCCCCACCATCAAATCCATGCATCTGAAAACAAAATAACTGGCTAACTAATGCCATACCCCACATGGACTGGTAACCAGACGAGGGGACTTGATTTGCCATATGATTAAGCCATCTTATAGACTTTCCTCTCCCCGGAAATAATGTGTGGATGCTATCCTTATAATACACTCGTCTCATATTAAAGTATGATTTACACTCAGACTCTGTTACTTATCTCCACAATTATGGAGCAAATATAAAAAATGATCATTTAAAAAAAAATTACGCGTCATCATATAAAAGTTACTGCAATTTTTTTTTCGACAAAATTAACCACATATTTGATAACTCCTATACTTGAAACAAAACCCATTCTAACACACATAAAAGGCAACTTACATCATTTTGTTGCAAACAGGAGGATCGAAAGAATTCTTGTTTTCTTCGATCCATTGCCCTACGTTTATGATACCAGGAGTTGACATAATTTTTGTGTTAAAAAGAAATTTAAATTAGGAATCTAAAAAATAGAAATAGTCAGTGTTAGTTTTTATGATGCTTATTCAGGATTTTTGCTCTGAACAAGGCCCTACCAGCCTACAAGCAGCCATTGGTATCAAAGAATATGTTGAAAGTTAAGACTGAAATCTTTCTGTTTCAGCCTAACTAACCTTTACACCAGGGGTCGGCAACCTACGGCCCGCGGGTAACATAATCCGGCCCGCGACGCTTCACTGAATTATAGTAACAAAACAGCTGTTTTGACGATTATATTTTTCACGTTACACAATCCATTGTGAGAAGAGTGTAGACTAAATAATATTATATTCTAACAAGTATATTAAGTATAATTCACAATTACTCGTTTAATCAGCCTATACTTTAATTATAATTAGACAAATGACAACAAAATGCAGAAAAGTTGATGCTAAGTGCAAAGGGTTCAATGGTGCCGAAAATGCAATGTAAAGAGGAAATAAATCTACATTCTATTCGAGAAATCACCCCTTCATTTTTATTATAAAAAGTATCATCCGTTCGGTTTTCAATTTCCTAGAAATATATCTGCGGCCCGCCAATGACTTGCAACCATTATTTTGGCCCACGAGCGACAAAAGGTTGCCGACCCCTGCTTTACACACTGGGTAAGGTAATAGGTACCAGGGTTGCAGGTATCATACATAACAATTATTTTCCGTAGCTTGAAACGCTTTTTGAACCGTAAAGCCTCATGCAAAACCACATTTTCTGGCCGGACCAGCTAGCCATTACAGTCCAACTTGGCAAATCAAGACCCCCCCTCCTTGAAAATTGCTGTGTACACCCTTATTGGTGGGCACGAGATTTGTACCACAGATGTGTAATGTTAACGTAAGTAAGTCTAATGTCCAAATGCTTCTTCTATATTATGTAACATAGCAGCTTCAAAGATATTAAAAGTAACTTGGTATAAATCAGAAATAGTTTGGTATCGTTCCTTATTTTTGTCTTCAATAATTTTATCAGAAACCTCTTTAAACTCATCGAGAAACTCTGACTTCATATTCTTAATTAAATTCGTTTTTATCTCATTTGCATATGATAATATTATAAAAGGAATTTTTCCATCATGAATCTCAGTAATAAAACTTGAAAGTTGTTTTTCTTGTTGTAATATTATTAAACAAGATTTAGGATTTTTACAAAAATTTGATTTATCTATGAGAAAATAGAGCTTTGATATGATTAATATTGTACATGAGAGATTATATGATAACCCAGAGTAACTTAGTGACCAATCCTTATTTATATAATGAGAATTTAAAATGAAAGTTAATGTTTTACGGCATTTTGAACATAAGGTTTTTAATTTCATTGTCACAGATAAAATGTTGTCCAAAGAAACATTGAAAGTATCATTCGGATTCTGTCCAGGTACTATAAAACCATATTCAAGGAATAAATCTTCAGTGCTATGCGGTCCATAAGAAATGAATATTTGTTCGAATTTATTCCATCTTTGTAAAGTATTGATCTCGTAAGCTTTGGAAATTTGATTATAAAAACCATTTACTTTTGCTGAAAAACTATGATTAAAAAGATCTAAATAGGGGGCAAGGTAGTAATAATCAGATGGCGATTTCAAAATATTTTTGATGCTCAATTCTTCATGGTTTGAATAAATGCAACGAGTGTTCACACAACACCATGCCCAACGATACGCATCCCACAATAATGCAAATTTTTCCTGGCCACAATATGAATCAAATACATCTTTTACTGCAATATAGTCACTTCGAATCTTTTCATGCAACAGTTTCACTTTTTTCTGGATCGTTTTCGGTAATAATTTTATATCCTTTGCATCCCAGAATACATGATGAAAGTGAAAAGTCTTTGGCAAGGTCTTTATATAAACATCCCAATCAAATTTGAATCCATTATCAAGTTTATATTTTCCCTCCATTAAAAACACACAGAGAATTTGTAAGGAGGTGAATCTTGGCATCTTTGAAGATGACAACATAAATTGAGCCCATTTCGAAGCTTGCAGAGCTTTTTTTGTTCCAATGAGGATTTGACAAGGTAATGATATCAGCGTGTCTCCTTCTTGATAGGTCTTTTTTGCCATCATTCCACGGCCAGTGTCAGAAAAATTTGCAGGAACAAGCCCATTTGATTTAAAATTCTTTTCTTTCATGAATTTGAGTAATTCTGTGTAAACACTTTCATGAGAGACTTGTTCATTTAGGTTTTGAGATACCTTCTTCCTTTTCCTCTTGCGCTTAGTTCTTCCCATGCCACACATAAAAAATTATTTTAATATTTTTTCATCACCTACAATAACAACAATAGCAGTTACAGAGTTGAAGTTTTCATTTTTAAGTTTTATGACAAAGGTGTACAAAAATTGAGAATGTCTTACAGTCTTACTTAGGCCCAGTTTTCGAGTCTAGTATAGTTTAGTACCACAGGTACTTCTAGTAGGCGTAGCATAACGAATTTTGCATATGTTATCCAAAAATACGTCACTACGTCGTCACCATAGGGCTTACCAAATAATAATTACGATCGCCTGAAATGGCATCTGCGCCGCCGATAACGAACTCGCTAAAGCTGGCGATCTTTCTCCTATCGTGATCGTTGTGACAAGAAAACGAGAGAAATAACTTGCTTGATTTCAAGTGATCGTCTGCGCGTTTTAAGCGACCACTCGCATACTTTGGTGGGCCTTATTACGCCACTGTGACGTCGAAATGACGTAATTTTTCAGTGACGTAGTCAGGTGGGGGTTAGGATTGACATATGCAAAAATTGTCGAGTCAGACCAACTAGAAGTGCATGTGGTACTAAACTATACCAGACCCAAGTTTTCCCTGTCAAAAAGAGTTATAAAGTCAACTAAATAAGTTTTATAGTAGCCACTCACCTGCATAGCCACTTCAGTATATAACCATGTAGTTACTGCTGTCAGCTATACTACACATGCACCATGCCTGTCCAGACGAAATTTTTCAAATTTCCGTTTGACATTTACTCCCCAATAATCAGACAGCAGGGACGTTTAAAAATGCGGAGTTACTTTATGTTTACTACTTGCAAACACTTCTTTATTGTTTCTCGTTAACTTCTAGTTACCTATGGGCTGTATGGTTAATCAATGCCAACGACTAACATACCTAATAAATCATTGCACTTCAGCGTTATGTCACGTAGACAGACGATAGTGCAATACGTGACAGCATGTGCAGGCTAAAACAATATGACCTAAATTAGCGCTCTTTGAGGAGTATACACTCCACTCCAGAAGTATGACAGTGCTGCAGTGACGCCGGTACCGGTACTGTGTTCCATAGTTGGCAATGCTAAAACAACGAATACCTTACGAACGCAAATCAGCGGTAGGCACCGCAGAAACGACAAGCGCGTTGTTATCTTTATTTGTCTAATATGCCCTATTTATTATCTCGGACCCTAATAATGTTGGATGTTGAGTTTCACTACTTACTGACTTATATACTTGTACTGCTGATTATCTCGTCTCATTTAAAATCACAAAACGAGTCTCAGTGGAAAGGTCTGCGCGAATAGGGCTCGAGCGAAGGTTGTTTACGAAATTTATTTGCGGCAATCACGCTTGAATAAGCCCTGCACCCATTGCTGGTTTCGATTCCGAACGGAAATTCCCGAAGAGCAATTTAGCAGATTTTCTAGCGTCTGAGCATGGTGCGAAGAATGAAGTGCAGCTTCGTAGTCCAGCTGTGGTACTTTTTGTTTTCGGTTCATCTCATCAAAGAGCGAAAGTGAGGAAGATGAGTTTTCACCATCTCCTTGAATTTACTTTTCAGGAATGCTTCTAGAAAAGTGACCGTACATTTGAACCCACGTATATTTGATTTTGAACCCATGTGTTGGCCCAATATATGCTCATTGGTTGGCCTATATCCGCGGGTTCAATCTATATGCGGAGGCTAAAACCCATGGGTTAGGGTTATAATATCCGTGAAGCAAAGAAAAATTCCCTAGGTGCAATCGTATGCAGGTGCAATTGCCGTGGGTTCAAATGTAATGGAACCTTCTAGAAATGGATATGTGGCGTGCCGCGGCATCTCGGCCGGTTACCATGCAGTCTATGTCGGGTATTCTACAACCGATAAAATGACTGGGGGTGCAAATATACATGAGAATACCAATGTTCACAAGCGCAAATGTACAATACATGGAGCAAAAGTACGTCGGTTAAACATTCTTGGGTGCAAATGTCCTCTGGGGCAATCTACGTGCGGATACCAAAATATCTTAACCGTGTCGTTTTCTCCGAACAAGGCTGGATAAAAGCCGCTACTGACATCTAACATTTCCTTAAAAATCTCTCTACAGACTCATTTCGCTTCGAAGTTATCCAAGGTATACAAGCGCGCATTTTCATCGATCTCGATCGGTTCATTTGGTGAAAGTATTATCGGTAGTAAGACAGTTTTCAGTAAATCGTTCAGGAATAGAGTAAAATGATATTGGTCGCCCCAGCGACAACTATAGTACAATGGTCCAGTCATTCGGGTATCAACCACTGCAGAGGAATATGTGAAACAGAATGATTTTGTTCCTCCCGCATCGAAACTTATTGAGCCAAACCAAAATGGTTTTTCGACTTTGTTATTATAATTATATGATAATAAGAGTGATTTCCTGGCGTTCTGCGCCAAATTGTCGTCTCACTTTGTTTTTTATTGATATATTTCATGATACCAAAGATAAACATATAATATTATACATTTAATCAATGGCATCGTCGGCAGTACTTGGTACCAGCGTTTAGCTTTTTAGATCGATAGTTTATTTTCAGGACTCCATAATCCACCCAAATTTAAAATGGAAAATTGTGGATATCGAGCAAAAAGTTTAGAACATGATAAATATCATGTACCCGCTCACCAGCACACTCTCACAAAGAACCCAAATCTTGTTGAACAAGGCTTGGGCCAGGAGTAAACACACAAAAAATACGCGTTAAGTATCGAACGTTCGGGCTGTTGTAGGTAGGGGTGGGCAAAATAGAATACCAAAGTATTCGAATCCAACAGGGTCCGATAGTAGGATTCGGTTTCCGCCTCTTCGGCGCAGTGTGTCAATTCTTGTCTCTCGGATTTCTAATTTATTAATCAGTGACGAGCGTTTTCTCTCACGAAGAAATCCCTCTTGTTTGAATATACTCGTGTTTTCTCGCAAAGAACCCGCAAAAGCGGCAAACATCAATCACCGTAATCCCAGCTTGCATATTCAGAACGCGAAGACGTGTTATCACACCATTTTTGCGTTTCAAAATTTTACTATCTAGTTCGCTTATATATAATTATTAATATTGGTGTCGACTTACTGGCGATTACCTGATTGCAACAATCTTAAATTTTCGGAATACGTGAAACATTCTTTATTTTAAATTAAATGACTTTTCGCGGACTTCGAGTTCTACCGGAAAATGATATGTACGTTATGAAATGACGTTAGTTTTTACGACACCCCGTTTCCGAAAATACAAATTTATAACGCAAAACATAGCGTTTTGTTTCATTTATTTTGCACTTTCATTGAAATACGAGTTTTTTGGAATTCAAGTCGCCGATGAATTCAGTCCTATCGGACTGTTCTCCTATCTGGCCTTGACGGGCTATTGACTATTGACGGACATTATGCAGAGCATATCGTCGTATTTCTGTAACGTAGCGTTTCGTCTGACCCAGGGCAAACTTCTTCAGACAAGCGTTTTACAACTGTCAGACGAAACGTTACAGAAATACATTTGTGTTAGTGTGTAGCGACACTCTTGGATTAAATGGAATAGTCATTTTCATTTTTGCTATAGCATCCTTGAGTTATACGCATACGGATCAGCCTGCGCAAAGACATAGAAGCAAGGAAAGGTAGTTAGTTTCACGTAACCCCAACTGTTAGAAATGAATTTGTCAACATATATTATTTTACGCTGATTATTTGGTTTCTGCGATACTAACTACTTATCCTTCTTCTATGCTTTTGTGCCGGTGATACCTGATAAGCTGCAAAAAGTGTGGCATGCAATACATAGGAGAAACGAGAAGACATTTAAAATACCGAATAACTGAACATATTAGAAGTATAAAAACCAAAATCAAAGATCTGGTTGTTGGCGCCCATTTCAGTCAGCCGGGGCATTCGCTTAAAGATTTTAGTGTCATTGGCATTGAAAAACTATTTCATGACCACATTTATCGAAAGAGCAAGGAATCTCATTTCATTCATCGTTTCGGGACACACGAGCCACAAGGGATGAATATTAAGGAAGTTTAGACCAATTACAAAAAAAACTTTCATTCGTTGTTTTAATCAATTCTTGTACCTAATATATTTTTTTCTTAGAATTGAATCATGCATGGCCAGATATGATAATAACAAAATATCACTATATTACATTTGTCACACAGACAACTTTTCTGGTCTGCATTATACAATACTGAGAAACAAAACACCATTGTTTAATTTGGACTTCAATTGCTAAATATAAAACAAAGAGAGAGATCTCATCATTGACACTTATTTCGGCCACCCGCTGTTATTTAATCAAGAAATTCACCGATTTTATTGATTATTTAACATGCGTGACTCCTATAATTCTGCACTGATTGTTTAAATGTGCATGTAACAGCTTTTCGTGTTATAGTTGAACTATGTATGTCTGAAGAAGTCTGACCTTGGTCAGACGAAACGTTACAGAAATATATTTGTGTTAGTGTGAAGCAAGACTCTTGAATCACTTGGGTATATTATTTTACTCGCATATTATTATGCTCGCAGAAAATAAACACGCTGACATACTCGATTATAATTGATAGTCGTTAAATTTATTTTACACCATTAATTAATGCGCCCTGCCGAGTGCGCACCCGTCGCGGCTGTATAAATTACAGTGGCCTCGGGTTTGCTTGTGTGCTTTCCGCGCTCTCTTAGTCATAATAATTTTATGTTTTTTATACATATCAATTGTATTTCACAATACAGTATTAATGCACTAATTATTTTAACATATAAGTATTTAGGAATCACATAAATTTTGAACAATTCAAGGGAAAAATTAATTTGTTAAAACTTTTATATTCCATTGTCCTCTTTGGTAACAAATAAAATCTAATCTATTTTGTCGTTTAAATTTGTAATTGGTGAACATATTGAGAAAATTCCCATATTTATATAACAACGAAAACAAAATAAAATAGAATTCGGTATTCTGGATTCGATTTAACTATTATATAATAGTAAATTATTCTATATTGCCCATCCCTAGCTGTAGGCTACTTTTAAAATACTCAAGCTAATACGGACCAATTCAATCTCATACAAAGTTAACGTGTGGATAGTAAAAAGCTTCAAAAAAAAAAACTGGTTCCCGTACATTTGAACCCACGACAATTGCACCTGCATACTATTGCACCTATGAAATTTTTTGGGTTTTGCGGATATTTGAACCCATACTAACCCTAACCCATGGGTTTTAGCACCCGGATATAGATTGAACCGCGGATATACACATGGGTTCAAATGTACGTGGGTTCAAATTTACGGTCACCAAAAAAACTACACTGGTTGGGCATTGGTGAAAAAGTGGTTCGAGATACATACAAACTTAAATCACAACTATACTGGTAAATTGTGCGCACGGACACTCGCAAAAACAATTATCAGGAAAACTTTAATCACACGTAAACAGTTCTGTAATTGACGAGGCCAATATTGCTAAAATGGTCTGCACACAGGCCAAAACAAAAATACGCCATTAAATGAACGTTCAAAAATCGTTGCGAAATAACAGGTTATATCATGTTACATTACCAACTGTTTATGCATATATAGTACCAAAGAGATTGAATTCTCATACTTATTACCCAGGTAGAAGTTGAAGAATCGGTAACAGCATTTGCAGTATCTGCTGACAATTAAATTTCAAATCCATACTCTTCTTCATATTCTCGATTCATTATCTCTCGATTCTGTTATGTTGCCTTGTTCTTCCTATCTTTTCATTGTCTGCAGGCTCCTTGTTGGTATCTCTTCAGTGCTGGTTCATTGTATCATTTTAGTCCTGTTCCGGCGCCGAAAACGAGACCACACCTGACCACTGCCAATGTTTTGTTTCAACGTCACGCCCGGATCGAAGATTGTGAGTTTCGACGCTGAATCGCTGATACGCATTCATTTTCTTTCACGTTGGTGATATTTTTGTACGCACGATTAGCCAGTAGCTGGACGTGTTTTTTCGCGTCAGCGTCAGTTTTTCTTTAAATTGGTGATGTTTCGCACTTTGATTTGTTCCGCTGCGCAACTCCGACTTGAGGACGAGGGGGACTCTTTGGGAGGGAACGACTAACTCTTCTTTCTTATCTGTTTCGCCTATTTTTACTGCGGATTTATTGGTTTCCCGATTGAATTGGCCGGATTTCTTCATTCAGTATTGCGCGCGACTCGCCACTTCCCTTCTTCAACTTTTTGTTCTCGGTTTCATCATTTAATTGGTACACCTTCACTGATGATCCCTATTGGCCTGGTATATTATCATATTTAAATCCAATCGCCGACCAGTGAGTAGTGATTGTTCCATCAAATTTGTATAGAACAAATTTTGTCTGCAATAACACCGATATACAGAATCTATTTCGATTTTACTAGAAATTTAGTACTTTTGTGGTACCCATTTTTCAACAAAGTAGTATCAAATCTCTTACAGTACCGGTAGTCTGCCTGCCAAATGGGAATATATATTCTCATTGTCGTGCATTATCTAAAAAATCCCTACTTCGTGGGAATGGCCCCCAAGTTGCGCAATTTTTAATTTTGATAACGTTATCAAACAAAATGTTAAAGTGAACACGAATCTCATAGAGCCTAGACCCTAGAGACATATTTGAAATTGATTAAAGTCGTAGACTTCTGGTGACAACAACAACTTTCAACCACAGAAAATGGCAAAGCAATTAGTCCAGAAGTTGAAACGAAAAGCGACTTTGTTGACAACAAGAGCAAGAATAATAACCACAACAATATAATAACGAGAATATCGGTCGGAGACCGAAGACTTATCGATCGAAACTGCGGTTTCGATTAATGACTCTATATAGTGACACCGCGTGTCCTATCACTAATTAATTAATAACTCGCTAATTATACGGCATAACAGGCTTCTGGTCCGAGATATGATGAATGCACATGCAAAATTTGGAGCAGATTCAACCTTGCCTTCTTGAGATATCGCGTTCATCTAACAGACATACAGACAAATACCTATCAACATGCTTACCGATCTTCAGATCGATAAGTAACAACATTTATCACGTTACTATTAGACTTCCCCAAGGGTGCCGACGCTTGATAACCAGTTTTGGTTTTCGGCGTCTCCTTTCACCCTGGAGGGCGATTTGTTTTGTATTTTCTTTAATTTGTGTATGTATAGTTCGTACTTTGAGCAAGGTGAAGAAATAAATTACTAATTACAAAACGATGAATGAGAGAGAGATTTATTTCCACAAAACAATGTTAAAAAAGAACAATAGTACAGATTTTTATAGAAATAGGCTACAGTGCAGTGTATATTTAAACATTGATTCTTGTTGGTGAGTATGCAAGACTTTTACAGGTCACCAAAGCTCCTGATCATTTAATTTACGCTGTGATCAAACTGTCAGTATGGATTATTACAATATAAAATTATAAAATAAAGACAGAAAAATGAGTCGGCTGATAAAAAATATTTTATTTAATTATTCGACACTTTACATCAGATTTTTTGTATAGTTCAGAGGGCATGTGTGAAATTGTGTATATATTATACTACATATTGATCAAGTACAATACTGATTCCATTCACAGAACCTGGTTCCGTATAGAAAAGAGAGAGAGACGGCTTTTGTTAAAACGAGCGACTGCTGGATATAGCAGATCGCCTCGAGATATTTTTTGTATTTTTTTCTCAATTTACTTAAACTTAGTTCGACTTTTTCTTCCTTATAATATATATATTGTTAGACTTATTACTTATCGATTTTAATCGGTAAGTATGTTGATAGGTATATGTCTGTCTGTTTGTCTGTTTGTTTGTCTGTCTGTCTGTTAGATGCACGCGATATCTCACGAATGCGAGATTGAATCTGCTCCAGATTTTGCATGTGCATTCATCACATGTCGTACCAGAAGCCTATTGATTTTGGATGAAATATGTCGTATAATTATCGAGTTATTACTTAATTAGTGATGGGACACAAGGTGTCACTATGGGGTAAGAGCGCTGTTTTGAGGGATCCCCTAACTTTCGATCGATAAGTCTTCGGTCTCTGACCGATATTCTCGTTTTATAGGTGCCACTGCTCGATAACCAGTACTGGTTTCTCGCGTCTCCCTCAACCTGAAGTATGACCTATTTATGATTTATTGCAATTTGTATGTTTATGCTTATTTTAGGCATGGTGAAAAATAAACTACTGATTACTGATATTTATTATTTTATGAACCAAAATACAAACAGGAGACGGACTGAAAGTAGGCACTTGAAAATTAGGCACTTATTCAAGCACCCCATAAAAAAGGTATAATGGGCGTAATAACTTTTTTAAAAACATAATGAATCAGTTGAAATATTCAAACTAAATATTTAACATGCAAATTGCAACAAGTACACCCAATTAAAAATATTGAAACATAGTAGGCTATTATTAGGCTCATTTTATCCTTTTTCCGAAGTGCCTGAAAAGGGCCTAATTTCCAAGTGCCTACTTTTAGTCCGTCCCCGCAAACAGTCATCAACGAATAAAATGTAACATAGATAAAAATTGCTTTGATATGGACAGGAGGGAGCGATGCGGTCATCGAGGTCAACTTCCACCCTATTTGCTAATGTGATTAAGGTCCACATTGAAAATTACTATTAGAAAAGTTGGTCTGTCAAATAATACTTTAACAATTAGGCTACGATATATATAATCACAGGAAACTTGACATTGGGGACGGCATGTTTTGTTGAGAACTCATTTGCACAATTAAATTCTATCGGCTTTAGATGATGGTAGACAATGATATATACAAACATTCGATATATGGAAAGAGAAAAGAGTATATGTACATACCGTGTTTCCCCGAAAATAAGACTGGGTCTTATTTCAATTTTCTTCCGAAAAATAACACAAGGGCTTATTTTGAGGGAGGGTCTTATATTTTAATTTATCAAAAACAAAATTACAAAGCAGATATTTACGAGATTTTTAAAAATAAAAAATATGAAAACCGATAACCGATAAAACGTGTAGTGATTTCTTGCTATCGACTGGGTCAAAAATTTTTTTTGAGCAGCTTACTAGAATTACTAGCCACCAATAAAATATACTATATGTAAACAGAACATAAGAGATGCATAGGTCAATTTCGTGTCCAATAACTTGGGGTTCGATGCATTTTATTGCTAACCTCACAGAGGCTAATGGAATTTGCCCAAAAGTTATTACGCAAAGTTATAGTGACATTATCAACAGTAATTCAGGATCTAACGGAAGTTGAATTCAAAGTAATTTATAACGCGATTCACCTTCACGCCTATAAAGATACTACCTTGTGACGCCTTCAATTTTGATGTTACGTAACTGAAGCATTTATCGCCTCGTTTAACTGTTATATAAGCACTGTAGTGAATAGTTGCTAAATAGAATTAGTAGTAGTACGGGCATATCGAGTAGAAGCTCCATAAAGAATGCTCGCTCAAAAGTGTGTTAGATAGATGTTGCGATGTGTTGTACCGTACCGATCGAATGAATATCTTGATTGACCGATCCGATGTCTGAGAATCCACCAGAGGTCGATGAAGAGCAACTGTGAAGTTTAGCCACTTTGGTTGACTCTTGACTGACAGCATTCACTTTTATATTTTTAGCTGAACTTTTACATTTTTCTGCAGTTTGTTAATTGGGATATAGACAGTTTTTGTTTGTATTTAGTCTTTGAAGGGCCTTGAAGGCCCGCGAATTCCAATATGGCTGCAATACGGACTATTTTAAAAGTTAATTCAGTATCTAATCTTTCACTGAATTTACCAAAAGTGTCATCCGTGTGTTCAATTCAGAAGGTAATTTGTTTAATTTGCATTTATTTTCTGTATTATGTACGGTACTTGATTACCACAACCTTTTAAAATGCACTCAGTCCAGCAGTCCACGAAGTCTTGGTCTAAATTGATCAAAATAAATAGCCTACCCTTCTGCCTTTTGTATGCAACCTTTGGTATTTGGTATGCAACCTGCCTTTTGATATTGCCATATTAGCCTCAATGTTAAGTGTTGTTTAGACAGCTCTTGCTTGTTTACCCTCCATTTACTGCATGGAGTTGACGTTTTGATCACAAGTTGCTACTGCTGTACTGGGTTTGTATAGCTCATTACAAAAGCACAACTATCTCAAAGTCAATATAGTAAATTTGTTCTTCTTTTTCAAGGTACGACACTACAGCAATGCACCTTTGAAAGATGAAGATAGAATATTCACCAATCTTTATGGTCGCCATGACTGGAAATTGAAGGGAGCCATGTCAAGAGGAGATTGGTATAAGACTAAAGAAATAATACAGAAAGGTATCATATTCAACTCATTCAGTTTTTGTGTCCTATTTTCTATGATGCTGAAAGATCCGAAAATTAATATTTGTTTGTGTTATTTCACATTTGTATTCCCATAATAATGTTCAACCTTTCTCTCCTATTAATTTGAATTGTTGAGTGGAATGGTGTTCTGTGTTCATTTTTGTACTTTTCATGGACATGGTGTGGCGCATCGTGCTGAATGTAAGGAATATGCTCGCCACCGCACCTCTGATTACCCTACGTGGGTTTGCAGTTACGAATCCCATGTGGGGATAGTTACGTGCGAGAGGATTGCTGAAATCCTCGCTGGCCATAGGGCAGGGTGGTTCACATAAGTCGGTCGGTTACAGCTTCCTCTACCAATAAAGTCCATGCTTCCGAAAACAAATAATTGGCTAGCTAATCCCATACCTGACATGGACTAGTAAGCGAACGATAGGCCATGATTCGTCAGATGATTAAGCCATCTTATCCTATCGGCCTTCTCTACCCTGGGATAAATGGGTAAATTCTATCCTATCCTACTCATCTTTGCTATTTAAAAAACGATTTTCAATCCCAATTCTTAATGTTTTTTATTTATTATCGCATATTTATTCAGGTCATGAATGGATATTGAAGGAAATCAAAGACTCTGGGTTGAGAGGTCGGGGTGGAGCTGGATTTCCTACCGGAATGAAATGGAGTTTCATGAATCGACCTCCTGATGGAAGGTGGGTGATGTGCTAGTAATCTTTTAGTGGTAGATAATGAATTACTGTGGGCAATGTAGAATCGAGTAGGGTTGAATAGCTTGCAGTGGCCTATATAAAGCCTTACGTTTATGATGGCAGATGGGTGATTTGTAACAATATTTTCAGTGTATATTTGTGAAAACTCAAATTGAAAGTTGAAAGTTTGAGGAAGTTTCAAGTATAGCAGCTATTTGATGATCCTAGTCATTCCAACTAGCTTCTTCAAGATTCTGGTACTTGAAAAATAGTAGAGGTGCTGCTCTTTTAAAGCCTTGTTTTGAGTGGTTAAAAATGTGGGAGTGGGTGAGGTAAAAATGCCCGATACAAAAATGTGGAATAAATACGGTACATCTCTCAAGAGCAATTGGTTTTAGAATGGTTTGTACTGCAAAATGTCCAATATGATATTGTCCAATGTATAGCCAATGTATGCGAACTAATTGTGAAGAATAATTTTTCTACAGGCCCAAATACCTGGTTGTGAATGCAGATGAAGGAGAACCAGGAACATGTAAAGATCGAGAGATCATGCGACACGATCCTCATAAACTGATAGAAGGTTGTTTGGTTGCTGGAGCATCTATGGGCGCTCGTGCTGCGTATATTTATATCAGAGGAGAGTTCTACAATGAGGCTTCTAATTTAAATGTGAGTACTGTATTTTTAACGGAGAATAAGGCGCACCAGGTAATAAGGCACATTGTCAATAAAAAGCTGTGATTGAAGTTTTTATTCATACATAAAGTGCACCAGGCTAAAGAGATATGCTAAAGAATATGTTTCAACTTGTTGTTCGACCTTTTAATAGATTGTTATCTAATGATTCGCACAACTTGCTCCCTGGATTTTATACAGTCTGGATAGTAATGTGTAGGCTATCATAAATAAGTATCACAGTGATAAATAGAATATCAGTAATACTACATGAAAAAGCAAAGTAAACCCCCCTTCCCTAAATTTTTAAAACGCTGTTCTAGCTAGAGTGATTCACTGAGCAATCAAATTAGTAAGATATATTTTACCAAATTTGCCACATTTTCTTCCCATATATTTGTTTTGTGATTTGTATAACTTATTTATTTGTTGTTTTTTTGCAATAAAAAAAATAAACAATTTGAAAAAAAAAATTACTCAATCATTAACCAGGTTGCCATTAGAGAAGCCTACAATGCTGGATTATTAGGTCACAATGCCTGTAATTCTGGATATGATTTTGATATATTCGTTCATCGAGGTGCTGGCGCTTATATTTGTGGAGAAGAAACTGCTCTCATTGAAAGTTTGGAAGGAAAACAAGGAAAACCAAGATTGAAACCTCCTTTTCCCGCTGAGATTGGTAAGGTTTCTACCAAGAGAGAGAGTTTTCTATCAACCAGAGATAAATGAAACCAAAAAACCTAACATAAGTAAAAAGTTTTCCTACAGACTGATATGAGTATGAAGGTGTGGTCACAAAGTCAATACCCACCCATTTTGTTTAGTTTTTGTTTTCTTTATCGCTTAGCTTAGAAGCGTTAGTCTTAACTGCGTTGTTATCTTGGGATATCTCTGACGTAAATTCCCAGTCAGGTTACAATCAATTATTAGGTAGGCAGAGGAATCTTGCCAAAAACTGTAGATTTGTGAATATTGCTATACTGCTTGTACAGGTGGCCCTTGATCAGAGCTAATAGTGTACAAATACAATGACACTTACTGACACTTTTTGCTCTAAATAAGCTCCTATTCAAACATCTACAGATATCTAATGATATATTAGAAGTCTAGTGCTTTAATTACCGGGCATGTATTTCCAGTTGAGCAACTAACATTTATCGATTCTGTCAACAGGTGTCTTTGGTTGCCCAACAACAGTAGCCAATGTTGAGACTGTTGCTGTTGCTCCAACAATCTGTCGCCGTGGAGCTACATGGTTCGCTGGTTTTGGTCGAGAACGCAACACTGGAACTAAACTTTTTAATATTTCTGGCCATGTCAAGTATCCCTGCACAGTGGAAGAAACGATGAGTATCCCACTGAAGGATCTGATTGAAAGGCATTGTGGTAAATTATCTTGTTTGTAATTGTAAAATAGTTATTTTTGTGTATTAGTGATTGATCGCAATCTGTTTGCTCTGTTCTAAAGTCTGTACATATGGAACAATTAACTGGCTAAATATTCTCATACCCGACTAAGTAAGGGCTAGGCCATCTCATATAGCAGGGGTGGCCAACATGCTTCCGACTGCGATTGAATATGATCTCCAAAATAGCCTCCGATTGACTGATCGGTAATGAGATCATACACAAAAACGAATGAGTACTGAATATGCAGATAACTGCACACACGCATACAAAAATTACACCAATGCTATTAAGCTCGGCTCTGTTGGTGCATTCTTTATGGAATCGCCCGCCACCAAAAATTTGTATTTTTCTATTCCATTGAATTTGTTAATTTGAATATATAATTGTACCCAGAGTAAATTTTCATCATTTATTTAAGATTTTTCGAATCATACAATTCAGATCTAAGGCCCAATTTTTAGTCTTATTGTCGAAAGGTGCTCAAAAAACCATGTACAGTATTCGTCCTGTTTTAAAAACATACAACAGGCGCATGAAACTGATTCAAGGCAATTTTCGGAAGTATATTATTACATTCACTAAACATCAGACGCTACCGACTGATCATTTAAATTTATAAAGCTATTCCTAAATCTATCTCTACTTTATTGAGGCTTACAGAAGGACTAAATTAAGATTTAACATCTTGGAAATGGTCCTTGTCAGGTCATGGTCCTATTTCACAACGCTTATTCTTTTTCATCCACAGGTGGAGTGACAGGAGGCTGGGACAACTTACTTGCCATTATTCCTGGAGGATCATCAACTCCTCTCATACCTAAGAGTGTGTGTGATGACGTTCTCATGGATTTCGATGCTTTGGTTGAAGCACAGACTGGCCTGGGAACTGCAGCTGTTATTGTTATGGATAAAAGTGTAAGTTTGAGGATCTGTGTTACGCAAATTTTATTTGGGGTTATTGAGCATGGCTCGTTTTCACTTCAACCACTAGTTCTGTTAGGAGCATGGGCGTAGCCAGAAATCTTCAAAGGGGGGCGTTCTGAAATTCCTATTTTCCAAGTCAGATTGAAACAGCTAGCAAGCCCGGCCTAACGCCGGAAAAAGTGTGTTTTCGTGAGTCGTGATGGTTTAAAAGACGTTTCAAGCTACGAAAACTTGCTATGTATGATACAGAAAGATGCTTTTATTCCTTTTACATTTTAAAAGGGGGGGGGGTTGACCCCCAAAACCACTCCCCTGGTTAGGAGGCAGGAGTCAGAATGTGAATTTTGAATTTTTAAGCCTGAACCCTCAGTTGTAATTTCATACTTTCAATGATGATAATAGAAACCAGAATTTTCAATAAAAAAAGGACATTAAAAGAGAGTAAAGATAAACTTGCTGGCTCAAATTGTAACATTCTCCCCTGAAGTATCACACCTTGGCAACTTTAACACGTCTTCTATTTCAGACGGACATCATTTACGCTATTGCAAGATTGATCGAATTTTATAAACATGAATCATGTGGACAATGTACTCCTTGCAGGGAAGGAGTGTCATGGATGAACCAGGTAAAATCAATTGTGAAATGACTTGTTAAGTTAACTGTGCTACATTGTCTCTAGCATTACTAAATGGCAGGTGCAAACTTGTATGTAACCAACCATTTGCCTAAAATCATTTGTACTTTACTCTGGTTGTTATAAAAAAATATAGGGTTACAGTTGCTTCATTATTTTCTGGTCACTGTGACCCTACTTCAAGCCCATCCTGTATATCCAAATAAATAACTAAATGACAAACTAACAAATACTAACTAATCCCATATATGACATGGAACCGTAACCGGATGAGAGGCCATGGTTCGCCATATGCTTAATGGATGGAAAGGGCAATCAAACAAAGAATCTCTCAAATACGCCGAGGCGGTGTGGCTCATCGTTAGGAATACACTCGGCACCGCACCTCTAATTACTCTGCGTGGGTTTGCAGATTCGAATCCCAGACGGGGATAGTTATGTGCGAGAGGATTGCTGGACTCCTCGTTGCCGTAGGGTGGTTTACGTAACCGCTGGTCGCTTCCGGCTTCCTCCACCATCAAATCAACTAATCTCATACCCAACATGGAATGGTAACTGGATGAGAGGCCGTGGTTCACCATATGGTTTTGCTGTCTTATCGACTTTCCTCTCCCCCGGGATAAATATGTAAATCCCATCCTACTTAATCCAATGAGCTAAGTCAGAGATGTCTGAGTCAAAATAACTCACTATTTTTAATATGGAGTATCAAATGTGCTACATTATATTTTTCATCACAGACAATGGAGAGATTTGTCAAAGGAGATGCAGATCCTGAGGAAATCGATTCATTGTGGGAAATATCAAAACAAATTGAAGGACACACAATATGTGCTTTGGGTGATGGAGCAGCATGGCCTGTACAGGTAAGCTACAGTAATTAATGGGTACTCCTGTGGTATGTATATATACCAGGTTAGGGTTAGGCCATAATTTCATTCCGATTTTCCTTTTTATTTCTATTGCGAGTTTGGGGACCGTCTGTGTTAGTCAAGTGAATATACCATCTGCTCATAGGCTCCCTTTACACAACCTGATGTATAGTAGGCTAACAAAATTAGTTACCTCCAAATTGTACACACACTTCTGGAGCACCGATTGAGGATCACCAGGGTTAGCGTATGGTTAGAGGATTTTCATGTTTGTCTCGAGGATAGGAAAAAATTAGATGGCTCAAATGCATGAGGGGCACCATGGCGGATTGTTCGGTTACAAATCTATTTCTGTTATGGGAGTACTTAACCGGTATCTCAATTCATAATTTGTTCCAGCATTAGATTTATGCCGATTATTTTTATTGAAAAAAAATCCTAGATACGCAACTTTTCGCCTGCTGTTCTCCAGAAAGGGTGTTGTTGAAATTTTGCCAGTTTTTTACGTCTTGAGTATACTCTGACAAATTTAAAATTATGACTTCACTACCAGCTGTTTATAAAATATATACGACTCCAGTGAAAACATTCTAAACTCCAGAGCCCAAAAGGATATTATTTTATTTATGAACAAATTCAAAACCACCTTTTTCTTTTTCTAGGGTTTAATTAGACATTTCCGACCAGAAGTTGAAGAGAGAATGCGACAATTTCATGAAAAACATCAGAAATCAGTTTCACAATAAAGCAACAACATTCTAAAACTTTAATATTTATTATATTCTGTTACATGTGTGTGGGAATAAACAAAGTTATTTCGGAGAATCAATTTTTGTTTTGATTTTGACTGAGATTTGGGTCATTGTGCTGTGCTATGTGTTACACTCCTTTATAACAGGGGTGTGCAACCTTCAATACAGGAGGGACAGATACAAATAACTGGGTGAAACGTGGGCCGCACCATTATTTAACATAAGCTTTCTAGTAGTTGCAAGCACAAAAATTTTGATTATTGATCTTGTGAGATGGGTTGTTTGCTCGGCACAAGACTGCCGTTAGGGCATTGTAACTGAACAGGTAATGATTTGGACTCGTACATGCAAAGAGATTAGAATTACTCTCATGTACCAGATTGCAGTAAATTAAACACTCTTTTCGCGAGCTGCAAAACTTTTCCCGAAGTGTCGCATTTGGGCCGCAGGTTGCAAACCCCTGTGTTAGACTATGCTGATTGAGTTTACTGGTTTGATTTTCTGTTGAGGATGAATGTATGCAAAAGAATTTGATCACTAGACTTTGTATGGTAGAAGGGTGGTTCACTATCCTATTGAAAGTTGTTGCACTGTTTTAGGATTATGACTGCTATCTCGTTTTGGTGCAGGCAGAACTTCCTTTCTCTTGACAATTCCACATCAAGTTGCAATCAACATTAGCAGTTAAAGCAACAGTGCGGCGAGCAGGAACATGGAATTGGGGCTTGGCACTATTGATATTGGTGATCGACATAGATATGGGAATCTGTGACGCAGCTGCGATTGAAATTTTTGTTAGCGATGATTCGGTAGTCAAGAGTCATTTCTTTAAATGACTTGGGTTTTGGAGTCTGTGACTCCACAGGTATGTTGCAAGAATGATATTGGTGTCTCTGGTTAGGGTTCTTGGCTTCCCAGGTTCCAATCATGTGATGAAGTGTTGCTGGACCAGAAGCACAGTTCACGTTGACCCAACCTACCAATTCTAGTCTGTGTTTGTTAAAGATTCTAAACATTTCGCCAATTCAAATGAGTGTTCTAAATTTTAAAAAAGCAAAATGCAGTTCTAAAATCTCTCAAAAGAATTAACTTCAAAACTATTGTCTGGGAGAGGCGGCTCAATTAGAGTTAATGACCTTCCTACACTGATAGGAAGATGTTGAAGGGCCTGTTTATACTTCACCTATTCTCAATTTAGCTGCCAAAAACATTACCCCAACTGTTTTACACCCATCTTGAACTTAAGTCCCTAAATCCCAAGTTACAAGAGTCCCGAGTCATGGCTCTCTGGCAATAAGTTGATGACGATTTAGAGTCACACCATTTAAACGACTCCAGTCACTTCATAAATGGTGGTTTGTTTTTTTCACCAGTTGAGTGAATGACTATAGATAGCCTCCCCTACTTTGCACAACACCGACCCCAGAAGCAAATGACATCCCAACATAACAACACCAGAAAACTATACTGACGAATACAATATTTTAATAATAAGAAAGATAAAAAACATGATTGAGACAACTATAAAACGAGGATATCGGTTGGAAACCGAAGACTTATCGATCGATAGTTAGGGGATCCCCCAAAACAGAAACTGCAGTTTCGATTCATCTGCTCTTGTAACTTGCGCACTGCGCATCGCACACACACACTCGGCGGGTCTCGAAATTTTTTCGCTTTATACAAAAATCTAGATCACTATATCAATAACTGATTGATAACTCGCTAATTATACGACATAATTCGCCCAAAATCAATAGGCTTCTGGTCCGAGATAAGATGAATGCACATGCAAAATCTGGAGCAGATTCAATCTCGCTTTCGTGAGATAACACGTGCATCTAACAGACATACATACAGACATACAAATACCTATCAACATACCTACCGATTAAAATCGATAAGTAATGACAGTGTACACTTCCTATGTTAGCAAGACAAGTAGGATGGAAAGTTCATATTTATCCTGGGGGAGTGGGGAAGATAATGAGACTGCTCAATCATATCAGGACCACAGCATCTCGCCCAGTTAGCAGTCCATGTCTGGTATTCAAGTAAGCAAACTAAAATCACTCCTATTCCAAGAATGCTGAATCATTACCATGAATCATGACATGACAGCACTTTTAACCAGTCACTGCATCTCAGTATCATTTATAACTAAATTCCCTTCAGGAATCTCTGATTTGATCTCTTTTTCTTCTGTTTGTTGAGAACTACTTGATTTTCGATTTTGAAAATCTTTCATTTCTTGTGCATATCGTGCTTTGTCTATTTCATACATTTCTAAATAAATGAAAAAATATGATTACATTATAATGAGTGAAACAAAATGATGTGTCTGTCGGAGATACATTGTTCACTTTATTTAGCGCTCCAGATGTGTGTGTACCCATATGGAGATAACTAATTTTGTTCGTCTACATTACATCAAGTTGTGTAAAGGAACTGAAACCTATGGGCAAGGGGTATATTCACTTGGCGGTACTCCTGAAGTATGCACACCAAGATGTCGCACAACCTGAACCCTAACCTGGTAGACAACCTGAGTTCAGGTTGTGCGCCATCTTGGTGCGCATACTTCAGGAGGTACTTGGCTAAGACAGACAGTCCCCGAACTCAATATACCTGAAATAAAGAAAATTTTGGCCTAACCCCAACCTGGTACGAACACTACGAAGTAGCTTTTATTTATTAAGACGTGGGAGCTACAAAGCATGTCACATGAATTCTTTGTCATACATTTCTTATTAAATTAAGATCAATAATGAGATATATTTTATCAATCAAGATTTCAGAGCTACATGTTTATGACACAAGAATTTGTTGTTTACTTATATACAAGTCTGTTGAAGCAAGATCTCAGTCTTCAGCAAATAGTACTGATTGTTACGTCACGATCCACAAGATCCAAGTATTATTGTTTGGCAATAATATTGTTGTCACATGTAGACGCTGTTGAGTCGAGTTCGCGGCTATTAATGGATATTGCACCATACTTGCGAGATTTTGGCAGCCAAGTTTTGCTGCCAAATCAAGTTTCTTTGTGTTGGTTTTATTGTGATTTGCTTATTGCTATTTATTGTGTTTATTATCTTTAGATGACTTAGACATCTAAATTAGTTAGTAACTGGATTTATTGGGTTGTTGCCCTTGGTGTTAAGATATTATGCTGTACATTTGTTACTGTGAAGAAAGTGTACTGATGTTTCCAGAATGTATTATGCAATGATTTTTGGGTAAGAATGCTAGTCTTTTAAGTTGCATAATTTGAAGTTCACTGATGTATGTGTATTGAATATGGTCATTGTTAACAGATTGTGAAGTATTCTCGGGGATTTACAAAGTTTTCTTACCCGGTGTCATAAATATTATCGATATGTTATTTATATTTGGATCATTGCTGAATTTGGTATTATTTAGTTTTATAAGTGTTCTAAGACATGTTATTTTGTTTTAGAAAACCGTCTTCCATCTTTCATTTCCGTCTATTGTGATGTTTGTGTATTGCTGAGCATTTCATGTTATGCTATCAATTCTTCAAATTACAATTTCATTACAAGTTTTCAACAATTGGTTGTGTTTGGACAAGGATTTGGGAGATGCGTTTTCGATTTGTTAGTTTTCTCTATGTGACACCTTGTGCTACCGGGTCACGTTGAAAGGGAGGTTACACTGATGACAGGAGTCTACTAGAGCTTGAACGAAAAGACAGAATAGTAAGCTTCCACTAATGTGCAAAAATCTTTTGTATAGGTACCCTTATGTCAGTAGACTATTTTTACATGAGATTTGCAACAAATATGGCAACACTGTCATTGAACTCCAAGATGGAAAGGAATTCCGCATGTCAGTAGACTATTTTTACATGAGACTTGCAACAAATATGGCAACAATGTCATTGAACTCCAAGATGGAAAGGAATTCCATTTTTTTAAGCAAAAACGAGTTATGAGAGTAATGGGACTCACATCTGAGCAGTGGGACAGGCAACCATTGAAATGCAGCTATTGAAATTATATGTATGTTTCAGAAAATAATAATAGCTGTTCTTCATAAGAAACCAATTGGGTAAACTTCTTACCATAGTAAGTTTTCTTATTCTCTTTACTTGTCTCTTTCCATATTTCTGCCAATCTCCGGGTCATTTCTTGCCGTGTTATTTCACCCATGTTTTGTTTCGTATATTGAGCCTGAACAAAAACAATTGAGAGTGAGATTAGTACTTTTTCGGGTGCTACAGAAGTATGTATACCAATATGGAATTAAATAATTTTGTTCGCCTACTTTACATCAAGTTGCCTAAGGACAGAAGCCTATGGGCAGTGGGTATATTCACTTGGGTAAAACAAACAGACCCCTGAACTCGTAATAGAACTAAAATAAGGAAAATTGGAATAAAATTATGACCTAACCCAGGCCTGCACAACATACGGCCCGCATGCGGCCCGCTTGATACTTCTGTGCGGCCCGCGGGTGATTTGGAAACACGCCACTTCTCGGGTCTAACAATCAAAGACGGCATTGTTATGCAAGCGCGCCGCTACTCCGATCATATTCGAAATCGTGAGATTTCTGTTTTACACTAGTTTCAATAAATATCAAACTTTGTGTGAAATTGGTGTGCCCTTCGCAACCCTTAAAAGTCGTCGCTCGACCTCTCGCCCCCCAGTTTGCAAAACCCTGATTTAGATATCTCAGTAGTCAGACTGAATCATGCTCAAAACAATATCGGTATACAATCTCACACCCATTAGTGCATATTAGCAACATATTAATAACCCCGTTATTTTTTTCTAGCAGTTTATAAAACTGAAGTTTCTTTTTTGATTCAAATTTAGAACTTACCGTAAAAAACAATTTCTTCATTTATGAATAGTGCAGAAATTCTCGCACAAAGGATATTGCTATTTATTGTAAAATTTCAAATATATTGGAGCAGATTTTGTAGAAAAATGTAATTTAGCAGTCGAAAAAGTACAACAGAGGAAGATCTATTGCTACTAAACGGATTGTTTGTCTAGCCTACAATGGAAATATCCAATAATGGTAGATATGACTAAATAAATTGTCATACATATATTTGGGACGATTTTACCAAACTGAACCAGAGTAAAATATTTTCCTGCACTCAGTTTATACTGCAACAGGCAATTCTAATAAAAAAGAAATATTGAAAATGAAGGGTGGGTTTTCAAGGATGATGAACCACTAAATATATATTCGCCATCTAATATGCAAAATACTGTACCTAGTTTTTACTCAATAAAATAAGATTCTTCATATTTTCAAGCTCCCCAGTAATGAAAGTGTTCCATTAAATTCAACTGTTTCACAATATCATTTTGATTTGTAGTTCATCTTGTGAAATATGTATGTGGCAAAGTTTGCGGCCCGCCGGTCCTTCAAATTTATGCTTGCGGCCCTCGTGGTAATTTGAGTTGTGCAGGCCTGACCTAACCCTAACCTGGTACACACACTACAGCAGTACCCTTTTTTTGTATAATGATACCAGATGAGAGGAAAGCTGACAAGATGGCTTAATCATATTGAAACAACGATCTCTCATTCGAACCAGGCGGGGAATGGGTATTGTTTCAGACACATGGACTTGGCACACTAATAGTAATTTTATGGAAATAGGTCTACTCTTCCCATTTTCTTTGAGAGCTTAGGACCTTTCTCTGAACAGACTTTATAAAACTGACATGATTGAAATTCAAAATACTTATTCGATTTCTATTCGTGTGACCCTATATATAAAAATTCAGTGAATGCTCTATGACAGTGAGACATCTAGTCACATTATATTTTTAAACTCGAAGTGCTTTATTGAATGAATTGAATTCAAAATATTGAAATTCCTTAACGCAATACAATTTTTTCAACAAACTGATATGTAACCTGATATTAGTGGAAAGTGGAAAAATAACGGCTCGCTCCCAATATTTTGTCCAGCCTACCTGCACGACAGATCTGTTCTTTTGACAAAACATAAGAAACGCATTTGAAGGTTTCTTTGGTGCATTTTGAAGTCTTTTCACTAAAAACAAAAACTTAAAACTCAATGATGCAAAAACTACAACAAATGGAAAACAGTACAATAACTGCAGTTATATGAAAAGCTCACAGCCATTATCATGACCGTAATGGAGTATTTGGTTGTATTAAGTTACTGGCGCTCCAGAAGTGTGTGTACCAAGATAGTTCGTCTACTTTACATCAAGTTGTGTAAAGGGACTGAAACCTATGCGTCGGGGGTATAACCACTTGGCTAGCAAAGACTGTCCCGAACTCGTAATAGAACTAAAATAAGGAAAATCGGAATGGCTTTACCCTGCCCTGGTACACACACTACAGGCAATGATAATTCACTTTCCTTCTTTGCTCCATCACACATTTAAATAATTATTACCTATTAGGCACACATTTTGCTAATATTTGGATATTTTGGAATGCTCAAGGACGAAATAATATATTTACCACTGTTTCTTATAAATGGGGAAAAGGTTTCGTTAGTTCACCAATCCTGAACGACTTATATTTGGCTACAGAGGTATCATTCTATCTGCTTCACTCAAAAATTGCTGGATGAGAGCATTGTTCAAAGTCAAAGTAAGAAAAACTAACATTAAAAATTAACCTTTAATTTTCTTTTTTGATGTTTTCTTAGGTTCCTTAATTTCACAATCTTCATCTTCTTGTTGCAAAGCTTCTTGTATTTTTAATTCTTCTTCTTCAATGTACTTCAACTTGGCTAACTGATAATTATCCCCAAATCCTTCCAATTTCTTCACCAAAAACCTAAAAACGGAAAAGATTAGATCCTGATATAAGTTCATGTACATCTGTTCCAGTCAACAACCAATGCTTATAAATAGATAGATAAAATTTGGGACTTTCAGTTATATTCCAACAACAGGCGCATCGTGCTATGACCTCATATTAGCTTTCTTTTACATGGGGTAAATATGAAAATCCCATCCTCGTAATATGAGATGTAGACAATGCTTGGCAAACTTGATGAGTTAATTTTATCTTTGAGGAGTCATGAAAGAATTCATGTTAGCATTGTCAGGAAACAGCACAGTAGGTAAGCTTTCCACAAAATAAAAATCTTTCTTCGTATAGAAAAAACTTGGAAGTATAAATTTTTTGGTTTCCACTCGTGATAAATATAAAAAAATTTCTTATCCACAAACCTTCTTTCTTTTTGTATCCTTCTTATGACTTTACGAATCCGCTTCAATTGTTCAGCATATTTTGCATTTTGAATCTGAACTTTTAAACATTCTTTGTACAAAGCATCACAATCGGCTTTTCCAACATTTTTCACGTCATCTTCTATCTCCGCTGACCCATTCCCTAATGCTGGAGCGTCATTTGATATTGGAGCATGAGTAAGTCCATTTACTTCAGATGTGTGGTTGGTTACTGTATTTTCAGACATAATTGTTTGGTTTGATTTTATTTTCTGAGCTACATTATGTTTTGTAGGCTAATTAATTAAACACTAATTTTTATAGGAAAAAGGCTGAATCTAAAAAACAAATTTATTTCATTAATATTGAAACAAATTAACAATAATTACCATACAATGAAAATTGACGGTTGAAACAGAAATAGCAGTAAGTTACGGACTACGTAGCAGTTAAGTTCATGTTTCAGGGTCAGAAATTATGCTCCAGCTTGTGAGAATTTTGATTCCAATTCCAGGATGAAAAAAAAGATCCAAACTCAAGAACAATAAATATCTTAATACAAACTCAATCAGTTACCACCTACTAAAAATGAAAGACTTGGCATTTCTAGATTTGTCAGGAGACAATTCTAACAATACCTATTTGGATTATTATAGCAGGCAAAGTAGCAAAGTTTTTTCTATCAACTGAATTGACATTACAGGTTAATAAATACCCTGTGTTCAAACTTCGTGCCCATTCAAAAATATTCCGGTATTACAAAATAGCAGTTCCTTATTTAGTGGCTGCTTATACAGAGGCAGAGCCTTGTTTAGAGTAAATATGTTTTATAATTGAGTTGAGAGAAGGGTATTTGGATCATTGTAAAATAACACACACAATCATAGCATTAACAGTAAGATAAAGTTTCTTCACAAAAGTATAAGTGTGGGAATTATCCAACTGAGAAAAGGTTACTTCCAAAAATGTTGACCATGTTTTGCAAAAATCCATCTGTTTCAAAGAAAAAAAAAAGAGACAAAATAAGGTGTTTAAAAAATTTAGATTAGTCACAGTCACATCTCTCACAAAATTTTTAAAAATTCCCAAAATTTGGTTTCACAATTCAATTTTGATTTGAGCCTAAAATAATAAATTCATCCCAAATTTGATTCACACTAAAATTTATAAAAAAGCTGACTCTAAGAAACAATTTTATTGAACAAATTACATTGCTTCAACCATCCTACTTTTGCGCATATATTCTTTCAGAGACGCAGAATAAGTTTTCGCATTGATAATAAATGGTGGACGCAATGCATGACGATAATCATTATTATAGCCGAGCAAGCGTTTTCTGAGTTTCTCGTCAGAATACGAATTCAGTCCATTGCGTAACATCCCACCAACAATCGATTGAGATTCTTTTTGTTCAATTTCATCGTTTTCTGTTCTCATTTTATTTACTTTTTCAGCCAAATGTGGCGGCAGCATTTCTAAAATAATTCCAGTTTTTTTGAGTAAATTGCCTGGTGTGAATTTACTTAAAATTGAGCTGGTTCCAGATGAGCTTTCTTCTCTGTCTTTTTCAGTCGTTGGTAACTCGTTCCAATCAACTTCTGGAATTATTTCTTCTTTTTCAATAAGTTTGTTTATCTCCGTATCGTTTGTACGACTTGTTTTCTTTTTATCTTTGCTCTTTCTAGAAGTTTGAGAGTTCTCCTTTCTATTTTCTGACGATCTTTTCGACGAAGTGGAGCGAGTGTCTTTTGAGGATTTTCGTTTTGGGTCAGGAGAAGGGTGTTTTGAAATTGATTTTTGTTTCTTACGTTCCTGTGTTGTCGTATTAGACTCCAAGTTTGATTGTCGTGGTTCATCAGTCGGTTTACGCTTCACTGAGCGTGACCGATCATTGTCAAAGCGATTTAATGGCCGCCCCTCACTTTTGCCATCAGAGACAGTTCTTTCAATACTTCGTTGACTCCGTCTATCATATTGTGTATTCTTATCACCTTTATTTGAACTTGCAACACTTCTATCAGAAGAAGTCTTTTTGCGTCTTTCTAGCGATGAGTTTCTGTCACTTCGAGGGGACTGGAGATCACCGCGATCGCTTTGTTGTCGAGACTTACTTTTATTGTCTTGCGAAATATGTCGCGAAGACGATCTAGAATCGTGACTGCTCGATCGCCCAAGACGATCCCCACTGCTATTATCTCGTATATTAGTATATTTTCGATCGCCACTATCCATTCGTTGATTTGGGTCTCTGCGATCATTTTGTCCTCTATCCATGCGTCTGTCATTTTCAATCATGCCACGCCCTCTTGCGGCATGAGGGGGCGTGACATGACTTCTGGAATATGAAGGCGGAGGCAACAGTGGAGGAGGGCGCACAGGCATCCTTTCGTTACCACGTCCTTGCCGCTCAAAACTGCGACCAGTTCGCATCAGCTCTGGTGGATGTTGTTGGAATATGTACTCGGGTTCAAGAAGTTTTCGTTGATGCGCAAATCGTGGTTCTGGCAAGCGTGTATTCTGCATAAGTTTCGGTATAGAACCCTTCCTCTCATTTGAAATATGCTTTGAACTCTTTCTTTGCCATTCAGCAACTTTGATCTCAGAGCTACGTTCAGCTGATAAATGTCTTGCATCTAATTTTTGTTTTACATAATTTGTTTCTCTACGGTCTGGTGAAAATATGTCGTCTCTTGAAGAACGCTTTATATCGGTATACGGGTCCTTTCTTCGATCACGCTCGTCTTTTCTTGGGTCATAGTATTTCTCAACTGGGCTCCTCAAGTTTGTTTTTCCACTACGGCTAGCGGTTACGCGGGAGGAAGAATCATTTCTTTCATGTTGAGTGTTTCTGTGTTCATATAAATCTCTACTATCTTGAGAATGTTTTTCCGAGCGACCGAGCGAATGTTTTTCCGAGCGATCGAGCAAATGTTTATCCGAGCGACGACTATCTTCTCGTGGTGATCTAGGTTGTTCAACTTTTTTTGTGATAACAACCTTTTCTTCTCTTCGTCTCTCTTTACCATGATAACGACGTTCTTCTTTGACAGGAGATTCCGATAACGGAGAATCTGGTTCTTCTCGCTTTCGTTTGCGCTTTTTTACCTTTTTTACGTCGTCACTAAAGCCATCGTCATCTATGACCTCATATCTCACTTTACTTGGTGATTTTTCCAGCTCTTTTCTGACTTTTTTCTTCATTTTTGAGCGTTTTTTAGTTTCTTTTTCAGCATAAGAATCGCTACTATATAGCTCTTCATTACCGCCACTGGTTTGAGAAATTTCCGAATACTCTGGCTGAGAATGTTTGCTTGCTGATGAATAATCAGAGTAAGTCCCTTGCAGTGAGTCTTCTTTTTGCACTCGTTTTTTTGAGACCACTTCTTCCTCTCTATGACGCTTTTTGCTACTCAGGATTTTCGTTGGTGATGCAGAAGCCTTGGAACTTCGCTCTTTAACAGTTTCTTTAATTTCACGTTCAAAGCTAGGTTGTCGTTTTGCTTTCTTGTGTCTCACAGGACTTTTTGAAGGTGATTCAGGCTCGTGTTTACGTCTTTTTGCTTTTCCGCGATCGTCTGATTTGACATCTTTTTTTCTGTAATGATCATCAGACGATTCTTCATACAACACAGGAGTTTGTTTTCGACTTCTTTCCTTTTCAACGACAATTTCCTTAGAATGCTTAGTTTTATGTTTCTTTTCTGGTATAATATCCTCGTCGTATTTACTGTATTCCTTCTCATATTTATCTTGTTTTGACAATTTTTTCACTTTTGATACAGATTTTGAGCTTGGTTTCGGTTCGAAGTATTCCTCACTTAAATCTTCAGTTTTATTTTTACGAGATACCTCCTTTGAAGCTTTCTTTTTCTCTCTACTTCTTCCTCTCTCTTTTTGTCGATGCGAGCTTGAAACGGGTTCAGGAGAAAAGCTTTGTTGTCGGTCGTATCGCTCCGTACTTTCTTCTTGAGATGAATGTTTTGCTGATCGTTTTTTTGATTTCTTCCTCGGTGAAACCGAATCAAACGATCCACTTCTCGACCTATCTTGTGAAGTTGAAGGGGAGACTCGCTTTTCAATTATTAAATTTTCTACAATTTTATGCACTTTGCCATCTCCGCGATCTGATTTATGTTTGGAATGGGTTCTTTCTGCTCCCGAGCGATTTGCTTCAGCGTTATCAACATGTTTATGGGACTTTCTCTGTTCTTTAACTTCATTGTGTGCATGTTTACTTTTACTGCTACCAGATGTATACTCTTTGGAAGACTTTTTCGTTGGCACATCTTCTGACTTTGAGCTGGATTTTGATTTTTTCTTGCGTTCCGGTGATGGACTTTGTTCTTTAGATGCTGTCTTCTTTGTTTTCACTTTTCCTTCAGAGGAATCTTTCCATTTTTTATGTTTTTCTTGGTTGCCAAGTCGTTCAAACACGCTACCTCTTTCGAGTTTCGTTTGCTTGATGTCAACAGTCACTTTTCTACGTTTGCTATTGGAGCTTGACATCTCATTTATACTCACCACAATGGTGATTTATGTTATAAATTTGAGAGTGTAATAGGTTACTGGAAAACAAACTATACTGATTTAAACCTCAGAACTTGGTGTTTTGAAAGTGTTATGCATAATTTATCAAACATGAATCAAATACATTTCAAATAATGTATATTTTATATATATCACTCTCGATTTTGGAAGAAATTAATACGTAGGTACTTCTATTAAAAAATTTAGACATCTTGTTGAAACACTGAATATTCTGTGAACTTTAGAAACCAAAATTTTGTTAACTATGTTAGAATTTTTTTTACAGAAAAACTTGAATATAAAAATCTGTCTAAATATTTGAAAAAATACAGATGTATGGGGCTGCAAAGACAATGCGGGTCGGTGGATGATAATTGTCAATATACAGATATGCAAACTTTCCTACCTACTTTTCTTCAAGTCAATTTTATTTTTCCAAACGAGTTAACACAAGTCAGTTTTACACAAAATACGAAGAAAAAAGGTACCGTAATCACACATTTCAACTGGGAAAGGGAAGCCGCGAGGAACCAATACCATCATAACTGCATAATGAACATTTTTTTGTCGCCATTGCCCTGTTGCAGTGTTGTCCGTCGGCTGCCTGATCGATATCGTACGATATGCTAGTATGTCTATAGTTCCGTACCCAACCTCTGAACCTACAGCAATTTTCTTAACGGGTCAAAAAGTTCTGCATACAAAACAAATTCGTGGTCTTCCACAACCCTGAGGCCATAGCGGCGCGGCGGTGTGGCTCAACGGGCTAAGCGTTAGGAATACGCTCGCCACCGCACCTCTAATTACTCTGCGTGGGTTCGCAGGTTCGAATCCCATGTAGGGATGGTTATGTGCGAGAGGATTGCTGGACTCCTCGCCGTCGTTGGGTGGTTCACGTAACCGCTGGTCGGTTACGGCTTCCTCCACCACCAAGTCCATGCTTCCGAAAACAAACAATACAGTAAAAACTAATCCCATACCCGACTTGGAATGGTAACCGGACGAGAGGCCGTGGTTCGCCATATGGATAAGCCGTCTTATCGGCTTTCCTCTCCCCCGGGATAAATATGTAAATCCTATCCTATCCTATCCATATTCATTTCTTATTTGCCACCTGCCTAGCTGTGAAAGAGCAAGGCAGCATTTTCCGGTCTCTGCAAAGTAGTGGCGTGACATGGCAGTAAAACGCCACACATTTACGTAATATACCTGTACCGTACACCTGCCACAATGCAACGCCACGTATAGCCAACTGCATTATATAGTATTGGTAGATTGGCGAATCGTTCCCTTCATCTTAGCATAACAGTCTGACGGATTTAGGCGTTTTGTTGTGCAGTTGTGCGAAGATGGCGTTCAGTCCGTTGGAAAATTTCCGCAATTTCTTGTCAGCTCGTCCTCCTTTGGTTCTATTTGTCGTGTGTATTGGAATGACAGCTATTGCATTCATTTCTTACGCATATTACATAAAATATAATGATGTGTATAATCCAGATGCAAATGAGGTATGATACAAATTTTTTGTTTTTATTTTCATTTTGATGGATATAGGCTATTTAACGTTAAACTTTCGCAATACTGCAATAATTCGCCTATCATTGATATGTGATTTTTTTGATATGTACGTTTATGTCTGTATGTAAAAAAATAAACCAGAAATAATACGGTACAGTACAAATCAGAATATCATGCAATCCTTGATATCAGCGTACATAATTTTACTTTATTTCAATTATTTAAAAACCAAACCCAGAGTAATTTCAGTCCAAACCAAAATCAAACAGTCTGAAAGTTTTTATTTCTGTTTTCAACATGACATTGCTGCATTGAGAGATCATTTTGATTTAGGTTTCCTGGATTTAAAAAAATGTTTTTAGCGTTGCCACTCATTTACACTGCTCATTATTCTACACGTCAGCACTCAGTAGTTCTTGTCATGTCATTTGTAACTTTGCCCAGAGAGATCATTTTTATATACCTGCGAGTGGATGCGTGTGACTTTGCTTTAAGCAAGTTGTTTTTAAAAAGCTCCAAATTTCCATTTCAGAGATTGAACGCATTTGTGGAAAATGCAACAAATCTCAATCTTTGCACAAAATTAAGCAACAAAAGTTGGACAACTCATAACTCAGAAAATCCTCGAGATGTCAACTTAAGTCAAATTTTATTGAATGACAACAACATGGAAGAGACTGATCTCAGAAAATATAAAACTGTCTCTTTCTTGGTCACTGTCAGTGTCAGTTTTCTACCAAAAAGCGATTCATTTCCTCGGCCCATTACAGACTTTGTTTCGAGCTTTCCGGTTTCTGTGCTTGGAATATCAGGTATAAAAGATGTTTTTGTTAGTCGACTTAAGATCGAACCTAGCTGACTTTAAATTGAACTTTCATATTTGAGGATGTAAAGTATTTTGTAAGATAGTAGCTGGCTCAAGTAAACTTTATAGAACAAATTAATACTCTTTGCTCCATGCTTTGCTCTCAAGTCAGGAATATCAATCAATTGGATGTAAAGAATTTGGTTTTCAAATTTTGTGTTTGACTTAGTTGAGTACTGGTAATTCTAATACTGTCTTAAGATTTGATTTGATTTGATTTACATATTTATCTCGTGGAAAAAGGGAGCCCATAAGACAGTATGATGAACCACGGCCTCTCGTTTGGTTACCAGTCCATGTCGGGTTGGGATTAGTTAACCAGTTATTTGTTTTCGAAGGCATGTCTTGTATCAAAGTAATAGAAATAGAATTTCTTATGTATAAGATTAGGAATAGAATAAGAACATAATATGACATGTTGGGCTCTGTTCAGATGCATTGAATTGAGTTATGGCACAAGCATTTGCATCTTGGATCTTTCTCCATGTGTTTTGAACCTATGCCAGCTCATTATATTAAACAGTAATATGGCAAGCATATTTAAATTTCCTCTACGATGAGGTAAACACTCATCAGCTGTTATTCTAATGTAACAAATTTTTATATGAAAATGCAATCCAAAACTTTTCTTTTTCAATATCCATCACCTGCAAACTTTTAAGGTATAAAAAAATAACATTTTTTGCAGGAAAAGATGAAAACAAAACAGTTGCCATGGAATTTGTACCTAGAACACCCACAAACTTGAAATGTGCGGACAATAAGAAAGTATGTCTCGTGGAATATGAAATGTGTGCAACCATAATGGCACCTGAAGACATTGTTCCATGTGCAAGGTACGTTTTCGATACTATTAGTAATACTATTCGTGACTTCAGAACTGAAGTCACTTGTTATTTTCGCAGGCCATCACTTTACATATATCCAGTGGTGGGATTCAGCCGGTTCGCACCGGTTCTGTAGTATCGTCTCACAGAATTTTATGAAATCAGCGAACCGGATAGCATTTCTGGTTACTGTCAATGTTCTGTTTGTAACAGAACCGGCTGAAAAATTTGAGTTTTGTGAAGGAACCGGCTGACAAAAAATTTGAATCCCACCATAATATATACCTACTCTCTTCTCCAATCTGTTGAATTAGATGTTAGAACCTTGGGTGTCGCTGCTCATAACCAGTTTTGGTTCCCAGTGACTTTCCTTCTCCAGTAGTGTAAATATCATTTTTTGCATGATTTTGTCTTTTTACTGGTTGGAAAAAATAAAGTTGACTTGACTTGATTCAGGGGTTTGTTTCATTGGGGTTTTATTACTTATCAATTTTAATCGGTAAGTATGTTGATTGGTATTTGTCTGTATGTCTGTCTGTTAGATGCACGTGATATCTCACAAAAGAGAGATTGAATCTGCTCCAGATTTTGCATGTGCATTCATCATATGTCGGACCTGAAGCCTTTTGATTTTGGATGAATTTTGTCGTATAATTAGCGAGTTATTAATAAATTAGTGATGGGACACAAGGTGTCACTATGGAGTAAGAGCGCTGTTTTGGGGGATCCCCTAACTTTCGATCGATAAGTCTTTGGTCTCTGACCGATATTCTCGTTTATTCTGTTATTCTATAGTACAAATCACAAAGTATTGAAAAAAAAAAGTTACTGAAAATGAAATTTGTATGAAGTTTTGTAGTTCAATTAATGGGATATGTGTGCTGCTTTTTGTATATAAACTATGATAACGTGGATCAATAGTTGATCCACTAGTTTCATTTCTCCCTCCTAATGTTACTTTTTGAACAGTGTTGGATTATCTCATGTCAATTCAAAATGCGGGCAGGCAGGGAGCATATTTCTATAAAATAAATTAAATTTTGTACTAGTTAGTTCGTACTGCACGGTTTCAGAACTACTGTCTAAAGCAGCGACGAGATGCTAAAGATAGAATAAAGTAGTGAATCTGCAACCAAATATTTCTTTATTGTAAAAACGAGATTATAAAATACTAAAAATAAAACGGAAAACACCATGAGTTTTGTTTTGGGGTGGACCGCGACAGATTAAAAACACTTTCTTAGACATTGCAAATCTTATAAATTCCTTGTGCCTGCGGCACACCAGTAGTGTTCTAAAACTACCGACTTGAAACAAATTTTACTTCGAGCATTGCGATAGAGCGGAGTAAGAATTGCAGGGACAGTTCATAATGGTGAAATTGGCAAGAATACAAATCAAAACAAAATCTAATCGGGCACTTTGCCACACATTTTTATGGTTGCGGATTACCGTGGTATTTTGGAGGAGTAGTGGTGCTTTTATTTTATCGACGCAATCGCAGATTTAACTTAGCACAAACAAATGAATAAAGCAACCATTTTAAATGAATATTTTATTCAACACGAAAACCATTACATATCCGTTGACAAAGTCGGCTCTTATAACGACTTGCGTAATGTCGAGGACTGACTCAGGATTCGTACCGCGGGGATTCGAAGTCGATGAATATGTATTTTAATTGTACTAAATTAAATATACTTTCTGGGATATTATACCAGATTTTTCCAATGAAGTCAGCGAATTCGCTTGAGTGCAATGTATATCAAAACTAAATATAATCGGGCAGTTGATCACACTTTAATATGTCTGCGGCGTGGTATTTTAGATCGGTAATGAGTTTATTTCGACATGAGTCGCCGCAACCGCGAGTTACCTTGAACACAAATGAATTAAAATAGAGAGACATTTTGAATCTTTTTAGTTAATACGAGACAGAAAAAATTATGATACCACGGAAAAGCTGGTATTTTTAACGAATGCGAAGACCGTTTCAGGAGCCGTTACATCTAAATTTACGATTCCATCTTGTGACCTCTTGCGCCCCCCCTGTGAGCATCTCTGGTCACAAGTAACGGATGTAAATTCAGGAATATTGAGAAATATGGGGGAAAATCTGAGAGTTGGAAATGGTCAAACTAAATGGCTTGGTGGGCCGGGTTGTGACCCGTGGACCGCCTGTTGCACATCTGTGGTTTAAAGTAACTGACATATATTCAGGAATATAGAGAATTTTCATGCAATTGCTTTAAGCTAGGCCTTGGACAAACATTCACTGATATGTTCAGAGTTAGGATACTATATTATTCCTTCTATGCTGACTTTGCAAAATGTATTGACAATTCATTTTACTCTTTTCTTAGGCAACAAACAAATAAATGTTCTTTCGAGAGAGACAATTCAACAAGTGCATTCATAGCATGGCTGGACGTCACTACACCTTCTAAGAATGAAAAAGATCATTCTCTCTCTCAGTGCAAATCAAACATTTTATTAAAAGCTACAAAAGTCAGAGAGCAACTGACTATTATGCTGACGTTGGTAAGTTTTTGAGCTATGAAGTACTTTTTGCGCATGGTGACTTGGTACAAGGCTTCCCAAACCCGGGATCGCGACCATGCAGTGGAGGGAATGAATTTTAGGGTCACGAGGAGTAAGTAGGCTACACTGAAACACTGACACCAAAGTACTATATCTAATAATACAATTATTAAAACTAGCGCAAAATGTGAATCTGACGATTTTGGGAAAATATATCTATAGGAACTTTTTAGCATTTTAAGCGTGAACCGGGGTCACAGAAAATTTTAATATATTTGAAGGGGTCGCGAGCTTTGAATTTTGGGAACCTCAACCTTTTTTTTACGTGGCCCACTCATGTTGCATAAAAATTCTGTGGCTCACTAACGTTCTCATGCAAGGGGAAAACTACAAGAAAATCAAGAATCTTTTTGCAAAAATAAATACTTTCACTTTAATAATTTGAATAAAAAGCCACAGCATCATTCATTGCTACTACAATAAAAATGTGACTATAGCAACATAAATGAAACTAAACTTTTCAATAACTATAGTAATTTTGGACCTCCAGAAGTATGTGCACCAAGATGGCGCACAACCTGAACATAGTATGTGTACCAGGTTAGGGTTCAGGTTGTGCGCCATCTTGATGCACATACTTCGGGAGCGCCGTAATTTCAATAGGCTCGTGGCCCACTTGAAAATCTCTCTATGGCCAAGCAGTGGGCCATGGCCTAGACTTAACAGTGAATCAATGAATCTTTTTCAATTCTTTTTTCAGGAGAAGCGTTCAGTTGCGAATATGCATCTTATGCACAGCAGTTATTTCCTATTTGTTATTATTATAACAATACTATTATTTGGAATAATAACTGGAGGAGAAAGGAAACATTCGAGGAATCAAAATAATCATTATTCTATGGTAAGAACGAAGAAATTACCAAGCTTTGAAGTTTGAACCTTCGTAGCATAATAAATTTAGTGTTTAATAAAAACATGCAAAGAAAAAGTGAAAAACTTTCAAAAACCACTAAAAAGCTTGCCAAAACATGCAAAAACGGTGTTCAATGAAAATTTGAAGTTTATGCTATACGAAAACAACTCCTAAGTATTTAGACCAGGGGTGGGCGAAGTATGGCCCTTGGACCGGTTCTGGCCCACCAGAGTGTTTCATCCGGCCCACTTGTGTCTGCTGAAATTACGACTATAGTTTTTATGGATATTAATTTCATTTGGAAATAATGTCATAATGACCCCGGGTATAAAGTGAATTTAAAATGGTCATTATGGGCTCATTAGAAAAATTTCTGCCCTAAGCTAACTTATGAACAATAAACCACCCCTGATCTAGTCTGTTGAAAAAACTTTTAAAATTATCTTATAATAAATTTTCTGAATTTCAGATGAACTCTGGGAGTGCATGAACACAGATTATCACTGGGAATTCACTTCCAATGAAGATTGCACAAATCAATGCATAAACGATGCTGGTTCATGGTCGTGCTTTGACCAGAGATAAAAAATGTCTCGAAATCGGCTTGCCCGTTTGATGTTGATTAGTTTTATCATATATTTTTGAATTTTCTATTTCGATTAAATCATGAAAAACCTGATTTTATAGAAAATTGCTACAAAACTCTATGACTGGCCATTTTATGGAAATGTTACTGGCTGAGAGAGAAGTTTTACATACAGATCAGGAACGTAGCCGTTAAGAGTCGCAACCCTCCTTCTGAAATGCTATAGCTTGAAACACAGTTTAAACCTTTAAAACTCATAAAAACCCACATTGTCCAGCCAGCTCTCACGGTGTTACTTGGCAATAAGAAATTTCAGAACCCCTCCCCCCCCGCCCTGAAAATCTTGGCTATGCCACTGGAACAGATGCTCGCAAAGTTTGTACGTTTGTGAAAGTCCGTTCAATAACAAATAGTTTGGAATCGTAATTATTTCCCATTGGAATTTGTAAATCCGTTCCATTTCGTCTGAACAGACAGTCGCTGATGTATAGGTATCTATTATTAGTTACCGTTAAAATTTGGTTGTAGCGAGTAAAAAAATTTCTCTGAATGGTGTATGCCAGGGGTATGCAACATTTTTTGTCGGTGGGCCATATATATAGCCAACTTAGATAACTAGCTGTGCCACACAAAAATGTGGCTATCACTTATCCTTACAGTACTAAAGGCACTGGGCAAAACGGGGAAAAATTTAGCACAGCGACAAGCAGAAATCGTTATGTATTTTTACCCATATGAGTGCCTTTTTAATTAAACATCAACTGTAGGATTATGATTCTATGCTTGATAATAAAAAATCTGCTCGTTGACAAAGGCCACACTCAATGACTTGGTGGGTCATGTTTTACCTGGCTCTTTATTTTATTATTTTGTGATTCTTTCTGTGTAACTGAGTCATTGCCACGTTTCATATTTCACTAGCGTCTTGCTTGGCAAAATTTATCTGTTGTATCACTGAATTTCCAGGCAGAGGTTCCTAAAGTCACAAGGAATAATAGGTAATAACCCAGCCCTCTATTTTATTATTTTGTGTATCTTTTTGTGTAACTGAGTCATTGCCACATTTCTAATGTGACCGGAGTATTGCTTTGGTGAAATTTGTCTTCGGTTTCCAAACTCACAGCGAATTGGGTTAACTTGATTGTCATTTATATTATATGTGCATTTGTTTGATCATTTTAGAGAACATGAACTGAATGTTGATATAGCCTGTCATACTTCTCTCATTAGATTTGATCATTTCATGTCAGTTTCAAAAATCTCAACCAAAGAGAAGTGATTTTCTATAAATCGATACATATTTTATGACCCACTCCAAATCATATGGGGGCCACTGGATTATATGAATGCTTATTATGAAATTAATTGTCTTCAAATACTCTTGCACAATAAACTTTTAGATCTTCTTTGCTTTCTGGCCTATCTAGGGCAGGGGTGCACAACTCAAATGAGGATACGTGCCAAATTTTTCAAAATAATCTTGTCGCGTGCCACGCACAATTGTGGTATTGTAAATTAACTCCCGCAAAACAAGCAAATTTCAATAATAATACATAATAACGGATATCTATTTATTGAAACAATTTAATGTCCTGGAATACTGCTGATTTTGATATAAACGTGTTATTTTAATGTATATCATAAATATTTTTATTTTTACAAAACCGTTCGCGTGCCACGTTTGAGCGTATGGCGTGCCCAATTTGGCACGCGTGCCCAGTGTTGTGCACCCCTGATCTAGGGGATAACTATTGAAAATTCCTCTGGATGAGCTTTGTAAATTGTTTTACTCGAATACTCTGACCAGTTTTAGGTATTCAAGTCCATTCATCTGAAAACAAAATAGTAACTGGCTAACTGATCCCATACCCAACTGTTAACCGGATGAGATGCTGTGGTTGGCCACATGATTAAGCTGTCTCATCGACTTTCTCTGCCCCGGAATAAATATGTGACTCATTTCCTGTCTGCTTTTTGTAGCTTGTCGCATCTTATGTTTGCGGTCTGTCATTGTCTTATGCTTCTAATTTCAACCAATGTAATATCTTACCGATCAACTTGCTCTCTAATTTTTGCTGATGTTTTAGACTTCATATGCTGCCTTAATTGCCTTTCTACCAATAGATTGGCATTATATGTCAATATTTCGAATTTAGCAGCACAATACTGTAAATTAAATTCAGCCAACTGGAACGGTATGCTGTCACGGTCAACCGTAACTATGTTCCGTAACATTAAACCATTCAGAACTCATCTGTTATCTGATGATTTAGATAGGTCTACTTTGGGTCAAAATTATATTTATGCGATTGATGTGATAACATTTTGTGATTGTATATTTTAGCGTAGGTTTCGAGTCTCTTTCTTTTCAAGGCATGGATTTTATTTAATTCTCGATAATTTTTACCTGTATTTTAATTCCTGTCTTGTATATTCAAATTATATATATCTCACATTTTAGTTCTAGTTGTTTTAAAGCTTTTTGGTGGCGATCTCTGTTAATAAATACATTTATTCCAGTTCTTGTCCGATAGTTTTGCAAGCGGTTGCTCAAGTTAGCCTAGAAGTCCTCAGTATTCATCCTTTTTTTCGGAGCGAAATCCCAGAGACAGAAATGTATATAAAGGAAATCTAATAATGGCAGAACGAAATGATCTTTAGTGCAGTAATTTTAATAATAGTGGCAAAGCTAAAATGTGTTTGGTTAAACACAGTGGTGGGATTCAAATTTTTTGTCAGCCGGTTCCATCATACAAATGTCATGTAATGCTAACCTGAGACGGTTCTATAGAACCGGTGCAAACTGGCTGAATCCTACTGGTTATACATATATTACTATGGACTCTTGGATTTTAATGGAATCCTGCGAAACCACTGGAGTATGCGGACAGAACCCTTGGATACTGTGTTCTGAAATAATTATAAATTTTTCATTTTTGTCATGTCAAATTTCAAACTGATTCAGATACGACTGCCGCCTTCTTCCATGACTTATTCTGGTTCAAATTGGAATCATATGCATGCAAAATGCTTTGGTTGGTCACTTATCCCCCTTCCCCCCCAAAAAATATCCATAACTGTAGGATAAAACTAAGTTTTGAGACTTGGAACTAACATGGACTGGCTACTAGACAAAAGTAATGGTCATTGCTTTAGTTTGTGTTACATTAATAGCATCCTTGGCACTCCATCACGCCAGTTCAGTTCAAGATAACAAGTAGTGGTACGATGAGCTATTTACATTCTAATTTCCCAGGACAAAGACTCTTTTAACATATGTAGGGCAAATAAGCAGAGTCCCAATTTACACAGTAGCATATCATTGTGCCAATAGTACACTCTAAGCACCAATGAATGTAAATTGATGTGAAACCAGAACAGATTACCTTAATAAGATTTGATGACTAGTCTGCATAATGATCACATTCGATCCCTCAATAGCAAATCTCACTGCCATACCACCTCTCTAATTTTAATTGATATCATTTACTACAACATACAAATGTCTGGATCTCATGATTGAAACAATTTTTATTAGCTCAAAAAAATGCCCAGCTGAGCGAGATTGAGGATGGCCATAACCAATTCAATATCAAATATATATTCAATTGACATGTACAATTTCAGAAGTTGCACAAAGACTATTGTTTGTATGACTAAGATGCCAACCGCACATGGCAGCTTTTCAAATACTAATATTCATTTCCATATCAAACATAAAGTGAAATTAATTTCAAATATATTCGACTTGTTTGATATCTCCAAGTGATATTATTCTATCATCTGGAAATATTGTCTTCTTTATTAGTATAATGCCAGGGCATCATCTATTCAATGTTAGTGTGTCTGCTGGTTCATGGGAGCAAAATAATTCCTTACAGCCTGTGATTTCCTTGAACTAGTTGCCTTAGCAATCAATAAGTCCATTATCCAAACAACACAAAGAAAAACTATTATAAATCAGTTTTATTGATCAGTTTTTGGTGCTCCAAACACATCAGGCATTCTCTCTATAGTATATTTATGTTGGCTGATATACATTATAGGAACTCCGGGAATTTTTCTGATTCGTCTTTTAAGATCTCTATCGCAAGTAGCGACAATATAACACTTATGCTGTGTGACTCTTTGCACCAAACAATCATCAGCATAAGTCCCTTTATGTAGACAAGGCAAGCGTTCAAATCTTGGGTCTTTTGCTATTCTTAGAGCTACTCTGTATTTTGGGCCGAGTTTTTCAAGTTCTGCCGTCACACAGTCTGTGATATATGGTGTGCATTTTGCATACAAACAGTCCATCATTGACCGCATTATATCCAACTTATTTTTGATAGAAAAGTTGATGAAATTTGTATCCACCTGAAAAAATGATTTGTATTTAGTATATACTGTTATTAACCTGTTATTCATTCAATAAGAATAAATACATTTTTGGCTAACTATGCAAAGAAATATTGCGTGATACAATTCCAAATGCCAAAACTTTTGGAGACAGCTCAGAATTTGGTTGAGAAATTTGTTTTTATCATTTAGGAAGTAGGATATCATGTAGCATAAATACCTTCTATTGAAAATTCATTCATAACGAAGGCAAAAACTATGATAAAACCCAATACATCTACTAACCAACAAATGATAAGGAGGCCCCAGATGTTCGTTATACTTAAAAAACATTGCAGATGAATGTTGTGGAACATGTCTCTCAATTATTCCACCTTTCTTTAATAATTCTCTCCTCTTCTTTTCCTCTGTGTTTGTTTTTTGTCGTTTGTCTTTTGATATTCGACTGTCTTTCAAATTGAGCATTCGCTTCATCTCAGCGAATTTTCTACAGCGTTTGTTTTTCCCCTGCAAACAAATTTCACGATACATTTATCTGATGGTATGGAATGGTACACTCGAGTCCTTGGTAAATTTCAGAATTTCGGATTAATACTGTAATATGGCCGTACGGCATCCGTACAAATGACAAAAGTACCAAGGTATGGTTCGCCATTAAACTTCCAGTCTATACCAGGATGTAGATAACTCAGCCTAGATCAGAAGACCTCCCTAGTGGAAGTGGTGACTCTTCTACGTCCCATAGGCCGGGGCAACGGCCCATCGAATTGGGCTTCGGCCCATCAAGTTGTGTAAAGGGACTATTCACTTGGCCAACATAGACAGTCCCCAGGTCCCCGAACTCATATTATTGTAATAGAACTACAATGTGGAGAATTTGAACGAAATTTTGTCCTAACCCTATCCTGGTACACATACCACAGGAGTTTTCTTTTTCTGTAGCTTGGTATTTTGCTTTATTTTTATATAAAGGCTTACCATATTGTAAGAAGGTTTTGTTTGCCCTCCTGATTTCATAATCAGTTTTTATTTATTTTTTTACTAATCATTTTATTGTTATGCTGATTATGGAGTCGAAATAAACTTATAATTATTATACTAAGAAAAAATTTTTGTGGCATCCCACGATTTTTTTTTGGTACAAATATTGACAATTTTGTAAAAAATTGAAAATTTTGGTAAGATAATTGAATTTTTTCCTGATGGGGCCACGGCCCATAGCTTGATGGGCCATGTGGCCCAATTAGATGGGCCGTGGCCCCGGCTCATGGGCCGTAGAGAAGTCACCACCACTGTAGGACCTCCAAGAAGCCAAATTCAGGAAAAAAACTAGAAAAGGGTTTACAGGTTTAATGTTATACCAAGTGCTGTACCGGTATCGTAACAAGCGCTTGAGCACACTCAGACAAGTTGAAAAACACATGATAATCTACCATACAGCCATAAGCGAATAAATTCATAAGGAGCATACATTCGGACAATGAAATAAAATACAAGTTTGCCACATGATACTGGATCAATACCTAACTAACATAAGTTACGCCACAAAAGACCAAGAATTAAATATGAGAATGAAACTTACCATTTTCGATTATATCCTCGAATTAAAATGTTCTGCAGCGGCTATTTTTGATGAAACAAAAACTACGCCGCAGACAACAGACCAAACGTTTATTCCGAATGCTGATTGACAGGTACGGTGATATCTTGATAGTACAATCATATTAGTTGCTGCCACAACGGGTGGCGCTCAAATGCCACGTGTGGCAGACCACAAAATAGATACATAAAGTAGTCAAATCTAAATGATTGATGCAAATCTATATTTTTCAGTTATTTTGAATAAAGACGTGTATGGTGGCCCATCGTTGTCACGTGTAAAATTTAAAAAAAAAATGAAAAAATAAAATGAAAAAGCGGAAATAAAAAAATAGTTGTGAAAAAACATAAAAATAATTGGAAAAAAAGAAATAAAAAAAAATTGAAATTAAAAAAAAAATTGAAAAATAAAACAAACAAAAAAAAAAAAAAAAAATTGAAATTAAAAAAAAAATTAAAAAAAAAAAAAAAATTTGAAAAAAAAAATTGGATAAAAAGAAAATAAAAAGGTGGACAACGATGGTCCGCCTCGTGGCCCATCGTTGTCACGCGTTTTTATTTTTAAAAAATTTGATGCTGCTTGGGACCAACGTTGTCAGACTTAATCCTACACGCACAAATGTGTTTCCTGGGTTTCTAACTCACTACTGATTTTCATGACCAATATCCAATAAATTCAACATGAAAATGTTCTACAAATTCTCCATGCTACAAGTTCAACCACAAGCAATATATTTATAATAAGGATAAGAGAATATAGAATTGGATACGAAAATTTGTTTTTACGTGTAGAAGGTAATTTAATTGGAAAATGCTGCTTAACTGCTCAGACACTCGTGCGATGCCGGTACGGTATCGTCTGACCGTACCGGTACCCATGCAATCACTCGTGAGAGAATGGGAAATGATGAGTGATTGTATGGCTACCGGTACGGTCAGACGCAAAGCGACTATAACCGACTACCGGTATTTGGTAAGACGGTACGGTACCGGCATCGCGAGTGTCCAGACAACTGAGTAGTTAAGCAGCATTCTCCAAATTACCTTATACACGTAAAAACAAATTTTCCGAATTTTCGTATTCAATTCTATATTCTCCTATCATTATTATAAATATATTACTTCTTGTTGAACTTGTAGCATGGAGAATTTATAGAACATTTTCATATTGAATATTGCTCAAGAAAATCAGTAGTGAGTTTGAAACCCAGGGAACACATTTGTGCGCGTAGGATTATGCCTGACAACGTTGGTCCCAAGCAGAAGCAAATTTTCTAAAAATAAAAACGCGTGACAACGATGGGCCACGAGGCGGACCATCGTTGTCAACCTTTTTATTTTCTTTTTATTCAATTTTTTATTTTTTTATTTTTATTTTTTAATTTTTGTTTTATTTATTTTTTTTTTCGTTTTCATTTATTTATTTTTTTTTAATTTTAATTTTTTTTTTTCATTTTTTTTTTAATTATTTTTATGTTTTTTCACAAAAATTTTTTTATTATCGGTTTTTTATTTTATTTTTTATTTTTATTTTCAATTTTACGCGTGACAACGATGGGCCACCATAGACGTGTTATTTATAAGTAAATGGATATCGGTTTTCATATACATTTTGTATATTTGAAAATCTCGTATTTCTTCAATTTGTAATTTTGTTTTTAATAAATGAAAATATAAGACATCCCTCTAAAATAAACCCTAGTGTTATTTTTGGGAAAAAACACAAGACCCAGTCCTATTTCGGAGAAACACGGTATAACATAAGAAACAGTTAGATTTATCAAGTAAATTATTTTTGTATTAGATATCAATAACCTCCTGTGTCAAACAGCGAATACCTGTAGGCTTGGTCAAAGACGTCGCATGACATTGTGTTGAAATGTATCCTTGATGTATTTTAAAGTCCCAGACTCACAAAATTCTGTGTAGCCTACTCCTGTACTAGTATATTGCATTACGGAATCAACCTAATGTTTTCTACTTTTGCACTATTCAATCATGGACTTATGACTTTCGGGTTTTTGATTAAATATCTTGTTCTGATACGATGATCAAAATATATTAAATTCAAAGAAATAGGTACAAATAGATGATTTTTACAATACATGTTAATTTCTAATATTATTTTTATTGCAGCGTGTTTAGATCAGGAGTGTACACTCTACAGCCCGCGGGCCAAATGCGTCCCACAATGATAAAATGTGCGGCCAGCGGAAAGGTTGCAATTTCGAATGATCTGCGCCCCCGAAACAAGTTTTTAATTCAGTATAATCTGGTACTTGCGAGTGCGTTGCAAAGCCTATACACGAATTCAATTTATCGTCTTTGCCCATGGCGATAAATGCCCTAACATCCAGCTTGTGCGAAGCGAACAACGTAGGATAAATAACTAAAAATTTTGTGCCTGCTTCTACTAGAAAGCCTATGTTAAATAAAAGTGCGGCCCGCGGTTTTACCCTGTCATTTGTATCTGGCCCTCCTGTATTAAAGGTTGCACAGCCCTGGTTTAGATAATAACTTCAATATTAACGTGTAATTTTCTTCACTTCCCTGTTTTTGGTTGACGGGCGCGTACGTTTTTCTTACCTTGTCATTGTCGTCCAGGTCCTATGCATTTTGTTTGTTATTGTTTTGTTTTATGTCAGAGTGACCAAATAAAATGACTCTTTAAACTTTAATAGCGGTGTGATAATTTTCTGATTTAGATTATTTTGCTCACTCGTCAGGATCCTTTCGCAGGACGTTCACTTTAAATACATAAAAATGTAGCTTGATGTATCTTGCCCAGTCAAGGTAGCAGAGTATTTTATATTGATTCAAAGTTTATTTGAGAAGAAAATAAGTACATGCACGTATACTTCGAATTTACGACACAGCACGACCAAACTATGAAATATTTATTAAATCACGAGATAATAATTCTAATTTAAGAATTCAGAGAAAACAAAACTAAATAGCTTACAAGGTTTCAAATGAAGCACAAAAGTGGAGAATTAGCTTAACAAGGATGCGTTATAGATAATATATATATAACTTTAAGCATCAGACGTGTACAAATATATTCTGGCCCCTTTCATGAACAAAAACCCAAATCGAGTTGCATAAGGTAAAATATCCACTACCAAATTGTCAACAAGAAAGAAATATGGATCATCGTTTGCTAGATGATTCAAACCATTTTCCTATCCCCAGGATATATATATAAAAATATAAATGTTCTAGCTTCTTTAGTGATATTTGTTTACTTATAGTGTGTCAAAAACAAAAATGTTATTAAATGATGACCAAAATTAAAAATGTGCAGAATTAACTTGAAATGCTGCATTAGGAATCACATCCACTCAATGAGAAACTCTCACCTAGCTCGAATATATAATTGTTTGAGGAACCCTGGAGATCCACGGAACCTCGACTGCACAGCATAGCTATATATAGACATCTGGCAACACAGCACGCCGAATAAAGCAAACAAAAAAGAGAATTGCTTTCATCAAACCAGGAAACGATTATACAAAATAAAGTTTTGAAGGTTTCGGTATATCATGAATGTAACAATACGACCACAGGAACACGTAGAAGCAACATTTTTAATATTTTCATCCTTTTTTTAACAATCCTTATCATCACAATTCATGATAGAATGCTTTTTCACAAACATAAGCGAATTCTGAAAAGCACCATTGATCGTTTACTCCGTTATACAATTTTCCACACAAATATTCACCACAGAACTCAAATCTTCCCTCGTTATTCGGTTCACCGTTTCTCCAGGGTACACTTCGTCGTATATCGTTGACGATTGTCCCATCTGACCAAACCCAATTTTCGCGTTCAATGTGATCGAGCCCTATCCACATCCTAGTGTCAGGAATACAAATCTTTGAATGAATTTCACTGAAAATATAAAAGCATTCTCAGATAAGCCTCCAAAATGAATATTGAATAGAAATTTCTTTTGCGTAGCTATCTGTGTGACTGATTTGGTATTGTCATGACCTTATATTGCAATATTCATGGTATTTATACAACTGGCATGTGATTTCTTTTAGGAATTCCTGCCCCAAATCAGTAGCACCCGCCCAAATGGCTGAATTGTTTCTTACGCTCATTACGATATATATACTCCGACTGTTTGATTGATTTAAAACTGATAAAACTCATCTTAAAAAAACAGCTACAAACTTTACAAATAGGCCTAGAGTATCAGTTACCTCCGGACTTTGGAATCTCTAATTCCAGTGGAAATTAACCGAGCACCCAATTGTTCACAGCGGTTTCTCGCCGTTTGGTAATGGACTTCCTCAGAAAACCATTTATAGAAAAGATTATTACTGGCTCTGTACCATCCAGACAACGACGCGATAACATTAATCTATAAAGAGATAGTTTTACTATTAGACACTCACTAAAAGTGGCGAATAATGTTTTTCTTTGCTATCTATACACAGGCCTTCTTAAAATTGTCTTGAATACTGAAGTTTACCGCGTGGAATGAGGATGTGCTTTTGAGCCACGGACTCGAGAAACGAAACTAGTGCAAGTCTCGCGGACGCGGAAACTTGGTTCGTGTGGATAAAGTTGAATCCAGGTCAAGACTAGTAGTCATGTCCCAACAGAATTCGTTTGGTTTGAAACCATGGACTAGGCAATTCTAGAAATTCGCCCTTTTTAAACTTTTGCACTCTGAAATATGGAATGATAATTTCAACATATTTTAGATTTAATTATTAGTAAGGAAAAACTCACAACCTAATATTGCCTGACTGAATTTTGATTTTCACATTCTCCAAGTCAGACTGAACATCGTTTTTCATACTTACCAAGTCAGCTTCAGATTTTTTTCTCGTTGAAATAAATTCTGGCAGAAAAAATAAATGTTTTGAGAATACCGAGTATATCAGTTTTGTCACAAAGTGCATGTCAAATTGAACACTGAGATGATTGGCCTATAACCCTATACTATAGTGTGTACGCTTCATATTTTAGTTTTAATATTCAGATGCTTATTATATTTCTATATAGTTTATATTCATACCTTTCTGGAGTTCTTCAAATTTTCTGTCAAAATCATTTGCGATTTTCATACTATGGTACATCACCATCGCAGTCACGATAGACAGAACAACGACAGCAATTTTCAAACCCGAATATTTTCCACCACGTACATCTGTGTGAATAACAAGTAGTATGTGACAATTTGTTTAGTTCTTGCTGTCTAATAAATTGATTCTTGTTCTTTTGTATCATTAATAGGAGAACACATGTGTAGAAAACTGACAATAGTCCGGTCATGAACGTAGTTGATCATAAGTGAACTGCATTTGTTTAAATTCAAGAAATTGAATCAGTCAGGAACAGCAAAGAGTTCAATAGTAGCATTAGTTAACACACGCTTAATTTTGTCTGCAAAGTTGAACGCCTACGATTTTGTTTTGAATAATAATGGCCAACTGGTTGAAGCACGAGATGTGCTACCTACGTCCCGCGAGCCAAATGCGGCCCATAAAATAAAATGCGCGGACCCGCAGAGAAGTGCCAATTTTGAATGATGTGCGACCCGCAAAACGAGTTTTCAATATTGTACGTACAAGTAATTCCAACCCCTGTACGTCGAAAAGCCCGAGTTCAATTTAATATATATGCCTATGACGTTACAGTGGCCTAACAATAAATCTCAGATTTCAAACCCCATAATCACATCACCAATTGTATATGTCAGTGGTTCCCAACCATTTTTATAACGCGGCACACTATTGAGATCTTTATATATTTGCTGCACACCTAACACAAAACATGAACATTTTCTACTCATAAAACCATTTTGCTATAAAGACCAGATAAGGGGAATTTTAATCATGTATTTAGTAACAGGTATAGAATAATAATGGTGAATGTCTGGGAACTAAATATCAGCGACAGAGTTAATTTAATTCATAGAATGTAAATCAACAGAGAAGCTTCACGGCGTCACCCGGAGTGAAAAAGTTTTCAGTTCTTGGCTTACAGTATGACTAAATACCTGAGAATCTGAGTTTACTCTCATCTTCTTTCCAAGTTTCAAATTAAAATACACGCCTGTAAGTCGATTTGCTAACTTTCAACTGTCTATTTGAAATTGGAATCACTTGAAATAAATTCAAAAATGAAATCTCTCCGCGGCACACCAATAATCATTACGTGGCACAGTAATGTGCCGTGGCACGGTGGTTGGGAACCACTGGTATATGTGGTGAGTTGTCTAACCGATGCCAAATCCGTAGATATTGCGGATTTTTTTGTAAGCCATATCTTTTTACATACCGGTGGCTGGCCTGAAATAGAAGGGTGCTCGTATCGTACAAAGATGGCGCACAACCTGAACATATCATGTGTACCCGGCTATGGTTCAGGTTGTGCGTCATCTTGGTACGAATACTTTTGGAGCGCAAATAAAAGCCCGGAAAACATCGCGTAAATTCTTTTATCAGTTACTTGTTTGCAATTTATAACTTTAACCTTTATAAATTTTAATGAAACAATCTCTCTTACCTTTGTATTTATTTTCTGAGCGTTTTTTGACGACCCGTTCAACAATTTTTGCAATATTTTCGACGTTTTCGATATTTTCCTGTGAGTTATCTCGATTGGAACCTGTAAAATATTGAACCATCCCTGTTTTAAAACTACAAATTTTCAGTCATTTATTATAATAAACTGGAATAATATTCAGGAATGTGAACATATTTGAACTATAGTTTCTATTTTTCAGATTATATGACAGTTATAGATAACAATTATTATTCTAAAACCCCCATGGTATAAAAATATCATATTAGAGTGGATTGACCAACGATTCTCTGATAGTTTGATTAGCAGGCGGTGTGGTCGTTTGATCAGCAGGTGGTGTGATACAAAATGGTTGCTACATTCGCCTGACTTGAGACCAAATTTCTACCTGTGTGAGTTGCTGAAAGACACAGTTTATCAGAATAATCCCAAAACTATTGTTGAATTGAAATTGGCCATCACGCACAACATTAGTGCAATAAAAAGAGAAGAATGTGCCAGAGTGATTGATAATTTTGCTCGACGGCTTCAAGTATGTCTGAGACGGAATGATGGTTATTTGGATCATGTATTTAAATAAACCTTAAAATCTAAAGTTAAAGGCCCCAAACTTTCAGTACTCAATTGTTATTATATGAGCACACAAAAAAAGTTAACATTTTTAACGGCTCTTGTTTTAGTAATAAATGGTAATCGAATTAATGGGTTTCCTTTTATTTTGGGATACCCTATATTTCGCCAACAAAGACCTTAAACCCCTAACCTATAAGGCCGGTACCGGCCTTACCTTTGTACATTGATAACTTTTCATCGACACTTCTTTCATGTTCTTGCACTCTGGATCCCATGTCGAGTTACACCTAGATATATTTCAAGTTCGTCTACGATTAATTCAATCTAACTAATCTCTGTCTGAAGAAACATAAATTTACAACGACAAAATATAAAAACCTTTAAATAAAGCTGCACAGCGGCATTGAAGCGACATCGAACGCTGTTATAAGATAACATATTTCAGATTAAGACACCGTGAATGCGCACTTTCGTTTTGCATGAACGCCCGAACGCTTGATTGCCTCGGGGCTTCGTCTGGCTGTTCTCGCTCGTTGTGGAATCGGGATATATATTTATTTCAAATTATCACAGGGTTGGGAGACGGGTCGAAAATTCTAATTCAGCGTTCCATAACCAGAAAGCAATTTCTCCACATGTGCGAAAGAAATTTGTGGTTTTGGAGAGGTGATATTACTTTGTAGTTTGTGTAGTTTTACTAACATTTTTAGTTTGTTTTTACTATTGTAGAACATATTTATAGACTCATTTTTAACTATTCGAACTTCAGAACTGCGCAAAAATCAGAATGAGACTTGCGCGTAACACTAGGAAAGGAATTTATTACAGCTTGACAAAATAACGGAAACATATTTTCAATGCATAGTGAGGGGATATAAGGAGATCCAAAACAAACAAGAGAAAACAATTTTCAAATAAGGTTGGCAGCAGCTGTTTTATTCAATGGACCTTTCCCCGACCCTTGCCCCAAGGAATTCTCCCTATGCTTCACTATATAGCAAAATTTTGGATGCTTATTTTGCGAATGTTTTGGAGAGTCGACACTCACAAACTGATTTATATGCGCCAAACCATTATTTCTATTAGATAATTAGAATAAAAAACCACGTGACACTGACACGCACTAATAGCTAATTTTAACTTAGTCTATCGCAGCTTTCCCGGGACTAACCTTTGGTCATTGCAACTAAACTAAAGCTTATCGGTGACATAATGACAATTAAAATACTTCGTTTACAACTAAGTTTTGGAAACACAACCGAAAACATACAAAGAACAAGCAAAACCGCGGAAACGAGCAATGTTTACAACCATGCTTGAATATCTTGAAACATCCATTGAACAGAAAAGGATCTATCACCGTGTTTGCATTCACAAAATTTTATTCCAAAGTAAAAACTCGGAGTCTAAATTCGATCAATCCGGAATTGCCAGTCAAAGCCGGATTTGATTTAGTTAAAATCAAGACGCCAATCAAACATCTAACCGCGATCTATTGAATATATATTGATCAAAACCGTTTGTTTATGACGTAACTACAGTTTATATGAGTGATATGTAGGTATCAGGGGTGAATGAGATATTTTTTTTATACCGCTCATTTATAATCCTCTCATTCCACCTTAATGTGATGATTACTAATTTTTTTATTATTTTGAAACGTGGCGGGCGGTGTTTTTCTCAAATCTGACATTGTTGCATTGGTGGCGGGGTCTTTCCATGAAAGATTCTAATTTTGTATCGAACTCACTAACAACAGGTTCCCTCAATTCAGAAATGTATGTAATGTATGTGATTACGTGAAATGCGTTAACATGACACCCTTTACATAAATTTATTACATAAGTTCCGAGATGCCAAATTTAACGCGTCAGCTAAGGAAACACTTAACCTATTTGCTGTGGTGGTCTAACGCAATGGTTCTTGAACTCGGCGGTGGCTATTGGCTCGGCGGTGTGGCGCATCGTGCTAAGCGTTAGGAATACGCTTGCCAACGCATCTCTGATTACCCTTCGTGGGATCGCAGGTTCGAATCCCATGCGGGAACGATTATGTGCGAGAGGATTGCTGGACTCCTCGCCGCCGTAGGGTGGTTCACGTAACCGCTGGTCGGTTACGGCTTCCTCTACCATCAAGTCCATGCTTCCGGAAACAAATAACTGACTAATTAATCTCATGCCCGACCTGGACTGGTAACCGGACGAGAGGACGTGGTTCGTCATATGATTAAGCCGTCTTATCGGCTTTTCTCTCCCCCGGGATAAACATGTAAATCCTATCCTAATTTTTTTGCACCACCGTTACAGTAATTTTACCGCCATGCTTTTATATTTTTATTTGTTTTGATTGACAAATCAATAAATCTCTCTCTCTCGTTGTTGGATGTAATTAAAAATTATCAGCCTTATAAAATCCAAAGTAATAATACATGCGATGACTTTTGAGTGAATGTAGTTCTTCATAAAGTTTCCCAACACCACCATGTGCTTGTGACTTTCAGATTTTTGATTATCTTGTTTTGATACAGAGTTCAAAATATATTGAACCTAAGGAAATAGGTAAAAAAGGAGAATCTCTACATTACATGTTAATTTTTCTTGTTATTTTTATTCCAGTTTATCTTTAGATAATAACTTTATATAATTTTCTTCACTTCACTGTCTTTGGTGGTCGGGCACGTACTTGTACGTTTTATAACTTTGTCCTTGGGTTATGCTCATCCTCCCGGTGTTTTTGTTTGTCTGTTTGTTGTTGTTTTGTTTTATGTCAGAGTGACCAAATACAATTGATTTATTGATAATTTTTAGATTTAGACTAATGTCTGTGTTTTGCGCAGTTAAAGTAGAAGAGTATTTTATTTTGATTCAAAATTTATTTTAGCAAAATTTAATTAAAAATCTAAAGTCTAATTAAACAAAACAGAGAGACAAGCAAAACTAAATAGAAGATTTTAGAATCAAAAGAAGATAGTTGGAAAAGATGCATTATAATTCCACTTGGAATATCGACCTGCAGAAATATACTCTGGCTCATTCTAATTAAACGATAATTGAGGGCCATATAATTGAAAGATCTTATTGCTTTCCTCCTCATTTTGAATATAATTTTTCCTTATCGTATTCTCACATTTTCGATTACTCAAAAAAAGAATGGAATTGAATTGAAAACTTATAAGCAAAGTTCTTGGACAACATTTTTTTTACAATATTTATCATTACAATTCATGAGAGAATGCTTTTTCACAAGCGTAGGCGAGATGTGGAGAACAAGGGCCGTCGTTTGCTCCGCTATTTGATGTTTCGCAAAGATATTCACCACAATCCTCCATTCCTTTATAGTTATTTGGTTCACCCTTTCTCCATGGTATACTTTTTATATCCGCCAGGACAGTACCATCTGACCAAATAAAAACTTCTTCTCGTTGAATGTCATCAAGCCCGATCCATATGCGAGTCTTCGCAATACAGATTTTTGGAAGAATTTCTCTGGAAACAGGATAAGATTTAGATATTTATCCCTGAGGGAAAAGAAAGCCGATAAGACGGTTTAATCATATGATAAACCACGGCCCCTCGCCCGGTTACTAGTTCGTGTCGGGTAGGAGAGATTTTATTTCCACACAAACAATTGAAGAAGTTAAAACGCAATATCTATAGAGGTAGAATATCCAATTTATACATTGTGTAATCAAATTATCGAAATTGATGCAACAATATAATATAAAAAGGTGATGATTTAGGTCCATGATTCGAAACTTATCACAGCAGGATTATGATAGAGTTTAGAGGACGTATATAAAATAATATATATTACCGGTACTACACTGTGATCTGGTACATTACTGATCACCATAAAAGAGCCGGGCTCGGTATGGGATTAGTTAGTTAGTCTGTTATTTGCATGCATTTCTATGCAGATGTATGGGCGCGATGGTGGGGAAAGCAGTACCCAGCCTGTAGCTACCTAGAGCGATCAGCAATCTTCTCGTACATTATTACATTCACGGGATTCGGACCTGCGGACTCACGCGGGATAATCAGAGGTGCGGTGGTCAGCGTATTCCTAGCCCGACGCGCCACACCTCCGAGGCATAATTTATACATTCTTAATATGAGAGAATAAAAATATATTTTTTCTCGTCACTGAGTTGTTTTTTTAAAATTTTCACAATATACCATTTTCACCCAAAACTAAGAACGTTCAACTCAAAAAACATTAACAATTATAGAAGAACTTCAGTTACCTTCTAACATCAGGATCTCGGAAGCCGGTGGAAATTAACTGAGCACCCAGTTGTTTGCAGCGCTTTCTAGCAGTAAGGTAATCGACTTTCTCGGAAAACCGTTTATAAAATAGATTATTACTGGCTTTAAACCATCCAGACAACTTGAGAATTTTTTCATTTTGCGACTCGATAACTTTCATCTGAGGAAGAGAGAGTTTTGCTATTAGACAGTCAAGTTTTTGCACTTCAAATTTATCAATTCTGAAAAATTAATTGGTACCGCGGCGGATTTCAGATTCAATTATCGTTAATCAAAAACTCACAAGCTTATCATCTCCTGACTGAACAGAGTTTTTCATATTTTCCCGATCTACTTCAATTTTTGTCCTCATGACTGTATGTTCTGCTCAAAAAATTAAATGATTAAAATGTGCAAGGGATATGAATGTGTGCTGTAAAAGTATGGATATATTTTTGAAACATTCCAAAACTTCTCTCTGGATAAGCATCCACTGATACGTGGCAAAATACCATTTGTGGAAGGGCCGAACGCTTACCTGTCCGACTGCCCCGGTTCACGGAAGGCATGAGGTTTAAACTCAAGATCTTCAACTTACGATGTAAAAAATAGTCAATCCAAACGCTAAACTGAATGGGCAATACACTTAATATTTCGGTCCTAATATTTAATTTTTATTGGAATGTTTATATTTATACCATTCTGCAGTTCTTCGAATTTTCGGTCAAAATCTTTTGCGATTTTCATACTATGGTACGTCACCATTGCAGCCACGATAGACAGAACAACGACAGCAATTTTCAAAACCGGAAATTGTGCATCAAGTACTTCTAGGAAAATAACAAAAAGTGCAACGGATTCGCGCTGAACAAGGCTTCAAACAAAAAGTTCCATACTCATGGTATCACTGTACGTAGAATAGTATTATTTACAGCTGTTATAGCTGTAGTTCCACACTTTGGTTGCATAATGTTCCATAATATCCAAGTTATAAAATTTTCGAAAAAAAAAAATTGCAAAAAGGATGTTTTTTTTTACACATTTGTGGCACAGTCTCGTTCGAAGAGAGAAACCTTTTTACAAATTGTATTTTACCCTTTATACATTTTTAATGGAACAATCTCTCACCTCTGTTTTTCTTTTCCAAATGTTTTTTCAAGAATCGCTCAAAATTTTTTGTGATATTTTCAGCGTTCTCCAATTCATTTGGTGAATGATTAAGATTTGAACCTATAAAATAATAAATCAATATCATGGCAGTTGCTCTATGTTAAAACTACAAATCTCCAGTCATTTTATTTTGATAAACTAGATTAATATGTTACCTTGTGAACATATTTTAACGCTAAAGTACGTTGACAATCACCCGTAGAAATTCATTAAGTGGAAATCCATTACAGTGAAAAACTTTCAAAAATAAATACAAATTTTCTCGAAGGAACCAGATCATACACCGTTATCTGATATTTCAGAAGCTTCAAAAGCAGTAGATCATAATCGTCATCTGCGCTGTGAGCGCCGGTGCCGTTGGAACAGCAGAGTGGGTTTGATAAAGCGAAATACAAATACATTCAAGATATGCATATACAGCAAACTCATATGCATATAGCGCCCTTGCCACATGCATATAAAGTCATTTAGGTGGTATACGTCTACAGTCAATGTCATATGCGTATTAAGCTGTTTCAATAGAAAATGTAGCCATTCAAGTAATTCGCATACACAGCATATATAGTTAACTCAATATACATATAAAGCCAACCAAAAATACATATACAGCAAATGCTATATGCATGTAGGTCCAAATATAAAGGTAATGTTCCATATGAATATACTGCTAATGGCATATGCATATACAGCCAATGCCATATACATATACCATTCAAGCGGCATCAACTGCAGCACTGTCTTTAAATAGTGAAAATTTGCAATCGATTGGTCGATAATTTTCGGAGAATAGCAATTTTTTCCAACAATAAAATTCAGGCATAAAGATCATATATATAAAATTTGTGCAATCATTATTCAATAATATATCGCCAAGGAAACACTTAACCGGCTGAAATGTTAGCACTTACCTTCGTATGATAATGAATTTCTGTTGGTATTTCTTTCATTTCCTCTCAATTTGGATTCCATGTTGAGTATCGCTTCTGTATATTTATTGCGATTTCTTTTTCAAGTTTTTTTTCGCAATTTATTTATTCTATAACTGATCTCTGGTAAAAGAAACAGAAACTCATAACGTCACGAAGATGACAAGTGACGAATCGACACAGCGTGAGGGTGAATCGACGTGGTAGACAATAATATTCATGATTCAGCTATCGTGAAAGAGTCTCTTTGTTTTGCTTAAATGTAAGCTCGCTGCCTTTAATAGGGCTTCTTTGTTCATACGGATATCAATTTCACCAAAATGACACCAATGTTTGGGTATATAGCAGGGGTGGGCAAGGCTTTTTAACCAGGGGCCAAAAGTATTGCCCACTTAGACTGGCGAGCCATAAAAGTATTCGCAGTGTTACAAACCAAAGGTGGAAAGCAATAGGCCTCGTGCCAAAACTTAATTTAACCGCAATCTCAACAAATTCTTTGAGCTATTTTAGCTGAAACATCAAAATTTGATTTCGGGTTGATTGTTGGCGGGCCAGATTGATTTACACAGCGGGCCGTACTTTGTCCATGTCTGGTATATAGTATAAACCGACTTTTGTGATTGGGGGCTGAAAATTCTCGCAGGGAGTCGTATTTTGAATTTGAAGTCGGGAATCGGAGTCAAAATTTGCAAAATTCAGATGGGATCGAAAACACTGACAAGTCTCACCCAAAAAATTGATATTTCAAAATGTTTTCGGGGTTATCCAATGTGAATGATAAAATTATCGAGGAGCTGTCTCACATTCTCATTGGTGGACGTTTTTCTGTTGTATCTCTCGCTCTCTCTGCGTGAGTATGCGTGCCTGTGTGATTGCCTTATTGCCACCAACTCGTGAAAAAATGAGATCGCGTTCACAAATATTATTATAATCCTCGAGTTTATGTACAACTCCCGTGATTCAAAATTCTACAATCGGAGCCACTTCAAGTAGTAAAATTAATAGCGCGATAACAATCTTGAGCAGGGGTTCTTAAACGGTGGGGTGCGCTCCAAAAAAAGAAGGGTGGAGGGGGGGGGCATTTTGAAAGGGCCTGAAACTAATAGAAAATAAAAATAATTTATCTTGTGATCCTCATTTTGGATATCCCCATTTCGGGGCTCCTGAAGTATGCGAACCAAGATGGCGGACATCGGAATGTGATATGTGTATTAGGTTAGGGTTAGGCCATAATTTTAGGTACAAATACTACGAGAGGCACTTGGCTAGTCTTCGAACTCATAGTAGGACTAAAATAAGGGAAATTGGAATAAAATTATGCCCTAACCCTAACCTGTTACCCATGCTAGGTTTCGATGTCCGCACCCCCATACTTCAGGAGCACCCCCATTTCTTTATTTCTGATATTTACGTTCCATCCACGTATTATCAACGTGTTTTTTGAATAAAACATACTTTCGCTTTACTATCTGGTATTTATGGCTCAGTGTTGGATCGTTATTTTCAAGGTAGGGCGCATGGCTTGACAAACTCTAAAAGGAGGTGCGGCCTAAAAGGTTTGAGAACCACTGATCTTGACGATTCTAAGTGTTTGCTCCTTCTTCGTACCTGCCAATATAATTGCATAAAACGACTGTCATGCGGAAGCAACTGTATCAAACAATACTCCTAAGATCGGCGCGGCGGTGTGGCTCAACGGGCTAAGCGTTAGGAATACGCTCGCCACCGCACCTCTAATTACTCTGCGTGGGTTCGCAGGTTCGAATCCCATGCAGGGATGGTTATGTGCGAGAGGATTGCTGGACTCCTCGCCGTCGTTGGGTGGTTCACGTATCCAGCACGGTTACGGCTTCCTCCACCACCAAGTCCAGCTTCCGAAAACAAACTATATAACTGATCCCATACCCGACTTGGAATGGTAACCGGGCGAGAGGCCGTGGTTCGCCATATGGATAAGCCGTCTTATCGGCTTTCCTCTCCCCCGGGATAAAAATATAGATCCTATCCTATCCTAAGATGCGTCCTGAACTGATGATCAGGATATGAACTTTTAACAGATCTAGTTTCAGTTACAAGAAATAAATCTGGACTCAAGCTAATGTTTGTGATGTTTATTTAGATTTTAAAAAAGAATAAAAACAACGAGAAATAAAAATCACTCTCAGAAATGCTCTGGGAAGAAATTTATGTGAAAGTAATCGCTAAAAATGAATGTAGTAAATGCAATAAAAGTTTAATAAAAAAGCATTAAAAAATTATACCACTGAAAATAATTAATAAAAAACATGAGGGTGCAATTTAAGGTGCAATAAAATGGGTGCAGAAAATATTTTTTATTTCTTTGAAACTTCCAACTCTTCTCCCAACCGAATTATTAGTGAGGGTGTTTGGATTCAAATTCAGATTTTGAATTTGTCAAGCTCAAGTTTAAAAAAGGAAGGGATATCAAGGTTACAATTTTTTATGGCATCGATTGGGTTTGACTACTTCAAGTCTATTTCAGAGATCTGCAATAGGGTTGGACTATCGTAAGCTTGTCCGAGAAATCAGAGAAATGACAATAAATTGGTTTAGGCCTTGGGTTTTGATTATTTTCTCCAATATTCTTCATCGATATACATCGCCGTTGTTTCATTGATAAATTTCAATCCTTCGCTGACAAAATATGTTCCTGGTCCTCCAGTAATGCCTGTGTGTGGATGAGAGATATTTCAATGAATTATTTTTGCACCATCGCACGGAACAAGATTCTGTACCAGCAGTCACTTAGAAGCTTAGAATAACCAGTGCGACCCTTCGAATCTGGACCATTTACCTGTCTATGTCGGATTAGAAATCAAGTTGTCAGATTTGGCCTTAATTATTTCGTCGTTCTATGCGTAACGCACCGGTTCCCAAAGGCCTACATGTTCAACTGTTCTGTGCGAATGGGTGCATTAGCGCAATTTCAGACGCTGTGTGTAAACCATGAGGTCTGGAATGTTTGTTATGGTCTTGTTTGGAAGAATAGCTCATTTCCTACCCAGCAATATAAGAATGAACGTTATATGACATTTGGAAGTAATAAAATATCGCTTACATTTCACGAGTGTACTTCCCGCTGCGATAGAAAAACGTCGCACAGCAAGAAAATAATTCAATAAACCTTGGCGTTGCGCGCTAACCAATAACAAAAGCTAGTATGATAAGGTCTTATTTTGAAGGTCCTTTTATATGCTACATAACATAGGAGAGTGGACATCTCACAACGTCAGGAAGGTATAAAAATATCGAGTCGTTTGATCGCAGCTGCCTCACCGAAAAAAAGTTAGTTCACATAGGCGTTTTATCTCGCAAATTCTCCTTGTCTCACGATTATAAGCTTTTATGATTCATAATAAATGTTTTATTATGACTCACAAAAGCTTTCAACGCGATAAAGCACAAACAAACAACCGATCGATCTATCAAGCATAGCCTGGCCTGATTCGATGTGGTGACTTCTCAAACGGAAAATTTCCAAAACGCTTCAACGATACGAGCTAACGAAAAGCGTTTAGTATCATATGAAAGAGAAAACCAATGTGCAGTCAACTGTATAGTCACATTTGCGCTTTTCAATAGCTATACACGTCCAACAGATGATAGAATGAGAGAGTGTAAATATTTTTGTTATTTTTTGACGTTACGAGAGACCTCTTGAAAGAGGTGTTTTAGTTTACGGTCCTCCAGTGACATCTAGCGTATAGTACTCTAAAAGACCTTTCCAATGGTATATAATTATTGTATATTGGGTAAATTTTGGGGGTCGTATGACATTAATAAAAATGTATTCAAAATTGGGCTCGTTTGGGCGTCTGAATCAGGTTAAAAACTTTAAAAATGTTCAACAAACACCTTAACGATCACAAAATTGATTTTTATTTCAAAGCTGTATTTTTTGTTAGTGCGCCGTGAGATTTTTCATGATAATTTGAAGCCGCACGAATGAAAAGTTTGGGAACCGCAGACGTAACGGATTACCCCTGGCCCAGTACGAGTAGAATCAAGAATAATAATCAAAAATTAAGATTCTATAGAAGAAATAAAATCCGTCTGTTCATTTTATTACCTAGCTGTTAACGAAGTGCAAAACCACGATAAAAGGAAAATTACTTTACGAATCTTGCTACACAGAAAAAATACTTTTGAACAATATTATCACTATGCTGGTAGAGTTTGATAAGGTACACCTAGAATTATAGTGATGAATGCATACAATGGTGTAAGGCAGGCTCTGCCAGTTGCAAGGACAATTGGTTACCAACAGTTACCCGAACTAACATACTATTTTAGCCAAATGAATATACCCCCTGCCCATAGTTTTCATTCCCGTTAAACAACTTGAAGTAAAGTAGGCGAACAAAATTAGTTACTGGTAACTCCACATTTGAACACATACTTCTGGAGCGCCCATTTCTCGACTCCGGAACGGACAAACAACTAAGATTGCCTATATCTAAATAGGGCTAAAAAATTCAAAAAGAAAGCGGATGTACATTGACTCGTCTATATGTTCCAACATTGCCCCTAAGAAACTATCATTTTTAGTTCCGAAAAAAATATTACCTGTTCCACATTCTCTGTAACATCTTTTACATTTCATCATACTTCTCCAATCATCCACTGGAGGGCACTCTGGAATCTTACAGCGAGCGTGTACGTAACAAGCAGGTCCTCGACCGTCTGTGCAAGAAATAAAAAAAATGTATTGACCCGAAATGTGCCACAGAACAACATGATCGGCTATTGAAAGTTCTTAGATTTGGAATAAATAAACAAATATGTTCAGTAAGATGTTTGCATTATGATTTAGGTCGGGTTCCCGATTTGGGAGAAATTCCGCCCAGGAGAGAAATTTAATTTTTTATAGGAAAGGAAATTTTCTTTGAATTTGCTATTTGTTACTAATATTAGTATTACTGTGACACACTGTTATACATTAAACTATTCATTCAAACTGCATAAAAGCCAGAGTTTGAAGCGTGTGTATCACATTATTCACAGGCTGACGATACATTATTGATTGGAAAACAAACTAAAACAGAGTATTCACACATACAGTGAGGGGGAATAAAAAGTTCATGACATTAAACTTACGGCATCTCTCAAGAATCTTGTGGTTGCAGATCGCATCAGGTTCAGGAGCGCATGAATACTTGCTTTTGCATCCTTCCAGGCAATTCGATGTCACTTCCAACAATATCTCAAGGTCTGTGGAAAGACGGATAGGTTACAGATTACAATAGGGTACAGGTAGGCGGGTAACATTAATTAAACAAATTGATCGCGAGTAGTTTAATTCTCTGATCGTGAAGTGTATATTCTTTTGCTCTCGTTTGTTGGATTTTTATTGAACTCGGCGCATAAAGTAACTGTTCAAACCGCCAAGAAGCAAAACTAGATATTTTTTAAGATGATCGGGAGCGCCTCAAGTGGTAATGTTATTATAAGAGGCCACAGATCACAAGAGCTTGGGGACCACTGACGTAAGGAATTCAGCACGCGCGTTTCTGCCACATAGTGCAATTCAAATCGTCGTGCCTGACGCTTTTTGATATATGCAGTAAGTCCTTGTAGCGGTCAAACTCAAAATGGAAGGAATAAAACTGTGTGCACTTGCCTGGTTCCATACAGTTTCTTCTGCAGTTATGGCATGTTTGTAACCGTAGAGCTGCTTCTATTGTGAGGTCACAAGTATCCAAACATTTTGAATGAGAATGAAGAACGCAATCATGAAAGAATGGCGAATGAACATCAGCTGAAATAGTTATTAGACTATTACTATGAATGGTATTTTGATAAGTAAAGTATTTGGTATTCACAATATTGAAGATTGGCACTGTTGAGTAAATCGAGTTTATTTTATACAACCTGTAGAAAACATCACATAAACTATTCATAAAAGACGTAATCATACAATTTTACTGTCGAAAGAAAGCTGCGGGGAACCAAATATGATTATCGAGCAGCGACACCAAAGGTTTTATTTCTAGTCTAAAGGATCGGGTAGTTTAATTGACTGTTATTGCCGGTGAGTACCGTGTGGTTTTGACGAGTTATATAGCTAAAATATCTTAATAAAAATAAATAATTATTAGAGATTAAATACAAGAGCCATCAGATCGTAGACGAACGGGGTGGTAGAAGTTCTTGTACTCAGAATGGCGAGTCAAGAGTTAACACTGGAATCGAGTCATTCCCTAGGCTAAGTTTTACTGGTGGTTAGTTAATATCAAAACATGTTCATAACTTTTTGATAAATGATAATTCGAGTTTAATTTGAGTCGGATCAATGACTCGATCCTCACCAACTATGGTTATCGACAGCGATGAATACAATGGCATTTAAGTCAATTCTTTCTTTTTGTTTACGTGCCGGTTGTATGTAACGAGGAAGCTAGCGCAAGAAGGCGCAAACAAAATTGTACATTATGATAATCAGTAATACTTCGTATATCATGTTATCTAAACATGTTCATTTGGTCTCAGTTTCTGCGTTGCCTGGGGTGACAGTCTCCTCTCCACCCCTACTCCTAAATAAAGGCAAAACCCGCATACACTTCTTAATAATCTCTTCAAAAATGGAGGAACGTTATTCATTATTTTCTATAGAATATGTTTCAAATTATCTGGGTTCTGAGATACGATTATCAAATGCATACTTGTAGATAGATAAAGACAGGCCTGGATGCTGTTTTTTTCACCTTGAAATATAAATTTACTCAGACTTACAGCATTTATTTTCATGCAAGCATTCTGTGCAATTCTCAGTTCGTTCATACGCATAGTTGAACAATTCTTCTAGTTGATAACAACTATCAGGTCTCTCACAATCAAGAAAACATTGCACGGTCTTCTCAGGCATCTTGTCCCAAGTGTCCAACCTTCTGCCGCTTGTGATATTGAACGCTGAAAACAAAGAAAATTACTCGTTTTTGGTGAAATTATAATGATCTACGTTCACTATATAAGAGCAATATATTTTACTTTCAATTAACGGTGTTCATTGCAATAAATCAAGTAAGTTATATGCCTATCGTCTATATAAACTACACTAAGTGAGTGAATCTGTGAGGGTTAGTCTTGCGAAATCCAAACGTAAACGTATGTTTTTGATTTTTGAAATCTTTTTCTTTTTTTTTTGAGATTCTATGATGTATATTGCTTCAGATTATTCTTAGATACCCGCTTAGAATGCACCACTTTTTTACAAATATTTACAAATAAAATTTTTCGAAATTCCAATATTATCTCTCTTGTCTTGAAAAGCTCGAATTTGTAGATTCATAAAAAAATCAAGCCGAATCCATGTAGTGAATACCTCTTTAATATTTTTTAGTGATTTCGCTTACACACACGGCATATATACATTCGATTCCTTACATGAGCCAGTGTTATATAGCAATATGTATCTTTTTGCCATATTTAAGCTCAGTTGTCAAAAAACTAATCCGTATCTAGTGGTAGTACAGCATAGGGTTGTGAAGAGTGTTTGACATGTTTTGACTACAATTGGGGCTCAAAAACGTCCCTCAGTGGGATTCACAGTTTTGATTTCCTCCGGAATTCCATGTTTACTGTTTATTGACGACGGCGTGCATACCCTAATTAGTTAGTTATCAATTGTAAATGTTCCAGAATACACAGTGCGAGTTAGTTTTTTTGGCCTTTCAATATAGAGGTAAAATGAAATATAAACTCACCGAACAAAATCACAAACACGGTAATCATTGTTGCAAAAGTCATCATGAATTTAGCGAGTTAGGTGTAAATTAATTGAATATTAGCTAAAAGTTCTGAAAAAAAAAATCTAAGAATATTGATGAATGCTAGACTATTTGTAGTTGGTATTGTTGGGCGATGGCTGTTGTTGTTGTTGTTGTTGTGGAAATATCGCCTTTACCCTCAATTAATCTCAAATTTACAGTACTTAAAGACGTAACTTTCTTTTTGTTTATCAAATATCTCCCGATTCCAATGGGACCCGATATTTCATTGAAAATGGGGTTTGATTTTAATCGAAACAACTTTTTATGAAACTTGCTCGATCGACTGCGTATTGCTTGTCCGCCAATATATTTAGCAAACCCGGCGGACTCTATAATTATTAATTAAACGATACTAAAGTATGCAATTCTCTCAATTATACTATGCCGATGTCTTCTATGAATCACACTTAATCCAATATCAGTACACACTAATCCTTTGTATATATGGTTTGAAATAATATCCTCTAAGTTAGCCTAGGATCTGTTTCGTCATGAATTAATTAACTTATTTTTCCTTGTATTCACATGATAACGTGCAATTCTATACTATATTTCATTGTAGTCTCATGGGCTCTGAGCGTTTTATTGAACAACTTCACTCAAGTATCAGTCTCTTTCGTCTTTGAGTGAGTGAGTTACGTGGACTTTGCTTTGAGCAATTTCCAAAAAATGTCAATCTTACCCGTGATCGAGACAAAGTACTATATGCACAGAATCAGACTATATTCTCGCTGTTTTGTTTGCCATTCTTCATCGCCATATCATCTCATTAATTGATTTTAGGACACTTTAAATTTCAGCCAAAGTATTCACAAACTAAACAGGTCCGACTAAACTAACTGCACATCATATACCGCACCCATGGTACTCTAAAACCAACGCGTATCGGGTCTTAGTAAATGTTCACATGCATTAGATATATCTGTTAATGGATTAGCACATCTATATGAACGATTTATAAAAGCCCGTAATAAAATTAAAACAAATCAGAAAATTTACTACAATTCTTTGGTAAACGTCAAGATATAAGTAATGCGAATTCACCAATGATAATGTTACAAGCAGAGACATTAGTTGATCGCGCACGAACTTCGCCTTTTCTAAACTTTCCTTGTCTGAACGGATTAATACGATTATACAATTACTGCTGAATAATAGCGAATTAACCGCGTTTTATTTATAGCGTGTAGTTTCCAAAGCACCCTATGATTGTTTATAGTAACATAATATTATATTTGTTTCAATGTTTTCAAACCACGAATTGAACTTCTAAGAATATAATCATAGTGAATGCATATAATTCGATTACAACTGTTATTATATTGCTAATTCCAAAACAAAAATCACGGTTATTTATAACAGAATTTCATAGTGATTTTTACGAACGGTGCAATTGGAAATATTAAATTTTATTATGCGTATTGCGTACGTTACATAGTACATTTGCACTTGAGCAAAAATTGAGGACTTCAGATCAGAATAGTAGGAAAATTTTGGAAGAGAGATCAATCGAGCAAAAATAATTTATTACTTCTCATTATAATTAAAGTAAATAGAGATAATTAATGAGCTCCAATCACGATTATTTATAAAAAAAATTTATAGCAATTCTTTCAGACGACGAAATTCTAACTCGCAAATTTCGCCAGGCGTAATTACGAAGCGTAAAATCGCAATTGAGTAAGTACAATTAAGAATTCTAGATCAACAGCATTAGGAACGCTTTTCGAGAACAACACACGAGCGATATTGCTTTTAATTCAATAAACGAAGAATATCAATAACATCAGTAAATTGATATATAATATCGGGGGTGTACCCAGGGGGTTTGAGGGTCGGAGCCCCCTACCCCCTTCTCTTTTGAAATGTAAAAAAAACGCATTTATCTGTATCGGTTCCATTACATTTGAACCCACGTACATTTGAACCCATGACAATTGCACCTGTATGCTATTGCACCTATGGAATTTTTTTTGTTTCACGGATAGTTAAACCCATACTAACCCTAACTCATGGGTTTTAGCACCCGCATATAGATTGAACCCGTGGATATACGCATGGGTTCAAATGTACATGGGTTCAAATGTACGGTCACCATCTGTATCATATATAGTAAATTTCCGTAACTTGAAACTATGATTTCAGAACCCTCAACCCAACCCCCTTGCTCCCTGGCTACACTCATGTGTGGCAGTATGTACAAGTATACCGTACTCGATTAAAATCAATAAAGTTATCTTCAGTACTGGAACATTAGCCTGATAGAGTCCAAAATTTAATTCTCCCTCTAGATATTATCCTGACCTTTGCCATAAGACACAGAGATCGTTTTCTATTATTTCTCCAGACTTTGATAATGGCTGTACTCTTCTTTACCTGTAATCGTCAGATAACAATTTTGTATATCCTCACCTCAAAAGAGATTCAAAATTGCGTTTTCAAAAGACTATTTGCAAGAAATATATACATTGCAAAACGGTCTTCAAAAATACATAGAAACCCAATGTATTCACTATTTAGACCCATCTACTATCTAATATGAAGCTCAAATTCAAATGGTATTCAAACATGCGTTTCGAAAAAAAATATTGCAAAAGATCTCGTGAATACAGCTTTAAAAACAACAGAAACTTACTATGTGTAACTTTCTATCTCAAAAGCACAAGAGCTAAACTATACGAAAATTGCATGTTGCCCGAAATATATATACACAAATAGGTGAAGAAATTCCAGCTAAAATGGGCTTTTTTTTATATACAAATAACCATCAATTTTACAGAGTGTGACAAGCGCTAAAAGTGTTCACGGAATCCACTTATAAAACTACAAATGAATTTTGACAAGTTCTTGGAAACAGACACAAACAAGGTAATAAAGTTCAAAGTCAATTTACGAGTTGGTTAGAGTTAACAAATGGAATGACGCATGATTGCTACTAGGTGTATCCATGTTCAAGATAAATAAAGCACAACCGGTGTACAGAGAAACGATGTAATTTGCCGGCAATTCACAGAACTTCTTTATCAGGGCATGATATGGAAATCGGCAAATTATATCGTTTTGCTATCACTGGTTGCGCTTTATTTATCATGAAACGTTGGGAACACGATTCAAAGCTTTCCACGATATAGGAGTGTCTGAGATAGTTTCTCTGACTTCAAGCATGCGTTGAATTTTTTGAATCTATATTTACATACTTCCAATGATTTGTGTTAATGTATTTGTAATTAGGGTTACCTTATTATAGTATTTTTGTAATGCCTCCATAATTCTCTTGAATAAAAAATTCATTCAACAAACAATCAATAACACTGTCCGGTGTAAAACATACTTTCTTATCTTTTTTATCCAAGTATCCTCGCGAGTGTATTGAGTTTTACATTGACGATATGTTTTGACTAAAACCCAATCCCAAAAAATTTGAACTTGAATTTTTATTAAATTTTCGGATCCTGTTGACAGTGCATTCAATTTTATACATAGGCCAAAAGGTTACAAGTTAAATTACTAAGTGATAAAACTCATAAAATTGAAGCCGAAAGTTCTCCTAGCTGTTTAAATTGTAAATTAAGCAATTTCGCCTGAGGGCAAAGGTCAATTCGCAGGTGTGTTATAGTAAGGAAGATTACGGTGGCTTCGATTTCCTTAAAAATTAATTTACGACAAGTGCAGGGATTAACATTGCACGTGACGAAATTCACACTCTGCGAGATGTTATTAAAAGCATTCTTTTTAAGCTTGTCGGAGGACAAAGGCTGAAGAAATTTTTATTATTTTTTGTCAGAATTTAGGTGAGAAGTGAAAGGAAAAAATAGAATCATTAATTAATAATACCACGATCCAAGACCAGCCAGTCTATATAAGATGGTTTTATTATATGACGTACTGCGGCCTCTTATCTGGTTACCAATCCATGGTCGGGTATGGAATTGGTTAATTATTTGTTTTCGGAAGCATGGACTTGATGAAGAAGCCGTAATCGACCAGCAGTCTGAAAATTCTATTGCTTATAATTATCCTGCAAGATAATCAGAGTGCGATAACAAGCGTATTGCCAACGCCGAACAAGTTTATAAGATCGTTTGTCTCAAAGAGGAAATTTGGGCTATAATTATCCGTTGATGCTTTTACCTAATGCATTAACGAGGGAAAGCGCCGCATATAAAAATTCTTATCCGCTCACATGATTTTTATTATTGGACACGAGATTGATTCATGCTAGCCTTCGTTAAATTGATGTTTCTGGAAAAATATCGCATTTCTTTGCAATTACTATAGACGTATCTATTTTGAATCCCCATTTTCTTTAATGGAAAATGTTGCTATAAGGCTATTGGATTTACATTGTTTTTATCCAAAATTTTCTTTAAGTCTCACAGGACCTGATATTTCACCTAAAATTCTGGCGTTTTATTTTTTTTTCTTGGGAACACTTTTTTATGACGTATAGAAACACTTTATTCCTTCACATTTGTCAACCTGTCTTCTCTTCAAACATGGTACCCAACTAAAGTCTTACAACATGTCTTCGAATTTATTATTTCCAATCGCAGAATCGCTATTGCACGGTGTTCGCGTCTTTTAGAGCTGATGTCGTTAGATACCAATGCCAGTTTTTACAGCGTTTTGTGTGGAAAAAACAATGCGAATACGCGCGCTATAAAACTACTCTGGTAATCCCGTACCCTTAGCATATAAATGCAATATGATGACATTCCTCCCGAATGCAAATGTGTATTGAAAGCAATGAGAGCGAGTAATAAGAAATGACAAAATTTATACAATTGATGGAACAATGAAAGGACGTCACATTTATACGACTTTATCGCAATGAAAAGACGGGCCTTTAAAATCAGATTTTCACTCTCAGAAATAAAAAAGTTTAATTGGAAATCATTTCAATTTGTTTCCGCAATAGTTGTGTTTATATACTATAGTACAACAAAAATCATAAACATCTCACGCTGGAAAACACAAAGTTTTTTATTACCACATTAAATTGATGTGAAAAACGGTATTAGATTCAACCATT